TTTATTTGTTGGAGTCCCTTGTGGCCGTGCGCTTCACTGTTGAAGAGAAGAATCGTATTCGGCGCAATTTGGAGGGTTTCCGCCCCTTGACCGTCTCCAAGGCCAAGGTTGACAGCGAAGAGTTCTTCAAGGTCATCATGGGCTTCCCTGCTCCCAAGCCTCGCAACATCGAGAAGGATGTCAAGGTCTTCCCCTGGAAGGTCCTGAGCCACGCACTGAAGAAAATCATTGGAAAATACGTATGTTATTTGCAACTCCACAGCTCATCGTTACATATTACTAATCTTTGTCTTCTGTCTAGTCTGCCAGCTATTCCTCAACCGCCGGTGCTCTCCCCACACCGATGACTACCGCTTACACCAGCCATGCTAGCCATGGCACTGGTTCTGATTCCGGTACCGAGCCTCACACTGCCAACTCCCCGCAGTCCATCTCCGACGCTGGCGCTGGCAACACCTACACTAGTATGCCCGTCCAGACCTACTCGCAGGCCGACCACCCCGCCTCTCACTTGTCTTCGGCTCCCGACCTCCGATCCATGATCGCAGTGACGCAGCCCTATACATCTGTTGGAGGATACTCATATCCGGCCATGTGCCATCCCCAGAATGCCCACGGTCTAGCAGCCCCAGCCCCGCGATCATCCTGGGAAATGCACCCTCTTGGTCCCAGCACTCCTCACACCGGTGCACCAGGAAATGGTGGATGCTACACCTACTTGGATCCCGTGTACAATTTGCACGATACGGCCCACGGCGGCCACTGATCCCCCTCTCGGCTGGTCCTTCCATTTGATTTCTTGCTGCGTTTTCCTTCCATTCTAATTTTTCATACTTCCCCCTCCGGCTTTTTGAAGATACGATTTTCTTTTCCATGTCACTCCTTACCAAGCCCAGACAGCGGGTTGCCGGCTCATCGGAAACAAGCTCTCCTGCCACCTGAAAAGGTGATAAGAGCTGTTGTCTCTGCTCGATCTCGCATCTCGCACATTGATCATGATTACACGTCCCTCCTTACACTACAACATTATGATGCCTAATGCCCTCATCATACACCCAAACCTGCGGCCGTTGCATACCTGCTTTTTTGACTTTTTTGACATTTTGGACTTTGTTCCACTCTGAGACCTGTTCCTCGCATCTAGACGGTGTCTTGTTCATTCCTTCCTTGGGTTGCATATTTTATATGCCGGGCATTGCGGCTTCCACTCCCTTTTTTGCGCACAAAATACACATTCTGGGCTTTTGTACTACTATTCAGCATAGCGGGCGCTTGCTTGTCATTCCTTTTGCATTCGCGGGTTCTTTTTGGATTGGAAATGGGATAGACTGGGGTTTTTGTTTTCTTGGAATCCGGGCGGGTTTGTCCATTTTATGCGATTCCTTGGTGCATTTTGGACAGGGTTCTTGGGCGAGGATGTCTGACACTATGGAGTCCTCTCTGCGTGTTGGGTTTTCCCTGTCTGGTCCTTGTTTACTTTTCACTTCTCTGTTTGAAAGTTTTGTTCGGAGTTGGTTCGGTACTTACCGCTTCTTGTTATTTCAGCTGAGGGTTGTTGTTACTTACTACCTACTGCATTGTTCTGGCGTTTGGGACTTGAACGGTTGGGCCGTTTATTATCTTTACTTTTGTGCCTTAATCTTACCTATTCTGAATCATAGTTCTTGCATTGCAGATCATCAGGTTACTTTCACTTGAATTCTTAATGAGCCCTGTCTCTTGGAAAACGTCCCACAGGTAGTGATGCAATGGCTTGGTTAGTGAGGTGACGTATCACATGCACGCTGTACATGGAAAAGTTGGGTTGCGAATTCTGGACCTTTTCAGCTACAACGACAATAAAGGCCAATGCCTCCCTCTCCCAAAAGGCCATACGAGAAGACATCTAAAAAGACTACTAGAAAAGACATAACAAGGCGACATAGGCGGCCGACCATCTTGTAGAATATCACGTGAAAAGCTCAACCCTACATTTGATGCTTCTGTGTAGACACGATAAGGTCAGCTGACTTACTATCTTATCAAAGCACGTGACGCGGGGCCGGCGAAATCGGCTTCGAAAAAGGGCAATTGCATTTGACTCATACAGATCGTTTGCCTTTTTATAACATCATCTTATCCCATTCCTGACCTGACCATTAACGCGTAACTTATCCCAACTCTTGAACATATATATAGGGACTGTTTGCCTTCCATTGGCCTCTTCCCTTTCTTCTTATCACCACCCTCTTTTGCCCCGCCACTTCACATTGCCTTTCAACATGGAAGCTATCAAGCAGACCTTCGCGAAGTGCAAGGCACAGAAACGTGCTGCCCTTGTGGCCTACATTACTGCAGGATACCCTACCGTTGAGGAGGCTGTCGATATCCTTCTTGGTCTCGAGAACGGCGGTGCCGGTAATTCAACCCCAAAGTGAAAGTTGCTCAAAGAGATGATCTTTACTGACATTCGGTCTCACATCACAGATATCATCGAGCTTGGCATTCCTTTCACAGATCCCATCGCTGATGGCCCCACCATTCAGACCGCTAATACAAAGGCCCTTCAGAATGGTGTCACCCTCACTACCGTCCTTGAGCTTGTCCGCACTGCCCGCAGCCGCGGTCTCCAGGCTCCTCTGATGCTCATGGGTTACTTCAACCCTGTCCTCAAGTATGGCGAGGAGCGTATGCTCCGTGACTGCAAGGAGGCTGGCGTCAATGGTTTCATCATGGTTGACTTGCCCCCGGAGGAGGCTGTCCGTTTCCGTGACCTTTGCTCGAGCGCTGGGTAAGTTTGTCTTGATTTTTATTTATTCTTTTGAAATCTTTTATCACTTGTCTATGGTGGTCCAATATACTTACTCCATTATAGTCTCTCATACGTCCCTCTCATCGCCCCTGCCACCTCTGATGCTCGCATGCGTCTTCTTTGCAAGATCGCAGACAGCTTCATTTATGTTGTTTCCCGCATGGGTGTGACCGGTGCCACTGGTTCATTGAGCGCAAACATCCCCGAGCTTCTCAGCCGTGTCCACGAATACTCCGGCAATGTCCCTGCTGCATTGGGATTCGGTGTTAGCACCCGTGAACACTTCTTGTCTGTCCAGGACCAGGCCGAGGGTGTTGTCATTGGCAGCCAGATCATTACTTGCGTTGGCAAGGCCCCTGCTGGGCAGGCTGCCAAGGCTGCCGAGGAGTACCTCTCCAGCATTACCGGACGCAAGCGTGAGCGTGATGGCACCGGCGCTTTCACTCGTGAGATCAACGTTCTTGAGGCCATCGAGAAGGCCCAGCCTTCTGGTCAGGTTCAGGCTACCAAAGTTATCACTGATGCTGATACCCCCGCCGGACCCGGTCTCGCTGACCAGATTGAGGCTCTCAACGTCACAAAGGATGCATCCTCCCAGCCCTCGCGCTTCGGCGAGTTCGGTGGACAGTATGTTCCCGAGTCCCTTATGGATTGCTTGGCTGAGCTCGAGCGCGGCTTCGATGTTGCCAACAACGACCCCAAGTTCTGGGAAGAATTTCGCTCCTACTACCCTTACATGGGCCGCCCTAGCAGCCTTCACATGGCCCAGCGTTTGACTGACCACGTTGGTGGTGCTAACATCTGGTTGAAGCGCGAGGACCTCAACCACACTGGAAGCCACAAGATCAACAACGCCCTTGGACAGATTTTGATTGCCCGTCGTCTGGGCAAGACCCGCATCATTGCCGAGACTGGTGCTGGCCAGCACGGTGTTGCTACCGCCACTGTTTGTGCCAAGTTTGGCATGGCGTGTACCGTTTTCATGGGTGCCGAAGATGTGCGCCGCCAGGGTCTTAACGTCTTCCGCATGAAGCTCCTTGGTGCCTCCGTCGTCGCTGTCGAGGCTGGAAGCCGCACCCTTCGTGATGCAGTCAACGAGGCTCTCCGCGCTTGGGTCGTCGAACTTGATACCACTCACTACATCATCGGCTCCGCCATTGGCCCTCACCCCTTCCCTACCATCGTCCGTACCTTCCAGTCCGTGATCGGAAACGAGACCAAGGAGCAGATGCAGGCCCAGATTGGCAAGCTCCCCGATGCCGTCATCGCCTGTGTTGGCGGTGGTTCCAACGCCGTCGGAATGTTCTACCCCTTCTCCAACGATCCCAGCGTCAAGCTCATCGGTGTCGAGGCTGCCGGAGATGGTGTCGATACCGATCGTCACTCTGCCACCCTTTCTGGCGGTTCCCACGGTGTCCTCCACGGTGTGCGCACCTACGTCCTGCAGAACGAGCACGGCCAGATCTCGGACACTCACTCGATTTCCGCTGGTCTCGATTACCCCGGTGTCGGCCCCGAGCTGAGCAACTGGAAGGATTCTAACCGCGCCACTTTCATCGCCGCCGACGACAGCCAGGCTCTCGCTGGCTTCCGTGCTCTCGCCCAACACGAGGGTATTATCCCCGCCCTGGAGTCCTCCCACGCCGTCTGGGGTGTTATGCAAATCGCCAAGACAATGGAAAAGGGCCAGAACATCGTTCTCAACCTGAGTGGTCGCGGTGACAAGGATGTGCAGCAGGTCGCTGACGAACTTCCTCGCCTGGGCCCTAAGATCGGCTGGGATCTGCGCTTCTAAGCGCTCTCTGATCTCTCGAAGTGCTTTTTTGCATCCGGATAACAATATCCGCATTGTTCCATATTTCATTTTTTTCGGTACTCTGTTTCGCCAGAGGTTTTCATGATTCCTTCATGCTTTTATGCTCTACATTGCGGGATGGTCATGGAAAAGCGTTATTATTGCAGACTTTCTTTTTCATTATTTTGGGGTTTATTCTCTTTGGATAAAAGTAAGCATAAAAGTAAAAAAAAAAAACCTCGATATCCCCTTTTCGGTTTTCTGTTTTCCTTCATCTTTCTGGACTGTATTCATAGTCATAGATAGTTTTAGACTCTAGAATAATAGTAGTCTATTATCTAGGAGATCATTCTACACATAAAATCGACGAATAAGCCGATCATCCTCAATTATTTAGAGAGCAAAAATAGCCCCTCAAACAAATTCATTAGTTAGGGCAAGACGAGGCGTAATAATACGCTCAATAGTAGGGTCGTTGGCCAAGTTCAGGAACAGAGTAACACGCTCCATACTACCGTACTCCTCGAAGTCGCGCTTGAAGAAACGGGCAGTCTCCATATTGACACCCATAGCGGCGAAGATAATAGAGAAGTTCTCCTCGTGACGGTCGTGAACATCCTTCGTGGGTTTAGCCAGACTCGCTTGTCGGCATATCGACGCCGCGATCTCATAGGCAAACAGGCAGCTGAGAAGATAGGGATCTTTTATCCACGAGCAATTGAGTTCATCGTATCGATAGTGGAGAAACCAGTCGAAATCATTTCCTCGGGGTCCACCTTATCCGTTCATTAGCTTCCCGTAGTTCTATCGCATAAAGGTAGCAGTGCGCATATTATACTCGTGAGTAAGGGTTGATAGGCTGTCCGTTGATATATCTATAATTTACATTATACAAAGTCCAGTGGAGGCCAACCTCTTTTATTCGGAGCGACATCTTTGACATCAATACACATCAATACTAAGCAAGAACAAGACTGCACCACGACGAGCAGTAATAATACCCAAGACCCGGATCAATAATGAGAAGTCAACCAGGAGAGAAGGGAGAGAGTCATAATAATATGAAAAATTAAGCCCATGAAAATTAGGGTATCCATACGCGTTAGATAGAGCCGGTGAGAATCCAGATATGCACCATTCGGAAGATAGGCGCCTCGCCATGATCCGATCCATGAAAAATGCAAGCCAGAGAGTAGATAAACATAAAGAAACAGAGTGGAACGGATCAGTCCACTTTGGCCTGAGCAAGACTCTTCGGGGTAATTAGATTATTGGATAAGCGCACATTTGTAGTGCCCTTGAGCTTGTCTTTCCACGTATGCCTCTTCAGCTTTCGGCGGGCAACCATTACCGGCACAGAGGAACTAGAAAGAAGATAGTTGGAGAACGAGCCCAGAAGAACACTAAGTAACGCAAGGTTAGTATTGTCTCCAGCACGACACTAAACTAGAAATCACTCACCCCTTCAGTGCACTCTGACCTCGGGCACCCACAATAACAAGTGTGGGCTCAAGTTCATCAATCTGAATCTTTGTAAGTATGAATCAGATAATAGGGAAGTTGAGTCCTTACAGCTTCGGTGATCATAGACTTTGGGTTCTTGCAGTGAATCACTTCCACGGCAATACGGACCTGCAAGACTGTTTTCCGCAGCAGCTTCACACAGGTCTGAGAGACAGTCTCAACTGCCCGCACCCGTTCGGCCTCGGCGATTGGCGATGCCCGGGAATCAGTAGAATGTGTTCTACTAGCAGTACCAGTGCCAAGTCGACCGAGGATCGTACGGGATCCATAATTCTGGTTTGCTTCTTTCGTCTGGGTGCCAACGACAGCCGTTGCATCTTTCATCGCCTTAGCTCCCTCGCCGACTTGCACCGCTGACGCGGTAGTGGAGTCCTCGTGCATGGCATAGATGGCGAAAATCGTGTCTCCATCTCTTAGAACCGTCCCTATAGTCCACTCGAGGGCATAGACCGACTCTTCACTCAAATCGGTTGCGATTAAATACTTCCGACGGCGACGACGGCTCCCATCGCCTTGATCCTGAGGACTTGAAAAGTTTCCGCGGACAATTGTTCGGATGGATCGGTTGTGAACACCGTTATCAATAGCTGACATGGAAATGCTGAGCTTTTGAGCACGATGAATGTCACCGATCTCGGCTTCATCCTCTGACCCGTAAGGTGTGCCAGTCACTGACTGAACACGTGGGGTGGGGATGTCGAAACTGGTCTGTGGATGGACCACAGCTTTCAAAGCAGATTTTCGCGGTTTCTTCTCCTGTCGTCCACTTGGGGGCTCTGAAGCTTTTTCTATACAATGTGAAATTAGCATATTGAATTTCCTAGTTAAGAGAAATCCCGAGAAGGCAACATACGTTCTTCGGACTGCTTGGAATCATCTCCCTTAGATTTTGCAAAGTCGCTTGGCGTTATAGATGTGATATCCGAGTCCTTCTTTTTCTTGCGGCCTCGTACACCGTCCAGAGTGCTGTCTTCGTCACTCGAAGTATCGTTGGCTTCATCTTCACTGCTTTCAATCATGTTCTTGTCGCGATCGAAAACATCTTTGGCTAGTCGCTCCCCTTCCTCCTCCACGGCTGCCGGTTTGATATAATCAGGCAGGCTTCCGTGGGGTTTAGCCAATGCCTCATCTGACTTGTTGAATGTATCGTGCATGTTGAGCGATTTTCCCTTCCCTGAACTGATAGGGGCGGGAGTTAAGGTTTCAACGTGAACAGAATGAGTGCTAGAGGAACTTGGGCGACCCCGCTCAGGTGAAGAAGCAGAACGGGAGTCGAGAGATGATCCACGCTGGGAAGATCCCCGGGATGAGTCTCTGTCTCTGCCACGGGAAAAGCTTCTCGGGAAGAGACGGCCAGACATGATAGCAGCCACACCCTTGCGACTCTGAGACCTATCTCGAGCCTGCAAAAATCGCTTTTTGGCGTATGGTTGCTCTAAAGAAGTAGAGGTGACATCGGATTTTGCATCATCGTCAATGCTACCCGTAGTTGAGCGGACAGTGTCAACAGCTTGGTCAGACGACCTACGAAGAAAAGCCTCGCGCTCGGCGGTGTGCCTCTCTGGTGAACTTGGAGCGGAAGCCATATCTGAAGAACAGATGCGTAAAGGTGAGGATATGAGTGGGTCAACTGGGCTGCGGGTTCCGCCTTTGGGCGAATAATAGGTTGTCCCGCCCGCACTCTTAGACTGCGGGGCAATCAGCAGGTTCTGCAGGGAACGGCTCAGACCTGGTTTCTCGTTTATTGGGGTCGTTGGTATTTTTGATCGACCATCCAAGCTTTGTAGTTGTTGAGTGGGAGAAATTGGACCAGTGTGGTACGACATGGCGTGGACACCGCCTCCGGGCTGTGGGGAACTTAGCTCGTCGCCGTCAGGCTTGTGGGGCCGAGTCGACAAGGTAAATGATCAAGGGACCTGAACAAATGATCCCATGTAACGTCCAGCAGTAAGTTGCGGTATTTGGTGGCAACTACTCCGTACTCAACGTTCATACACGCATCCAGCTTGCCAGGTAGTGATTCAAGCCGTTACTGTACTGACAATGGCAACCAAATGAAACTCCGACCACGTGTTAGCCATTTGTTTTCACATAGTTGTAGGTTATTAGAAGTTGGGCTTGGGTTCAAAGAAAAAGAACAGAATGGAAAGAAGAACAAAAAACAAAAATTGGGAGAAGGAGCACAAGGTGAGGCTTCTTACTCCAGCCACAGTGGCTGCACGCCCAGATTCTTCTGTCATGTCTTTTGATTATGTCATTTTGAATATCTTTAAGATATCTTGAAGATGTATTTAATGTATTTAATGTATTTAAGATGTCTTCTCATATCAGTATTATAGCTTGAAGAACGAAAAGGTATCGTATGCAATTACAAAACTCCTATTAAACCCACATGATAAACGCTTAGACATGACACATGAATGCTACAGGAGGAAAGAAAGACCCCAATTCAAGCCTTAGCCCTCTTCGACTTAGGTTTTGACCCCTTCCGAGCCCCAACAGCAGCAAATGCTTCCTCTGAAGGCTCATCATCGACACCACGTTTCTTCCCAGGCTGCGCATACTTCTCCTCCAAACGAGCGAGGAAGCCTGCACCACGGTCCTGCTGGCGCTTAGTGATAATAGCCAGAAGATCATCCTCATTCGCTGCAGCCTTCGAGCTCTTCGCCGCAGCTCCAGATTTCTTCTTTTTCTTATCCTCAATCTCCTTGCCCAACTTCTCTGCCTCCCGCGCCTCCTTCTGCGCCTTCTTTACACGCTGCTGTTTCTTCTTCTCGGGCTCCTTGGAATATCGCTCGAAGTCCTCCACTTCCCCGTCCGTAATGGCCTGGTCAATAATACCCCGGAACCGTTCATCGTCGTCTAGTACATTAGACAACATCACGGTATCGTAGATGGCATCCATGTTGCCCTCGTGCGTCTCATACGCGGCGAGCAGGTCCTTTCTCTCTTCGTCTGAGTTTTGGTATTTCTTCTGGAAGTCCGAGATCGCCCGCGAGTCAAGCATCGCTGACAGCTGTTCGCGGTAGAAGTCCATCCAGTTGAAGTCGCCATCTTCGCCGAAGGCTTCGTCCGTGCTGCCGGTCCGGTCGTACACGTTTCGTCGGCGCTCGTCGGAGAGTACTCCGTATGCCAGTGCAATTTGTTGGAACTTTGCGTTGGCGTCTGTGCGAGCTTCTTCGCTCACCTTGTCTGCTCTGAGGTTAGTATATTGAATGTTCTCGGACCTGCGTGTGTTTGCATACCGGGGTGGTTTCTCAGAGCGCTCTTTTTGTATGCAGTTTTGATGGCTTCTGGGGTTGCATCAGATGCAACGCCTAGAATCTTATAAAGATCTTCCTCAACAGACGGCATTTCTTCGTCTGAAGCATGGTTTTCGCGTTTCGCGTTTTTCGCCATTGCAGGTTTTGGGTGACGCGATATGTGTTTTTGGGTTGTCCGAGAACCAGGAGAAAGAACTGAGTGCAATTTAGATATGTTACACTGGATTAGGATTTAAAAGATGAAAGACCAATAGAAGTGGCGACTACACTAGCGTAGGTTGTAGAAACGGAACGCGATTTGGACGCGACGGGCCCATTTCGTCATTTTGCTGCTGCTCCCCGCCTTGCCTATCAACCCACTTTCAAGCACCCAAGCTCATCGACAGTGCCACTTCACTCTCCTCGAATTTCAAGAGCTGCAGAGACTATCCAAATCCAATTCAAAATCATCATTCTCCACCTGAAACAACGCAATCTTACTATTCCCCTCCCACACCGAAACCCCATCCCAATCGCAACTGACATCACTCACCATGACGACAAACACCTCTCCTCACATACCCTACATAAAGCAATGCCTCTCTTTAGCGGAACAATCACCCCCAAGACCGACCAACTTCAGGGTCGGCGCAGTTCTGCTATCCCGAAAAGACAACGACCCCACCTTCACAGATGACCGGATCCTCTCAACGGGATACACAATGGAGCTTGCAGGCAACACACACGCAGAGCAATGCTGCTTCGCCAACTACGCCGCAGTGCACAAAGTCCCCGACGATAAAGTCGGCGAAGTCCTCCCCGACGAGCCCGGCCGCAAGCTCATCATGTACGTGACAATGGAGCCTTGCGGGAAGCGGCTGTCTGGAAATGCGCCGTGTGTGCAGCGCATCACGCAGACGGCAGAAGGCGGGCGAGAGGGGATCCATAAGGTTTATTTTGGTGTTAAAGAGCCTGGCACATTCGTTGGCGAGTCTGAGGGGTGTCGGATGTTAACTCAGGCGGGCATTGAGTGGGAGCATGTTGGTGGGTTGGAGAGGGAGATTTTGACTGTTGCTTTTGCGGGACATGAGAATGCGCAGCAGGAGGTTAGGGCTGCATTGGGGGAGAAGGAGACTAATGTTGATGATGTTAGTGCCGAGGAGAGGAAGAGGCAGGAGGCGATGCCGAGGAATCCGATGAAGAGGATGATGGAGGGGGATAAGCATGTCTATCTATAGAGATTGTGGGGTATAATGGAGCATTAAAAGTGGTACAAAAATCAGCAGTTATGTGCCCCAGTGCCATTATGGGCTGGCTGAAGGTACACTCGAGACAATGTCAAGAATGTCAAGAATGTCAAGAGGTAGCCCTGAGTAGATCAATCACGAATTATTATCCCGAGGTCACCGAGATACAGTCTAGAGCTCCGCACCACGAAGACACAGAAAATATTTCCCTTGAGTAAAGAGAAAACAAAGCGACCACGAACTTAATGATATACAACCACGTGACATCAACCCGACTTCCAACAGCACTAACTTCTAGTCCTGAATACAACTCTGATATCTTTGATATCTCAAAAATAAGAACATCCCGAGAAAAAAAAGATGAACCAATGGCAACGGTCAACAATGAGAACCTCGTATTCTATCCCGCGTTCTGCTTCAAGGCCTCACCAACGCACTTTACCTGGGTGAAAATGGGTGCAGCTGATGTGCATCGTCTCCGAAAATCGAGTGACTTTGTGGGTATGTTATTGCGTTTTCTGAGATTACTTTCATTTCTTTGTTTCCCCTGGAGATCGACGCCCCTAGTGTCCCATGTGCATATTTCCGGGTCCTCTAGCGTGGAGGCTCGAAAAGAGGCGTTAGCGTGAAGAAGTCGATTTTATAAGTTCCACCAGACTATCTATACTTCCTTTCCATTATATCTGAACCTTCCGTACTTGTTTGAATGCCCTCTGTCATGCTTTTCCAACATCTTCTGTCTTTTTCTTACCCAATGTGTCCTCCCCATCCAACCAAAACACAGCCAAGCCTATCTATACATAAAAAAGAATCACATCACTAACAAAAACCCTTCAGGCCAAAACATCTTCTTCTACAACAACCACCCAATCCAATTCGTCAGCCTAGTAGGCGTTATAGTGGCGCGAACTGATATCCCACGACGCACAATTCTAACACTAGACGACAGCAGCGGCGCAACAATCGACATAGCCGTACTAAAAAAGACCTCACCAAAACCCAGCATTACTAGTCAAGCAACTCCCACCACTAGCCAGGGAGACCCGACCACAAGCCAAGAAAAAACAGAATGGTCTTCATTCTCCCTCACAGCGCCAGCAGCCACCAGTCTCACCCAAGAAACACACTTAACCTTCAAAGACCACGACGAGATAGACATCTCAGCTTTGCAACCAGGAACGCTTGTCCGAGTAAAAGGGACACTGTCAACCTTCCGATCGCAGATGCAGTTACATCTCGAGCGGTTCTGGCTCGTGCGTGATACGAACGCCGAAATGCAGTTCCTGGATACCCGTCTGCGGTTCCTTATTGAGGTCTTGTCTGTGCCGTGGGTGTTGACTGACGAGGAGGTCGAGGACTTACATGGTGACGCTGAGAGGTGTGATGAGCGCGTCTTGGAGGATAAGAGGCGTGCGGAGAGGATTGCCAGGAAGAGGATTGAGCGTGAGGAGAGACATGCCAAGGCTATTGCGCGCCGGTATGAGAAAGAAGAGAATGAGCGGGAGAGGGAGCTCAAAAAAATTAGAGAGGATGGGGAGAGGGTTATGAGGAGGTTTGGGTTTGGGGATGCAGAGTGAGATGGATTCAACTTGAGTATGCGCCGCACTTTTTTATTCCCGATGCTATTGATGGAATCATAATCTCACATGTATTCGAAACAGAACAGAACGTTAATCTTGAAATATGAGATGTCGTCAGTCATGCACAACCCCAGAAAGAAGGGGTATCTTCGTATCCATGCAACGCCGAGCTTGAAAGAATCAAAATCAAGAACAAAGGTTGAGGTCGAGAGCCAGAAAAATAGAAAGAAAAGTTACCCTGACATGCAAGAATCACCAAAAAGAACAACCAAAGACGCCAAAGCATGAAAGAAACCCATCTCAACGGTAGTACTTGTCATACTTATCATACGAAGACCCAGATCCCCCACCCTGCCCACTTCCACGATAATAGTCCTCATCATTGCCCCGACTACTGCGATGATACTTGCGCGCATCATCCTCAGGCCCATTTGCAGTAGGTGACTCGCTATATGACAAATCATGCGCCGATAGCCCCGCATATCTAGCTGCATGATCACGACCATGCAAATCACCCTCGGAATGTCTATAGTCACCACCGCCACTACCACCACCACCGCGGTGATTCACACTCTGCGACGAGCTGCGGGGTTCATACGAGAACCGCTTATCAGCAGAATGACCAGATCCCGAGCGCGAGTAGTGCGGGTCGCGATCATAGGAGTCGGACATGCGGTGTGCTGGATTTGGTCCGGACGCCGGTCCCTTATGGGTAGAGTCTGAGGGCCGAGACGTGGAGAAAGAGCTCGCGTGGCTGCGACTCTGGCCTGATTCTTCATAGACTTTCCCGATGCCTGGATTGGCACTATAAGGCTTGCGTTCGCGCTCGATTGGCACTGAGGGAATGGGTTCGTCTTCTTCTTCATCATCATCTGTGACGGCCGATGCGGGTCTTGGTTGTGGTTGTTGAGCTGGCTTTGGGATTGAAGCTGTGGGGCGGGGTCGGCCTCGCTCATATGAGTGTGTTCGCTCCGTGGGTGATGCGGTTGTGGTGGATGATCGGGTTGGTCGGGCGGCGGATTGGTTGCGTTCCTCGGGGGTGATGTATGGTAGATCGACGCCGCAGTGGACCATCATGCGGTTCTCGATATCTTCCCTAATTTCAATATCTCCGATTTCTGGGAAGAGACGGCGCGGGAGTTCCTTTGGGAAGCGCTCTTTCTTGTCGTCTGGGTTGTTGATGGGCATGTTGAGGACTGCTTTCTGGAGTCGCTCGTATTCGCGCCCTGGGTTCGCGAGAATCATCAAGGTTGCCCAGGTCTCGAAGCCTTTAGGTGTTAGGCCTGGGATATCTGGACGTTTTTCTACATCGGCTTGGATGAGATGGTGTTCGACTTTGATTTCGCGGAACAGTCGGGATATCGACGATGTACGATCATCGAAGATGTCTAAATATTTAGTCAGAATATGGAATGTCGATGAACAAATCAAACCACCAACCTTGCCATGGATAGGGGTCATTCGGATCATGAGTATCACGATAGAACTTTTGCAACTTGTGAGGGGGAATGACAATGGTGTTTCCCGGAGGATAGTCCTCAATCTAATGAAGTTAACCACCAGAACCCGAAGTGTATCAGAACAGACAAAAGTCCACATACCAGATGAACCGCAATCCCACGTAAGAATTGGCCAAGCCTCTTAGTCGCCTTACCATCCTCAAACAATTTCCCCCAAATCCGCTCCAGAGTAGTCATTTCCATAACAGTAGCGTCCCGATCCGGAGGTTTCGGGCGCTCCGCCTTATGATGGCTATGATGACTCCGATCACTACTCTGACTCGATATAGAACCACGTCTATTCGCAAGGGGGTCAGGGGTAGGTTTCGGGCTAAGACGATTATCACTAGTGTAAACGGGGGAGACGTATGGCTGGAAATTCCCAGTATGGACATTGTCCGAGGCCGAACTGGGCGGGGGGATTGAACTGCTTCGCTGCAGGGGTATGGCAGGCGGGGACTCTGCGTGCGGGCGCAAGGAGCCATCCGTTTGCCATGGTGGCTGCTGTGATTGCGAGCGGGGCTGGGGCGCACCAGATCCTTGTAGGTTGTCTAACCCAGTTGTTTTGAGCTGCTGGATCACTGTTGCTGTGATTTGCGATAGAACTTCCGGGGAGAGGTAGCCTGCAGAGCCACTACTGTGAAATGCAGAGCTCACTGCATTGTCTATGTGTCCAGTGTTCATGTTTGGGGAGGAGCGCTGGGGTTCCGGATAGCTGTAGGGCTCTGGGGTTGGGTTTGAGGCCGGCGAACTAGTCCGCGGCACCTGTGGCTGTGGCATATTCAGGTAGGCTGGTTCGTGGTAGGATGGATATGGGGGTGTAGGCGAGTACCCATGTTCGTTTGGATCTGGGTTCATTTTGCCCGTTTGATATGTATGCCTGTCGTAATTTCCATTGTAGGCCATACGGGGGGGTTCGGAGGCTTAGATGTGGCTGGACTGCTCTCTTTGCGCAAAGATGTGTAATCCTCCGTTCCAAATAGATGAATCGATTTGGAGAGAATGTTTAGAAAGTAAAAAGTGCAGAGAGGTTACGAATTACCAATAAATTATGGTGGAGGGGCTGGTGGGGGGCGAGTGAAACGTTGTGGCGATCACATCGTCACTAAGAGCGAGACAGATTTTAAGATTCATTCTCTTTGTACTCCCTCGACGTCACATTAGGCGGTCGCTCTTTAATATATTAGCCCTTTGTTGTATATTAAATTCCCAAAGATGCTCTGTGATATTGCTAGACTAGGTCAGAGCGACACGATCGGCAGACTAATGGAGCATGCATCTTCCATGCAATATGTGCATTATACTTTTCCTTGTACCTATCAGAGTTGCGAAGGCCACTATTTCAAAAATTGAGCTATGTCATCATTGCCAACTGTCAGCTGGGATCCGACAGTCGGGCCAGATCAGGGTATATTGTATTATTGTGATCCGGAAGGGTTGTCTATATATTCTGTGGGGCTGCCCTCTCCTTGTTCATTCTCATAAAAGTGATTATCTGACACTATTATTCGAACGAATAAACTAAAAGCCCATCGAAGACCTCAAATGGGTCACTCTATGTCTGGATCTGTTTGCCACAACCTGATAGTCTTCCTTAACCCCCAGAAATAGCTGGAACATGCCTGAATCATAATGAACTCGAACCACAAGTTGCGAACGATTTATTTATAGTGCCATGTGGGTTCGACGGAACCACCGATGTCATAACCATGGCACTAACGCCCCGACCCATGGTAGCTAAAAGGAAAACAAAAACATCCCTGCAAGGCGGTTCTATTGTATACAACATAGAAAAAGCCTCTTGCACAAAGTATGCTTTTTACCGCCTTCACGTACATCTCGAAAGGCATATAAAAAAGACATCTTAAAAGAACAGCTAACAAGACATCAAAAAGACACTACAAGGCCACATAGGCAACCGACTATTCTTGCTGAAAGTAAATTTGGATTGATACCTAGGTCTTCAGTAAACATAGTCAATCCTAGGACTTCAGAAAAGAAAGCGAAAAAAAAGTAGACAGGGTTATACCAGGCGCGGACTTGTGAGTCCACCCAACCCTGTATAGAAGCCCCGTAAGTTAGAATATGAAAATGCTGCCTGTGAGATATGCACCAGGCACAGGGCTGGAATCACTAGAAACTCGCTTTCCCTGATGAAAGAGCAAAAAATAGTGTGTGGATACATAGGAGACATCATGGGCGGACCCAGGAGTCGAACCGTCTGTACGAAGACGCAAGCGAGAAACCAGGAGTAATACACCGACAGAGGAAGGAGAAAAAGCCGCAGATTGCAATACTAGGTTCAGCCTAGCAGCCGAAGTGCTCACAGGTAGAAGCGTCGTCAGTCATAGCCCGGGGGTTGTTCGTAGGAAATGCATTGGCACGGCGTTGGAAACAATTAGAGGAACCTTCCTCCTTTCCAAGGAGTGCCATCATTGACCTTGCGAGTGCCGGGTGCCCAGCCTGGGGCAGGCTCAGGGGCGGAAACAGGCTCCTGGTGAGCACGGTGCGCCTATAGGACAAAGGTTTGTAAAAGTCCATTCAGAGCGATAGAAGTTCTGTCGAAATGAAGTTACCCACCTTGACTCTTGCAAACCCGCCCCGGTTCCCATTATCCTCGCTACCCGTGGAATCATCATCCAGAACAAGAGCTCTCTCGAGGCCCTGCTCCAAGCTCTCCTATAGTAACAGTATGTTCATGAGTAACCAAGACTTGGCAAGAGCTGATGTAATTCTGATCACTTACCAGCCGACCCAGAGAGCCAGAGAGGTTGACAGACTCAGGGCGTTCCATAGAGCCAGACAGAGCCACGGGTTCAGAACGACCAGCAGACTCAGAGTCGAGCTCCTCTTCCTCATCATCCCCCGTATCCTCAACCACAACTTTGTCCGTGATTGCAAGAGGCTGATCGACAGGATCGAGGGACATCTGGTAGTTCATACACGGCTGGCAGAGCTATTGATACCGAACTAAATGTTAGAAGCAGTCAAAGGATGTAGCTCAAGAAAGACATACTGGATTCTCACGATTCCGTTGGTTTCTGGCGAATTGGTCGATGGCACGGTAGTGACCGCAGCGATGACACAGCTCCTCACAAGCCTGAGCATTGGTGCATGGTCCACACTTAGCAACCTGCTGGTCTCGAATGCTACTGTAGCCAAGATCGAACATTGCCTGGCGGAGGTAGCCCAGTTGGTTATTTGAGTACAGGGACTTTGGGCGACGCCGCTTGCAGACGCAACATTTGATTCTATGATGGTGAGTAGTTGAAGATCAAGACGGGTGGACATACTGACTCGTTTGGAATCGGCATTCGGTCCACGCTATACTCTGTCAGCGACCATTTTGCTTCTTAAAGTGAGATTTGGTTAACTGACGCCTCTCTCATTTGCGGTGTGTATCCCTGCGCAAACGGGCTCACAAGGGGCCGTTTTCGTCGCTGAGGCATGGCCAAATAGTGGTATCTCTAGAAAGGCAGAAGACTCAGGTGGAAAATTGCAAAGATCATAGGATACTACACAGAGTGAGTGCAGTAGGTGAAGGTGAGAGAAGAAGAGAAAACGAGAGGACAGAAGTCGGTTTATAGCAGAGGAAGGCACAATGAGGGAAGCTGCGCGGGTTGGTGTTTCCGAAAGTGAGTCCGAAAGTGAGGGTTTTGGGTTGGTTACTTCAATCACCTCGAATTTGCTTTTCCATCATCCATAGCCATTGTTTTGCTTGTTTTTTTGTCTTTAGAGCTCTGCTTAACAAGGACTGAAGGCATAAAAGTGAAAATGATACCAAGGTATGGTTGTTAATTCTGAAGTAGACATATAATAGCTGAGCACACAGCTGAGTATGTAAATATCATGCAGAAGCTGCAAAAGATCAAAGCCATCACCAATCAAACAACTTGAATGGAATTATGTCCCAGAAAGCAAACAAACAGCATAATCAAGCCCACCTTGGATATCAAGTCTATTGTTGAACAAGGCAACAACATAGAAGCAAAAAAGACCTCTAGCAAAATCTTTGAAAGGAGTAACGTTACATTGAGCGGCATTCTCACCTCACTTCAAGGTACCATACTTTGTGCCCTTTTCATTATGTTCTATAATTTGCGGCTGATTCTTCCAAACATTCTAACTATAACACCAACAGAGGGGGGGTGGAAGGGAAATATCCAAAACATGACATGTAAGAAAACATTCAAAGAGACCAAAAAGAGGATGAAAAGGGAAATAAACAGATATGACAAGGCTACATAAGCGACCATTCTTCTACAATTGTGGTATTATATTGTAGCAACCATATAGCATCGATGGATAACCAAGGCCACCTTAGACATTATCAAGTCTACGCCTTAGTAGGGTAATAACAGAGATAGTAAGCAACCCTCTTACAAGACCTTCACAAAGGAGCAACTTTAGATCAAGCAGCATTCCCGCCTCACTTCTAGGCACCGGCATCCGAAAGCACTCTATTTTATTTCTAGAAAACCATAGAAGAAGCGGAGAAAGATCCTCAAATAGAAATATAAAGCATAATTGATTGCCTTTGCTTACAACATAGGGGCATCTCCCAATCTCGACAGGGGCTAGTTTCAAAACCAACCGGACCACGGACATTAGTTCCCAGAGCAATGAAGTAAGCTAGTCCGGTATGACACACATAAGGACCCAGTTTGGGCAGCACGACTGGGCAGGGGAAAGAGGGGCATATATCACTTTCACAATATAGATACATTACTGCGGTACGCAAGACATCGTGGCCGCCTTAGCTGGCGATCTAAATATACCCGGAGCCAGAATTGGAGGCGAAGAAAATTGATGGCGTGCAGAAGTGGCACTGCTATTGCGTGCACTGCCATTGTGTACTCCGTACGGAGTACGCTAGGTAGTATTAAGGGCTAGTGCTAGCTGACTCTGCAAGTGAAAGACAATATGTTGTGTTGTGCTGTAGACACCTTCCTGATCCGCCAAAGCTTCATATAAATCCAAGGTTACTGGAGTGACAGTGGGACCACTCTAATGAAAACAATTAAAAGGCCAATTCAAGCTAATTTAGTCCCCCCTCCCTCGTGCGCAGCTGGGACAGATAATCTACTAAGACTCAGATCTGACAGTCCCAGCGATCAAGGGGGTTGTCCTTCCCGCGGCTTCCACGGGTTCTGGATATTCACACACAGACACTTCGGCGTTTGAAGTGGGCCAACATGATTTAGTGTCAAAGGTAGTGTGGCAAGTTGAAGGTCTAAATCTTGCTTGAAATTGGAACGGAATAATTTGCCAACGGTCGCTAGGTAGTTCCCTAGGAAGTTCGGGATAAACATCCCTGTGATGGTGTGTTTGCCGTTGGTCAGCTTGGTCAGTCTTTAGAGAAGGGGGTTGCCTGTTAGGGGGCCAACGAGGTTGGCCAAGGCGGATTTGCTCCCGACAAGCTCTTGCTTTTTGGAGTTTAAGGTCTACCTAGGCAATAGCCACCCCATTTTAAGATAAAGATAACCATTCGGAGAGCGTTGACTAGCAATAAATCTGGATATTCGATGATCACATTGCCATGAACCACCTTCTCGAAGGCCAAAGGAACACGACGGCGTCTCCCGGCAGTTTGGGAAGCAAATAGTTTCCTTTCCTAAGTGGCGACACTGCGATCCTTCCCCTATAGCGGCCCTTCGCGGGTAGTTGGGACTGGGCTAGATGAGGCCCACCGTGGAGCATTCCGTAGTCCCCCGAATCGACGGTGCGTGACTAGGCATTTGTGAGGGATAAAGACAGCGTCGTCATAGGCACAACACCTGGATAAAGTGGGCTGTTTTTAGCAATGGGGCCAATGGCATTGTTGGCGCATAGACTCCATCGTACTACTGATCTTTGGTCGATGATGATTGGCTCGCGGATGGTGCGCGTGGAGTAGAAGCCCCACTGAGCGAATCATAGACTCGAAAGTGAGAGAAAGTGGAATATGTTCTCAGAGTGAATGTTGTTTCTGGTACTCCGTACTCCGTACTCCGTATTCTGTGTACAACATACAATCCCCATCGTATATTGTACGCGGTGTGTACTCCACGTCGCGTCCCATTGTTTTCCTGCCCGAATGGTAATACTATTGTGCGGTCTAGAGAAATATATAAAAAAGAAAAAAGTGAGTTGGCCCACTAAATCCGAACCTTGGTTTCCTTTCGGTACGGCCCTTAGATTTGCGTACTTTATGTACCTGAAATCCTATGAGATCGGATAAGGGGCGAATGCCGAACATTGAAACAGTGGATGTTGTGAGTTGATGAGTTGGAATAGACTGGTCAAATTCTTTTCAAATCAGCCTTGCAGCACACAAATAAATCTGGGATCCTTAGCCACAACGGTTGCCCCAGGGTTCGTCCCTCTGACAGGTGCATTCTATCCCGCTTCCTGCAGGTAATTACATCTCTTTACAACATCCCCGTACTTACTCCGTACTGTGTACGGAGTAAGAAGTGAGTAAGAAGTTGGGCTCCATCCAAGGGTGCGTTATCGGGACCGCGAATGTCCATTAGCCTTGAGGTTAGTGGAGAAACCGGAATGAAGCGGTTAGAGACTTCCCGTAAAGTCGCTATAACGGGCTTGGTTTATAATTTTACTGTCATCACTTTGCTTGAAATGACTTAGACCATACTCATACTCCGTACATATGCTGGTAAGATGGATGTCCTAGGCTCTATAGATTTGTAATATGTCAACACATCCGGGATCCATGGCAACAGGCATACTAACTTGAGAATCTTTGAGACGGGGTCTCAACAAAGAAACCTCAGTAGACAAGCGAGCCCTATGTTGTTCCCAATCGGAAGCGGCTGGGGAAAAACCTGTCAATGATCTCCCAAGCATATGGGGCCCAGACCCGTGTACCTTGGAACGAAGAGAAAAGAGAACCCATCATATGCAACTGCCAGCCCACCGCGGCTTAAGTCTACCTGCCTTTCTATCCCGCGAACCTTTCCGTCCGGCCGCGAACCTAGTTTACTAATTCTCTTCCACATGGCCGGCATCTTACCCCCGGTATGTGATTGGCCCCATCCAGTCGGAAGATCAGTCAGAAAAGAGACAGCGACATACCTCTCCTCACCAGAGCCCCGATGCATCAGGAGATCAGGTGGCGGAAAGCAAAATGAGGCACAGAATGTCCGATCAACCAATATCAATCAAAAGTTAAGAAGCCAACACGAACTACTCCGTAGACGAGGCACTGAAACAGGGATGGTCCGTTAGCAGCCGAATAATAAGACAACTGGTGTTCTACTATCCGTGCGAGAATGCAACCGACAGAGAGTAGAAGTCCGAAGGTAGGACATGACATAACGAACATGAGACGACGAGAGAAAGGATTCTCCTTGCTGTTCTCGCCCAGTCTGCGAGCTGTGTCTGCGTAGTACATAGTACAGCTTACATGGGTACTCCGTACTCCGTACATCTGGTACATCGACGGAGAACCTGAGTACATCTCCGCTTAGGAAGTGACTCGTACAAAGACGGGGTAACCGAGGTGATCAGAGTGTACTTTTGTATCAAAGTCAAGATGAGATGTCTTTCTTTGTACTCCGTACGGAGTACATAACTGGAGTTTATTAGAGTCCTGGAGAGAGAGAGTTCGAGGCAGCCAATTCTAATGCTCGAGTCAAATAAATTACCAAGGCGGCCCAACCCCTTCTGACACACCCCAAACAGTGCAGACTAGGGCTGCGTGGGCGACGGTTACAGGCTGCACACAATTATTGTATGCCCAACCTCCTCAATTATTAGGCGCCGTGCATCCACAGAGGTCAGATGATAAATACACTGAGGGAATTATACAGATGTGATAAGCATATAAGGTATGTTATAGAATATGCAAGTATGACTTTGAGAATACTTTTACCATACTCTGTTAATGTGGAATATTTAATTAATATAATGAGACCTCTCTCTTTTCTTTTTTTCACGAAGTGTTCATGTTTTAGCTTGGGAGACTTGTACGGTAAAATTGAAAATAAGGTACCCGTTTCCAAGATGGGTGTCCCATTGGTTGAGACGGGAGTAACCCGTTATTTGGGGTCTTAGCTGGTTTTAGTTGGTTTATTTTATTTTAATTTGCATTTTTCTGTTTGGTTTATTTTTGTAAATTAGTTTATTTTCTTTTTTTTCTTTTGGTATAATTTCTGTATTGCAATTTGTTCTGTATTTTGAGTATTTTGAGTATTCTAGATTCTCATACCCAGAAACCCCCCCTCTCTATATGCACCTTATGTGTGCGATGCCTCTTTTTATTCTCTTCGTTTCTTTATTCTTATTATTCTTATACTCTGATACTTCTAAATTTCTATTCTCTCATCTATACATATTTCAAGTGACCTCATATTCAAATCGATTTCGCCACGGTGGACTGATCTGCAACGACCATAAGTCGTTAATTTACCGTCTCCACGCCCCCGTCTAGGAGCTTGAGCTGTCACCGCGTCAGGGGCTCACTCTCGGTCCTCCGATCCCTCCAGTTTCCACCAGAACGGGTCTCCTCCTATTCTGGATTTTCCTTTTTATTGCATCGTGCCCGGTCCTCAATCCTCCCAGATCGCCCACTACATGACCACCGTCACTCCCCCTCCAACTACCTTGTCACTCCTTACTTTTCCGTCAATGGGAACCCAATCGTCTGGCTCGAACTAATATTCGGAACATGATCACCTGCTGCAATTGATATCCCATATACATACAACACACTCACTCGGGGATACTGCGAAACTTTCCCCTCTACATAATTGTAAGAACGCCTGATCTTCTGAGAATGTTGGGAAGCTGACCTGAACCCTCCTCAGAACCCCTCCTCCACATTCCTCTCCCGATCTGCTGGCAGACCAGAAGAGACATCAACATGACCGTCACATACGATACACCCACTCGTGGGTCACATACCTCCATGGCAACCCTCGAGGACCGCTTCGAAGTCATCAAGGAGATTGGTGATGGAAGCTTCGGTAGTGTTGCCGTCGCACGCGTACGGACCGCTGGTGCTCATATCGCTCGGAGAGGCACTATGGTATGGAATAGCAAGATTGGTGGTATATTGTGCTTCCACTGACTCATTGGTTAGGTTGCAATTAAAACGATGAAGAAGACGTTTGATTCCTTGGGTCCATGTCTAGACCTGCGAGAGGTCATCTTCCTCCGAACATTACCCATTCACCCCCACCTCGTCCCTGCCCTCGACATCTTCCTCGACCCCCTCTCTCACAAGCTTCACATCTGCATGGAATACATGGATGGCAACTTATATCAGTTGATGAAGGCCCGTGACCACAAATACTTTGAAGGCAAGCATGTCAAGAGTATCCTTTACCAGATCTTGTCCGGTCTGGACCACATCCACGCACACCACTTCTTCCACCGCGATATCAAGCCCGAGAACATCCTTGTATCAACCTCCGCCCCCAATGATTCTGCTTTCAGCCGCTACTCTAACCTCGTCACCCCTCCCTCCACCCCTCCTGTCTACACTGTGAAGATTGCCGACTTCGGCCTGGCCCGTGAGACCCACTCCAAACAACCCTACACCACATACGTCTCCACGCGCTGGTACCGCGCACCTGAGGTGCTTCTACGAGCCGGAGAGTATTCGGCCCCAGTCGATATGTGGGCAATGGGCGCCATGGCAGTTGAGATTGCCACCTTAAAGCCCCTATTCCCAGGAGGCAACGAGGTAGATCAAGTTTGGCGTGTGTGTGAGATCATGGGTAGCCCAGGGAACTGGTACAGCAAGTCGGGCAACAAGATTGGTGGCGGTGAATGGCGCGAAGGATCGCGCCTGGCTCACAAGCTCGGTTTCACATTCCCCAAGATGGCACCACACGCAATGGAATCCGTGCTTCAGCCCCCGATGTGGCCCGCGGCATTTAGCGAATTCGTCACATGGTGTCTCATGTGGGACCCTAAGAACCGCCCAACGTCTACCCAGGCGCTTAACCACGAGTACTTTGCCGATGCGGTTGATCCGGTACGGCCCAAGTCCTCTACTTCGTCGAGACTGCTCGGCCGTAAGCAGTCCGAAAAGAGCTTCAGATCACCAAATCTTACCCCTGGTGACTCTCCTACCCTATCTTCTAAGCCCTCGTGGTTCCGGAGATCATTGATCGTTCGGTCAGACAGCCCTGTCCCTTCCGCAGAAGATAGCCCCGCCCGACCGCCAGTTGTTACTCAAGTCACTGTGCCTGAGATCCAGCCTGTCAAGCCACGTCCCGCGAATACCAAGCGGGCTACCTGGGCAAACGGTGCGCCGATGCCAATCCTTCCTTCTATCCGCCCTGTCTCCCCTCTCTCCAACTCCGTTACAGCCCAGGCAAATGCGACCGTGGCACACAGCGAGTCTTCCAAGTCCTCCGACACATCAGCTAGCTCAAAGATCGGCCGTCAATTGTCCCTCAACTCCCATGGGAACCACTACTCGGACCAGAATCGCCAAGAGGCTGAAAGGATGCTCAATGGTTCCGGGACCAACACCCCAACCACAAAGGAGAGTTTCTTCTCGCATCTGCGTAAGCGCGCCCGTAGATTGTCTGGACGAAACCAAACAGCGCCCGCTGATGATGTCGAGGCTAACGCAGGCTGCATCCCATGGTCGAACCGTTCATCAGTGGCTCTTGATGGGCCTACCAGTGAGCCAAAGCAAGGTTCCGACTTGACCGAGCTGGACAAGGCTCTTCAATGTGTCAAGTACTCATTGGACTCGTCTACACTGAGCAACGTCCCGGTGCACTTGAACAATTCCGCTGACGGCCACACCAAGCGTCAGTCAATGCCTCAGGCCACCGGCAACACACCGGCTCCTATCTCTAGCAGGACTCGCCGTGCCATGCAGATGTCTACCCACCCGGTTCACCGATACGAGACCCCTGAAGAGGAAGATGAATTGCTTGATGAGGTGTTGCACTCCGCCAGCAAGGCAGCTAGACGTCTTGCTCTGACTCAGTCAATGGCTGCCGACTCGCACAGTGGTATTCGCCGACAGTCAGACAACTCGCGTACACTGCAGAACCCATACCCTACCCCATCACCCACGGCCAAGGACAGTGCTACGTTCGGTCAACAGTCGACACCTAGCAAGTTGAACATCCACAAGATTGATCCCACGGCCACAAACCGCCATTGGCCCACTCCTCCTTACGAGGAGGCCGAGCTTCACAACAAGAAATCCGACTACTTCGCTCGTGGATCCAACTATATCTAAGTGTCCCAACCACCACTCACCATCTTGAAAATCACATCCTTTCGAGTTGCGAAAAGCACAAAAATTTGGGCAAAATTGCGCAACAACGGAACAAACACCGAGCAACCTACATAGCTCAAGGCGTATGGATTCGGGTATTCTTTTTTTTTTTCTTTTCATTTTCTTCACAAGGTCTGGCTATTTTGGAGGGTGTTTTATCATTGTTTTTTTGTTTCACATATGGGCATTGGGATTTCGTCCTTTTTTTTTTTGCAAGTTTCTCATTTCTCCTACATTCATACCCCTGCAGCCCTTTTTATAGATGGATCCGGGCCTCGTTTCATTTTCCTTTTGGAGTCCTTTCGTTTCATCATTTACCAGGGGCGTGATTTCTTTCCTTGACATTTGATACCACATGCGCAAGTCGCATCATACACCGCGTTTCCCTCTACCTTCTTAGGTATTCCTCACCCTCTCTTCCTCCGATACGTCTGATATCGGATCTGCACATTTGCACATCATTCTCGATGAATATTGCGCTCTTTTTCTTTTGTTTATATAATTTTCCCCCTTTCTCCCCCCGCTTGTACATTGTCCGGCTACAGCCATTCCCATCTTTACTCTTCTTGTCTATCATTTTTCCCACTTATTTATCCCCGCATTCACATATTCCTGTCATAGCCCTCTTTCATGCTTGGATTTCTTGTATCATTTTCTCTCTCTCGGCGTCCTGGTTTGGATCCAGTCAGTTCTATACATACTCTTGTAATATACCACCTTTGGCCGTTGTGCCATGCCCATACATACATCTTACTACATACGCATTGAATCTACTCAGACTATACTGAGATTTACACTTGTTCTTCATGGTGTTTACTTCTTTTAACATTTTCTCTCAATTGTATTGAATCAGTTCGCATAGTAGCTGGTAGTGGAAGACTGACACCGTGGGAAGGTAGAGTTATCAAGCGAAAAGTCTGTAGGCTTAATACCTGTAGAGAAATAGATTATACAATAGAAAACAGCTCTATCTCGAGATTACATACTCCGTAGTGAATGTAGAATTGCATCTATACTTCGCAAACTCCGTCCATGGATCGATATCAGCGGAATAACAATCATCCGTGGCACATCAAGATTTCCTGATTGAGACTGCTCTGTTCGATTCAACCAACTTTTTTTTCTTCTGCTCCATTTCTTCCCAGCAGAACATCACCAGTTGAAACTAGACTGGCTATAGCTTTAAATCCGTGCTACCAACACCTTAGCACATCCAGCACGCGCCGGCAAGCACTTTTCACAAATCGCGGGCCGATCACCACAAAATCAAACCGCCCGCCAACAGCTACGAGCTTAACCTCGCGCAACCGAACTTCAGCTCTATCCTCCAAAACACAGCACTCTATTTTCCCCGCCGCATACCAACACAAATCCCGCCAAAATGTCAAATCAAAGACAAGCATCCTCCGCCTCTCAAGTCCCCCACCTCTCACCCGCCGAACTTTCCTACCTCTACACCTCCCTCAGCCTCCCCAAGAACCCAATCCGACCAGATGGCCGCTCACCCACACAATTCCGCCCTCTCTCCGCCGAGACCACTATCCTGCCCGGCGCGAACGGCAGCGCGCGCATCGGGTTCGCAGACGGCACGCAAGCGATCGTCGGCGTGAAAGCAGAAGTTGAAAAGACCGTTCTCGCAGCCGACACGCTCGACTCGCGCAGTCTGGCGCAACATGGCGATGCACTGAACCGTGAGGGTGAGGAGGGCTCAGCCGCTGTTTCCGGACAGGGAGAATGGGTGCAGATGTCGATTGAGATCCCCGGGTTTAGGGACGATGATGCCCTGCCTGTGTTTTTGAGTGAGATGATGCGGGAGAGTCTGGTTGGTTCTGTTGCTGGTGGAAATGGGGATGCGGAGAAGGAGATGGCCGGTGGGTTGAAGGGGAGACTTGTTATTAACAAGCGGTGGCATTGGCGCTTGTATATTGATGTAAGTTTCTCAGAACGCTTTCTGTCTTTGGGGTTATGGGCTTTCTGTGGCTCGAAAGGTATGCCTTGATCACTGCTAACATGTTATACTCTAGGTCCTGCTCCTCTCCCAACCCCTCGCATACCCCCTGCCCCTCCTCTCGCTCACAACCCACCTCGCCCTCCTCAGCACTAAGCTACCGAAACTCAAGTCCACGGGCGAAGAAGATCCCTTCTTCGATGATGACTGGGCTGCCGCGGAGTATCTCTACCCCCGCTCCAATACTTCTAAATCTTCTCTCTCCGCTGCTCCATCATACCCCGTCCGCCCACCTGTAACGCTGCTCGTGATCTCCGTCGGTGACAACGTCATCTTCGACCCCAACCGCGAAGAAATCGCCGTTGCAGATGCCGTCCTGGCCATCTCCGTTACACGCAGTAGTGACTCCGAGACTTTGAAACTGCTATCGATCCGCTCGATCGATCCCCCCTCCCGCCTCACTCAGCCTGGTATCCCCAATTCCGAAAATGTGAATATGCTCGGTGCTACTGCGGCGCCTGGGGAGGAGACTGGTGGTCAGGAAGAGGTCGAGGGTGTCTGGCGTCCACGCAGGGGTGGTGTCAAGCGCAGTGTCATTGCGCGCATGGTTAAGACTGTCCTCGGTAAGGGTGGTGTTGGCGAGGAGGTCCTTGAGGGACTTGAGGGGGTTGAGGTGCAATGATTGATCCATTTCTCATGGCCATGTATGAGTAATAAAGTACAGCATTACTTTACGGTTGCGACCTTGATATCTGAGTTGATAGGTCGCTGCTTCTGGAGTTTGGAGAAAAGCGTTGTCTTTTGATTAAATCGTTTCTGTTCATCGTTGATTCGATTGAAGTTGAGATAATCCTCCTATCGTAGCTGGACTGAAAGTCCACTAATGTACAAAATGGATTGAACTCCATTCACACCAACGTCACTGTGCCCGAAGGTCGCTCATGTAGTATAGAACTCATGGATACGTACCCACACCCAAACCACATAGATATCATGTGTAGCCTATGCCATACCTGCATATGTAGATATGTCACCCGTATATATGAATGAGATAGCCCTAGAGCCTATCCCAAGCTATGCAGGGAATCAATCACCAAATCCCCAACCACTTCTTAACAGGCTTCTTATTCCCCTCCCAATCGACAAATTCCTTACCCTCCGCCCCTTCAACAGCAGCAACAGGCGACTGCAAATCAACCTCATTACCACCCTCCTTCTTCTTCTCAGGCTCCGCCTCCTCAAGCCCATGCGCAACGCGATACTGCTTCCTCTTCTCGGCATCCTCAACACGACGGTGTCGCTGCTCCCGCACACGCATCGAGTTGTGCTCCACGTGCATGCGCCATACAGACAAGACCTGTGAGATCGTGCCGACGGGCGACGTCAACAGACTCGACCAGGATGGTAGCAGGTGCGCGAAGGGCGAGGTTGCTTTGAAGTTTGTTGTAAATGTGAATCCCGCGCAGGAGATTAGGACGCTCTGTGGGTTGGTTAGTTACTTTTACTCGATTCTCCTGGTGCCTTTTTTTCATAGACTGAGAGCTAGATATATGCTGGTCGGAAACTCACCATCGCAATCCAAATGTGAATCCACTTGCTCGTCAAGAACTTAAACATCACCGTTCCCTCCGGCGGGAACATACCCGGATACTGCGTCTTGCTTTGCTGCACACGCTCTTTCTCTGTCGTGCGCGGGCCATACTCGAATGGTTGACCTGGAGGTGCATTCTTCGGAGATGGAGTCACGAGGCGTTGGGGGTGCGAGGGTGGGCGGAATCTGTCGGGCTTTGCGAGGACGCGGGGCTTGGAGCTGGCGCTAGATTTGGAGTTGGCATTGGTGTTGCTTTTGCTGGCTTTCTTCAAGGCGGCGCTGGTTGAGGTGAAGCTGCGTTGCGTGCTTTGACGTTGGAGGGCGCGCAGGGTCAATGCTGAGGGTGGGCCTCGCGGGAGGAGGAAGCCGGGGATTGGGGTTGGCATTTTTGAAATTGCGTTCTCGCCCTTTTGCTCGCGGGGAAGGATTGGGTGGTCTTGTTGACTTTGACTGTTATCTAGATGTGGAACCGTAGATGCAATTTTTGGAAGGTTTTATATCACGTGACTGTATCGGGATATCGGATGCCGATTGAGTCGAGATGCTCTCACCCGGGAAATGCATATCCTAACTATTTCGGGGAGAAAAATTATCAGACCACTTGACCTTGGAAAATATTCACGTGGTTTAGTATCCATCATTTCCCGTGTTTCCCACCAATTGAAATGGTCTGGTCATAGCTCTAAGCTGTACGGAGTAGTCGGAGTCATTTCTTACTACGGAGTACATCAAACCAACCTAATGAAAGGTCATTGTCCTATGTCTACTGCAACCTCGGCAACAGGCTAAATTGCATTCGCCGAGAATGAATCGAAAATAAACCGTTTCTGCCTCAGGATCCACATATCGGACCACCGGGGATCAGCTCGGGCGAATGAGAACCCTGCCATTTCGAAGCCGCGGTGGATCGGGATGTTGCTCCAGTTCTCCAGGGGGGAAAGGAAGGGGGTGAATATGAGATATGATCTCGGTCACCATGGGCATCCAGAGAGGAATTGAATGTTTCAGTTTGTAAAGTTCCAGTGAAGCTAGTCAGGAACCCGTAGGTTCTAAGCTCCCAGGTGATGATGAGTTATGAGATCATGGGGGGGCGGAAGATGGGAAGTGGATGGTGCATGTTGATTCTTTGCCACTAGCAAGCTGCTAGTAACTGTTCTAAGCATTGAATGTATCTCAAGAAAGTAGAACAAAGCAGAAGTGTGAGTAGTCAGAGTATATAACAACCACACCGAAGTTTCCGGTTGCGCCCGTTCACCTGAATCATCTGACTTCTGATTGGCGGAGCGGCAGATTACGAGAGAGAGCGTCGGGGCCAAGTACAAATAACCAGATTTTCTTTTCTCCCTTCCCAGTTTTTTCTGTACAGTACAGTGTCATAATAACCTCTTTTATTATCCTTTCATAATACTTCACAATGCCTCCTAAGAAGCAAGAATCTTTCGCTCCTGGTAAGCTATCTACCTTCCCCCATTGAGCTGAAAGGAGGTTGAACGGGGGAGGCGCCATGGAGGTTGACATGGAGGTTGAAAGGAAGGAAGTGAAGGTATCCCAACTTCTAACATGGCAACACTGTTTTGTTACCTACTTGGGATGGCGATTGACACTTCCTCACCTTTCCAACCACTGCGCCTCCTCGTCAACCTAACTACCTTTCAATTGCGACCACCGCAACCTTTTCCCAACGTACCACGCATGAATCATCCAACATGACTACCTTCGATGTGTTCTGCACCTTGACAATCATCGACATGCGCGAGGCCGAGCGTGCAGAAGCCGCCCTCATCGAAGAAGCGAAAAAAGAAGCCAACAGGATCGCTAATCTGAACCTCCCTCCAGGTGACGCCGCCAAGGGTGCCAAGCTCTTCCAGGTCAGTTCATTATTGCTTCACGCGCAAATACAGGAAACAGGAAACCTAACAGCTTTTTCTCTCAGACCCGTTGCGCCCAGTGCCACACCACCGAGGCTGGCGGTCCCCACAAGGTCGGCCCCAACCTTCACGGTCTCTTCGGCCGTAAGACCGGTTCCTCCGAGGGCTACGCCTACACCGACGCCAACAAGCAGGCCGGTGTTGAGTGGAACGAGACCACTCTGGTAAGTGCCAACTGCCATCTTCAGCTCAGCCGATCGTCCCCTAACAATACCGTCATAGTTCTCCTACCTCGAGAACCCCAAGAAGTTCATCCCCGGTACCAAGATGGCCTTCGGTGGTCTCAAGAAGACCAAGGAGCGCAACGATCTTATCACGTACGTTACCCGCGAATCCACACCCCCTGACCCAGACAACTAACAACCCCATAGCTGGCTCAAGGATAACACCGCATAAACGACCTGATGTTCTTTTTTATTCCCCGGATTTTTTTCTGTTTCTCCCCATAGAAGTCTGGGATTATGGCGCCATGGGCTGATTACCGGGTCTCCCACGGGACCGGGGGCTGTATTTTTATTACAATTTCCATGACCCAAAATAGATTTGATCTTCTCCTCTTCTTGATGTCTTCTTGATTTTTGATAGACCAAACGCACTGCAAACGGGTGATGTATGCAAGCTTATTCCCAAGTGTCTGAGATTCTTCGGATTATGATGGAGGTTTGTCTTATGATTGGTTGATGATCGTGGCTGTATCGATTGGGCAAACATGGGCGGTCAGGCACGGAGATACTTGACAGGTACTTGATGAGTACCTTGGTGCTAACTACGGACACAACACAAACAGGAAGTACTTCGGAAGTACCGTCCCTTGTACATTTCCGGTATCTGATGTGTACAAGCCGTGTTGGCTTCGAGTCTCAGCACATGACCCAGCAGGGGTCAGGCTGATTGGCCCAACCTCCTCGACTTGAATAGAAGTGAGGGGACGCATGCCTTCTCATCTTCTCATTCCTGATTCATCCATTGCTCAACGAGGCGTTTCGATCCCAGTTCCATATTAATCTCCAACGTGTTGCCTGATCGCATCTTGTCTAACATCAACTATCGAATGCGCTTATCTCAGTACTATCCTGTGCCCTTTAGAATCCAATACCTGCCTTGTCGCATCGCATCGCATTATACCTTATCGCATCTTTGGCGTGGGGTTGACTGCTCAGATATCTTCTGTAACGGCTAGCGCAGGGAGACACCGTCCCAGCGCATATACTAACCACCCAAGTTTATCTAAGGAAGTCAAAGCGGTTCAACCCGCAAGTGATCGCCACTCATAGGCATTGATCTGCGCTTTGTCGCTGAGAACTGCGGTGCCTCTTCTTCCGAGGCGCGACTATCGCGATACGCCGTCCGGGATGCTGGACGAGTTAGACAACGTCTTCGACGACCATCCATCCCTGGACGCGTCGCTCGAAGACTTCGAGAACAATACCAACCCCCACAGGTCCCCAATGTTCGCCCTGCCATCCCAACACTCTGGATTCCGGTCTGAAGACTCAGATGGGGAAGATGGAGAGATTGAGGACCCGGCCCAGGAGCGCTGGTCACCCCCAGGCTTCCATCAACCCGAATATGTTCAGGGCAGTGGATGGTACCGCCACCAGCCCTACCTGCGCAAGGATAACCCCACTACGGATCGCTTGCAGCTCAAGCCCACAATCGGGCTCAGTGTTTCCCCATCCCAGTCGCGCGAGCCAAGTCCACAGTATGAGGATGCGCTCGAGGGTCATCCGAAGAGTAGACAGGTCGATCGCGCCACCCCGGGCGACATCTCTGTCGCGGCTAATGTGCCTCTACCGGCGGGCGCAGATACCCCCCTCCACGGACGATCCCCAAGTCCGCCTCCGGCTCCGAGTACAGGGCGCACACCACGCCACAGTCCCGAGGACGACGGGGTGGGCTTTGGCGCGGAGAATCTGAGCAACTGTAGGCCCTGTCTGATCTGGTTTCAGTTGCAGGCGCGGGTATACTAACGATTGTTGTGAATGAATAAAGACATTCGCTTTGCAGTGCGTGCAGAAGTCCAGCACCGAGAACCTATTGCCGCGTTGTTTGGCTATCTGCGCTCCAAGTTTGAGCGCATGACCAGCTCCAAGTCTAACACCACGTTATCTATCATAATCCTCCTCATTTCAGTCGCGTTCATGCGCGCTCTGGTCCTCCCAGGCCTCCCACAATCGATTCCCGATTTAGTAAAGCTATCCGGCTTCGCGCGCTCCTTCGAACCATTGATATACTACTCAGAGAACGGCGTTCAGCAAATCGGCACCCTGCAAGAAACCGGCGTCGCAGTCTGGGACCTGAGCGAGTCCGTCCGCGGCACGAACATGACGAGCGCACCCATAATCGTGCGCCAACTAGACGAGCTCTCCGACTCCCTCAAGTCCCTCTCCCTCGAGCTAACCCGCTTCTTCGCAAACGTCGATTCAGACATCGACTCCATCCTAATAGTAATGGACTGGGCCAAGCGCGAGCTCGAAACCCTCTCCGCCCAGCCCCCAAGCACCCTCCCCACAATCGTCTTCGACAATATGCACAACATGCTTTCACGGATCGGCGCGCTCGAACGCTCGGCTCAAGTCTCCGACAATGGCGTCTCTGCAACCTCAACAACGACAACGCCCCTCGGCCACCTCGTAATGGCCGTCTTCGGGCCCACATCCGCGCAACGCACACGCACAACTCTAACCCGCACCTTTACGGAGTTCCTCTCTGTACTAGAAGAATCAATCAACAGTGAACTCACCCACTCAACCGCACTCTTCGCGCTCTTCGAGTCCATCGACCGCCAATTCCTTAATCTTCAGCGCACAGTGGTCCGCGAATCAGATGCTCAAGAACGCGCAGAGGGCGAGATGCTCTCTTCCCTATGGACGCGCGTGCTAGGTCCCGATGCCGCAGCTGTTCGCAAATACGAAAAGAACAAGAAACTCCTCGCGAATGTGCGCAGTCGCACTGTTGCCAATAAACACCTCCTCGTTGACCACCGCGGTCGACTTCTCACGCTGAAGGTGAATCTCGAGACGCTGCGCAGGAAACTAGTCAGCCCGCTTGTGCGTCGGAATGACTCTGTCAGCTTTGTCGGGTCAGTTGATGGGAGTGGGGGGAGTGGGAATGGAAATTCCGGCTCTGCGGGCCGCATGCTTGGGCCCGTTGAAGCTGTTATCGATGGACAGATCCGTGGGTTGGAGGGGACGTATGATTATCTGCGGACCGTTCGGGAGAAACAGAAAGCGAAGCTTATGGAGCTTGTTTATGGGGCAGGGAGGAAACCGAGTCGGGCAATGATTGATGGGTTAGAGGGGAGGGATGATGATGAGTGAAGGCTTGAGGAGGTGTCCTGAACTTGTTTATTGTCTCTTTGCTTTCTTTTGGCCTCATTTCTTGTCTTGGCATAGCATCCTGGTTCCGGTTGGGTTCTTTTGTCTCTCCTCTCTGGCGTTCTAGGGCATATGTGGCAGGGCATCCGCGGCTGCGGGCTTTTCGTGGGAATTGGTGGCTTACCTGCTGTGCCTCTTTGAATGACTGCTTTGTTCCTGTTTTTGTTGACTTCGTGGCGAATAGGTTGGATTGCGAGCAAAAGGGATAGAAACATGTGGCGCCAGCTGGTTTGTTTTCACTTCATGGCGCCGTGCAGTTATGGGTTTCTTTGTGGGTGTATGAATGAATATTTTTGCTGTTCATAGTCATTGCCCTTATGCATCTTCCTTATATGAGTCCCTGATTATCCATAGACAAATCCCCTATACGGGTTATGCTTCATATGTTATATTGTCGTAGAGTGATAAGCTCGGCATGTCTTCGTTCCATACATGTAATATAGCTAATGATCATCCTCCTAGCTATAACCCCGACGAGGAAGATATCTATATAAAAAGACAATTCAAAAGACATCCAAAAGAGACAACAGATTCTTATCTTCATGTAAAGTCTTTACAGAGGTCGCATACATAGCTGACTACCCGTACTCATTGACTTCCAGATAAAAAAGCAAACTATATCTTTCATTATCCCGCGCTTTTTGTTGTTTTCACTGATCAACTCCTATTTGATGGTATCCATAGATTAACAGGAATGTGCTTGAAGAGAAAACCCTGGACCCACAGAAAAGGCAAGTTCTCAAGTAGGTTGCGTGCCGGGTCAATAGGATACTGCTCGACCGAAACCAGAGGATAATCGTTTCGAACCGCGAACTGCTCATCTACAAAAAAGAACTAAGCACAATCAAGCCAACTGCAACGTTTCGTGTAAATCTGGCTGACAGTGTCCAGGATTTATTTCAACTCATCGTCACTCATGCCTGCTTCGTTGGTAAAACTAGCTTTGGTGGTCAGGGCAGTTTTGCAATTCCTCCAAGGCAAAGTCCGGTACTCAATCGGGGCATATTATCCATTTGACGATCCTTCTTGTCTTGTACCATCATAATTATCTGGATCTCTTCCTCGGTTAATCGATTCGTGAGGAAACCCACAAGTCGTGGGCAATACCGTCTCTCCGACCATTGAAGCTGCTTTGCTAAATATGGTTGACCCGGATGCCAAAGGAACTCTCGTGAGCCCTCAGGACGATAATTATATTTGTAACCACCCGCTAAAGGAGTCTTGCTTGGAGTGCGAGGAGGAGATGAAGAAAGGAAGGAAGGACTTGGGTAAATGTAACTTTGAATGCCCCTCACCTAGATGAGGTGGAATTGGAGAAGCAAACAAAATGAGTAGTAGAAGGAGTAGTACCTGTTAGAGTCTATCACATTGTGGGTTCAGTAGGCACAACTTGACATGCCATGGATGCCTAGGCACTTACTTTATATTTTATACAACGTGGATCCGAGGCAACGAGCAGAGGGGCACAGGAGAAATGATGATGCCCAGACCATATATATACATATAGTCAGCATACTCTATTCAACCACCCCATTGCATAAGATAAGAGTGAGCGAGAAAGAAGGAGAGAGAGATGTATATATAGAGAACCTTTGTGGGCGGTGAGACAGCAAACAAAATCCTAAAGAACACTACGTGATAACAGCACTTTTAAGACTCAGGCACATATTTCTTCTCACTACTAAAGAACTACATATCAAAGAGATCTCTGGAAAGAGATTAGAAAGGACATATAGAAAGACCACCAAAAAGACTTGACAAGGCGGCAGAATTGGCTAACTATTCTTGTCTCCCATACTTCCAGCGTGTTTGAATGCTAGGTTTTCCTTTTCTCTATTGATAAACTCGCTGAAACAAAATCGATGAATCTCCCTCCCTTCTTTGGTGATTCTCATGGATAAACTCCGTCAGCTCCAAACCAGTATGTGATTTTGTTTGAATGGCGACTGTAATTTGTGTGCTGACCTCAACTGCTAGAAAATCACTAGTCCTGGTCGACCAGGTCGCGAGGATCAGGCTAGCCTGGCGGCTATGGCAGCGGCTGGGTGTGGGTGGAATTATCATACGCTATTGCTAAATATATTGCATGGAGCTTCGACGCTGGAGACTTTCCGTCAATATCGAAGTCCTTTATAAATACATGTGATATTGACCGATTTGAACAAAGGTACTAGCCTCGACCATGGCTTTTCAAGAAACCTATCACGAAAACGAGGAGAGTGGTAAAATGACCTTATAATGCCAATATAAACCAGCACAAATCACACAAAAGCCAGAGTTCTTTTTCTGTTTTGCCATCTCAACAAAATCAAACCTATATCCCATCTTCCAAAATCAGGCCAGTTCATTTCGACGACCTCTATATCAGTATCTTGGTGGCACTGCCAGAGCATAAAATCACTCAAACGGTAGACCCCCGACGTACGTACCAGAAGGTCCAGTGGGGGAAATCCCATAAACATATTCTCTGTCAAAGACTTTGCCGTGATCTTGGCAGGGAAGGCAGAGTCAGCAACAGTCTCCCTGATAGCAGAGGCAATCTCATCCCTGGCAGTATAAGCGACACAGATATTCACAACCTTGCCACGGTTATTTTTTGTAGCATTCATAGTCTTGGAAATAGCCCTTAAAACGTTATCTTCTAGCAATTCCAAACGACCCAAGACCCGGATTCTGAGATTGTGCTTCTTCACCAATGGATCATTCTCGCCCATTTCTCCAACTGACCCTTCTAGCAACTTCATAAGAACATCGACCTGCTCTTTCGGTCTGTTGAAGTTTTCAAGGCTGAAAGCGTAGAGGGATATAACGTTGACTCCGCAGTCAAAGCATGTATCCATGATCTATTTCCGGTGTTATCTCAATAGTTGATAGCTTGGAATATGTAACATGAGAATTTACCTTTACTAGAGCTTTTGCACCAGCTAAATAACCCGAGGCGATGGATATGCCGTTCTCTTTTGCATACCGTCGGTTTCCATCCATTATGAACGCTACATGTCGTGGGATGGGACCTTGAGCTAATGTCTCTAATACGAATTGGTTGATATATATGAAGGCATGCTCCAGATATTTATAGAGGAGGTGGAAGATGTGCATTATATCAAGTAGGACATCTAAGGAGGTTCGAATAATAGATTTTGGCCTAAGAGTTTATAGGGAGCTCAAGCTCCTTTGCTTGATTGATCCGCAAATATGTCTCACAAACTACTGGCATGCATATATGTAATTTTAGGCCGTCATATTCATTGGATGAATACTCGAAATTATCTAATCGTAGAGACATCTGATACGTGATCATGTCTACATTAGCGTTGTGCAAAACTGAAATTGCCCTATCAGATAAACTAAATCCAAGTCAACCTTTAGGATTAGATATCTATATGTGTCAAAAGGCACAAGAAAAGTAAAAACAACCGATAAGCACCAGGGCTACAAAAACAACCAGTCACTATGGTGTCACTGGTATTACCCTATCCTGCCGTGAGGTATGACTTTGCGGTTTGATTTCGTCTATGTAAGGTTGTATCGAGAGATAGTGTACCACTCCATCATAAATTCCAGGATCCGACGGGATTGGTTGCTGTTTACCACCCCCCTGAGGCTTGTGTCAAGGGCGGCGTTCGGTGTAAACCTCGCTTGCGATATGTCGGATTCATATCTTCATTATGGGCCTCGGATACTCTTTTTGGTGGTTGCGGAATATTCCGGCTCATGAGAACGATATTTGAAATTTTGGTACGATTGGTCTAATAGTTGGGTACATGATACTAGACACAGCCGGCTTCCCGTGTGGATTTGCGGCGAAAGAAGGGTGAAAGAGCGCAAAGTGAAAATGAGCTGGACAAGATCAAGCAGATTGGAGTGATCTAAAAGAAAGACTACAGGCATCTTCTAAGCTTAGCTGTAAATTGAAAATTAGCTGCTATAGGGGGTGAATCTTGGCAGTTTTCCAGGCGAGTAAACTAATTATAGGGCCCGGGATACAAAAGGAAGAAGAATAGTAATATTTCAGTCTCTAGAATATCATTACGATGTGAATAAAGTGTCCATTGACTGGAAACGGTAGTTGATTGCCCTTCAGGTCGTGGCCTCGAACTAAACTCACAACAAAATTTGATTTTATCCTTGAGTATTAGCCTATCCCCGCTTCTATTTCTTAACTGAAGCCGAATATTTAGTGAGAGATGATATTGCATAATATTTAGCCACATATGATCAAATTTTGATTCGTCGCAATCAGATGTAACTAACGATAGTGCGAATCTATGACCTGAACATCGAGATATTTGAATTCAGTGGCTAGTCAAAGTTCCACAGAAGCCTCACTTGGAATAATGGATCGAGCGGGCAACAAGACATAGTAGATGCCATAGTGTTTGAACCCAAATAGTTCCTGTAGAAAGGACTTGTTGAAGCTTCTCTCATACCTGTCCATAGCCAGCGCCAGCAAACCAATCTTCGATTGGGAGATCACTGTCCTGTTAATTTGGTAGATTGGGAGGCTTTTTAGTTGGCAAAGACAAATCTTTGCTGTTTGTAGAGGGAAGGTACCAAACTGCTGCCTGACAGAATTTATCCTGCTCCGCGGACATTCAAAGCTGTCCCAAACGTCGAACTTGATAGCGGTGGGCAGTATGCAGTCTCACCTCAAGTTCACTTTGATCTTCATTTTGATAACTTGAGGGATGTTTCCATGATGGAATGGCGTTGAATACGTTTGTTGTATCAGATAGGGGAGAAGTGAAATGAAGTAAACGTAGACGGGATTTGCTTTGGTTGCCAACGGAGAAATTTGACCGAGATACACCGATATTAAACGGGGAGTATGAAAAATTTCACGGGTATTTGGTGGTTGTTGGAAGAGAAAGACGTGATTTTGTTTCTCGACTTGTCATACCGGGGAAATTGGATGATCGTCCTGAAACTATTCCCCAAATGTAACTCCCCTTTGATTCGTTTACCACAATCACCTCATGAATGGCTTCCGACGGCCGTTCAATATGTGAAAATATCTGCCTAGTCCCATCATGTCGAACTTAGTACTTGTGGAGTTAGCGGAGAGATTTCAATGCCCCAAAGGTGCCTCTTACTGGGAACCCAGATCACTTATGTCCCAAGCAGATTCTGTGCACCGTGTCTTCAAACCTGGCCGAGCACCTCCATTTTGAGGTCCAGCGTATATGAAGCACGATCCAGGGCATCGGGATCCCTGTGTGCCAAGGGCCCGAGTGAAAGGGTATGAGTGTTAGGATAGCGAGAGAAAGAAGAAAGGGAGAAGACGTTTTACACCCGACGAGAGTTGAGTGGGTTAAATACTAAACCAGGGCTTCCTAATTAGGCAAGTACGCGTGAAGAGGAAGGCGCGAAGCGCGATCTACGACATTGGAGTTTGGGTGGTATATACGTCATATATCAAGACTTCGTAAATATACCCCAGAACTATAGGGTTGATATAAGTCAGGAGCTTCTACCATCTCTCTGATCCAAGGACTTTTATGGTATTTACCATGTCGCTTGCTTGCTAAGGTTCTATCGTTCGGATCTAAAATTCAAGAGAATTAGAACAGGCTATCTGAATTTGGCTGACTTGACTGAATTGCATGTGAATCAATGCTTCTACACAATTAATCTCTTTCAGTTTCATCTTCTTTCCTGACGTTTGAAAAACTCCAGCTGGTCTTGGTAGTAGTAAACCTAGGGTCAAAGTTTGCCCTGAAACATCCTCTTTGATCAACCGAGCAGGTCCACTGCGCTGTTTCGGACGGTTTTAGGGCCCAGGACTGCGGCTAACTCGGCGACGATTCCCTTGATAGACATTGGCGCAGTCATTGACATGGTTTCCCAATTAACCAGATCCTAGTTGAATTTAGTAAAGACATCTCAAGGAGGTTCGGAAAAAAGATAGAAGCGTACTTTCATGTGAACAAAGTTGTCGTTGAAGAACAACAGCCAATGATCCAGGTCCAGTGCTTCAACTTGGGGGACAGTAAGAACACCGGGCATACCGATATCAAAGAGGGAAACCTCCTCCAGGTTGACGTCACTTTCCGAGACCAGAGGTTCAGGAGAGGATCTTCGGTCCCGAGACAAAGAGACATAGGAACGGGAATTAAGCTTCTCTGTCATTTCGCCCTCGAGCGGATCCCAGTCGCAGGATTCAGGGTCTGAGTAACAAGAAAAAAAGGGTCAGATGTCGTGCACGATTTTCATGTAGTACAAAAATTATGTACTGAGACTTGGACACGAATGGAACCTACCAAGGATGTACTGAGGGCGGAAATTGGCCTTGTAACGCATCTTCTGGCAGGAGTGGATGTAGTACCCTATATTCTAATCGTTAGAAGCGCACGAACACTAGTTCCACGATTGCGACCTACCCATGTAGTAGTACAGATACTGATTCTCGATCGAGAAGGCAATTTCACGCATGGCGCTCAGCTTGCCAATTTCCCATTGCTCGTAGGCAGGATCGTAGCTGTGTGATACCAAATATCAGCTTATCACATACTTCAGTGTTTTAGGGTGTAGTCAGCTATCAGCTTACAAGACATAGACGGAGCTAACACCGCTGGGGACTAGGTCCAACACTGCAACGGCGATAAGCTCGCCATCAAGACGATAGCACTGATGCCATGAACCAAGTTTCTTCTGAGAAGCATTGGTGGCTGTTAAGGGATTCGGAGTTCGCTTGATGCCTGCGCATAAGAAGCGTTGAAAGTCCTTGGGCTTCCAGTGAGAGACATCCTCTTTATGGATAGCCGTTTGGTACTTGAGGAACAGCTCAAACTTTGCCTGAGACACAGAGTCACCTTCAATGGTGATTTCGAAGCGGTGGGCTGGTTCAATGGGAAGCTTGGTAGTGGGGTCAATGGGTCGTTTGATGTGGTCGTACTCGCTTTGGTGGACCGCTGACAGAAGGTCAAAGTTGCACTTGCGATGCTTTTTCTCTCTGTGTTGGTTAACAATAATCTGATATCAAAATATATCAAAATTGAAAAACATAGGGTAACATACTCGCGGGTTTGCGGACAAAGCCGGGCTGCCTTTCGCATATACTCCGGCCCCAGGATGAATTTGTTCCACTTGTTAATGGCCTTGCGCTGATCGCGGCGGGGCCGATAGGCAGAAGCCTCTAGCCTCAGAGTATAGTGAGGACAACAAGACCGAAGCAGGTTTTGTTTGTAGTAGAGGTTTCCCGATCTAAGGATGTCAGTATGGTCTGATGGGCTACAGGGAAATTAAACCGGGAGGGGAATCATACCGTCGCCAGCCGCCATTGATCAGCTCTTCATAATGTTCCGGTAGTACGGACGTGGAGTTGGTGTAGTACGATGCACCTTTTTTTAACCTGTCAGCAATTCCTCCCTAGCCGTTCTAGCCCTGGAAGAAGAAAATGGGCGAAACAAAGCAGGGGTAGGGGCAACAAACTTCCATCTTTGGACTTGCAGTAACCACACGAGTTCTTTTGGTAACCTAAGAGAATCACATCACATTAGTCTTTGCATAAGAGGGGTTGGACGATCAAAGAGCTGCAGGCAATTGGTGTTGAGACCCCCGCCAATTTCCTTTAAGTGGTAGCAGCCTGGGCCAGTGGAAGCGCCACGGGGTAACAGAAGTCTATCTCAGTGGTTCCCTGCGGGAGAGTGGGACGAACCTAGTGGGCGGAATAGCGACAATTCTCGCGCGCGTTCAGCGTCAACCTGTTGCATCTTGAGATTGGATCGGTGTTGGCGTGCACCAGGGAGTGGATGTGAGTCGTAGTTATCGGGAGAGACGGAGGGAGAGTAAAAGATGAGGTTGGCGAAGTTGGCGAAGTTGGCGGGGGTTGTAAATCGTGTAAATACGGTCTATACGGCAAGGGGGATATGGCTACGTTTATGTATACTTGTGTGGTTAATTAGCTCGCTATAGGTTTTTTTATTTTATAACTGTGCTATATGTATCTCATATCTTAAGCCACAGGGACGATCTTATAGTTTCTGGTCAAGTCGGCCGAGTTTCCTCCATCTCGGTACCAGGAAATCCCGTAGGTTTTTAAGAGGCTCAATACCCGACGCACATTGGGAGGGTTATGAGGTTAAATTATCGAAATAGTAATCATAGTCATCATAGTCATGGTAGATTATAGTAAGACCATAGTCGATTATGGCCAATTATGGCAGAATATAGCTAAATATAGCTGATTCCAGCAAATATAGAAACATCTCCTAGTTCTTCGATCTAGGGGTCACATGACCATATATAGAGTCAAAAAAGGAGAAAGAGTCCCTGGCCATTGAACTGGTTATCCACTCTCTATAGTGACCCTAATGACTAGAACGTCACGATGTACTCTGCAAGAAAGACAATTAATGTAAATATGCAAAGAAGAAAAGAAAAATAATAATAAAAAGGAAGAAAAAAGGATAAAAAAACGAAAAAAGAAAACCGTACCTTGACTCTTTTCCCGGCCTGCGCCGCCGTGCCCCTCCATTCCCACTTCTCTTCTTTTCTCCATTCCTCAATAACCTCCCATTTCTTAGATCTTCTTTTGAAAACCATGCCTATTTCCACTTACCATTCCAATCCCCCGTCAGGCATGAATGGGAAGACCTGATATCCATTGTCCACCTCCGCAATATCCCAAAGAGAAAAAAAAAAAATTTCCCCCGACCGCTTTCGTGCTGTACTCCCGCTCCTCTACATCCACTCTAGACACCTGGAGCTTCTTCTCTCACCTCAGAGACCTGACAGGCTCCGAGGGAGGTTGCGAGAGCATCATCTATTGGGTTTCCCTTGATCTTTTTGATATCCTTGGCCTTTCCACTCTCTTTCTCTCTTTCCTTCACTTCCCCGGAAACTTTCCAACCCCACCAAATCCCGGAGTAATTCCAAGGATATTCGATTGTCTATTACAATGGCTCAAATACGGTCGATGGAAGCCCGCGTTGGGCGGAAAAACCAACGTGAGTTCTTGCTGATGTCGCTTTGCGGCTACGCACGTGGGGGGAAACCGTCCCCCTTACGTCTACACTGTCCCTGTGTTTCCTGACTCTAACGGCTTGTCATAGGCTACGGCTCAAAAGGCGAGCGACTAGTAGCCGGCGTTGTCCCTATTTCCGCCGACAAGACCAAAGTTCTCATGATTCAGTCCGCAGGACCCGGAGGCTGGGTGCTCCCCAAGGGTGGATGGGAGCTTGATGAAAAAACCGCCGACCAGGCTGCATGTCGTGAGGCCTGGGAAGAGGCCGGTGTCATCTGTATTGTGATCAGAGATCTGGGCCTCATCCCGGACATGAGACCCTCCGGCCTTCTCACCGCGCAAGCCCCCAAAGCGTCATACCAGTTCTTCGAAGTCACCGTTGAGCGAGAGGAAACCGAGTGGCCCGAGATGCACAAGCGGAAACGGCAATGGGTCTCTTATACGCAAGCTGCTACTGCCCTTGCAAATCGACCCGAGTTGCTTGAAGCGTTGAATCGCAGCTCGTTGAAGCGGTAGCCCCCTATCGCGTGCACATTCAGTTCTCTTGCACATCGAAAAATCTCCCCTCCTCATTCTTCTACCTCTACGTGCATCGCTATTCCAAGAGAACTCCTCCCTGATAATGACTCGCCATGACCAACTCCAAAAAACGGTGGCTTCGTCGCTTCTACTATTGGCTTTGTCTACCTTTTACCTTTTTACCTTTTTTGCATCTTTGACGGGCTGCCGCTACCCGTCCACTGATTCATTTGCGAATGAACCATCTGAGCCTCTGTGTTTTTGCTCTGTCTCCCTCTGATAGACGCCTTTTGCAAACAGTTGAAGGCTTTGGAACGTTTTTGCATTGACACTGGAGGATACCTTACTTTAACAGATGTGATATCGGACTATTTTATCTGAATCCATTGCTTGCACTGTTTCAATTGCCAGATTTGACTTGAGCGCACTTCCCTTAGTTCTAGATACCAGTCTTTTTGGATGGATCCAGTGTCTATACCCAGCAAGTGAATCAAATCTGAACCACTTCTTCTACTCTCTAGTCTGAGAAAGAGAAGAAGGGAATAAACAGAAGAGAAGCGAAATCATTTTGTTATAACTGTAAATGTAAAGAAAAAAGAACGACTTGATATTGGCACTTTTCACTAAGAGGGTGTGACCCGATTAGGCAAAGCGCAAAAAGCTGTCTCCGAGGGAGCAAATCCGCGTGCCCTCAAGCCAACAACTTCGCGCCCGAATCATCTACCACAACAGTTCTCATTACCCTGTCATTCGCCATTGCACCTCGAACTCTTCAGCCTACCTTCTTACTTTTATGACCCGCGGATAAACACCTCCAGCTCCAGACAAGGGTGGCGGCGAGCAGCGCTGCCGCATACATACCAACATGGATTACGAAATGGATCTCGAGCCTACAGGGCCCCAAGTGACAGTCCGCGAGGTAAGCCGATATATTCCCAGAGCAGAAGGATGAAAGACTCACAAATTCCACAGGCGGAGCCCTACCGTGTCGACTTCAGACTGACCGCAGTCGACCTCGCATTTGCCAACTCCCTCCGACGAACCATCCTCGCCGAAGTGCCCACTCTGGCACTCGACCTGATCGAAATCGAAAGTAACACTTCTGTTCTCCCCGATGAGTTCCTCGCCCACCGCCTCGGCATGATCCCCTTGAACTCGTACAACTGTGACCAAGACCTCGACTACACACGAGACTGCGACTGCGAAGACCACTGTGTGCGCTGCAGCGTGACGCTGTCTCTGCACGCGCGTTGCGGTAGCGGCATCATGTCTGTCTACGCAAGGGATCTGATTGTCGTCGGCGAGCGGATCAACGAGAAGATTGGTGATCCTGTTACCACTGACCCGGAGAACAAGGGTCCCTTGATCTGCAAGCTGCGCAAAGGACAGGAGATTAAGATGACTTGTCTGGCGAAGAAGGGAACTGCTAAGGAGCATGCGAAGTGGGCTCCTACTGCTGCTGTCGGCTTTGAATATGACCCCAACAACAACCTACGCCATGTGGATTACTGGTATGAGCAGGATGCGGCGAAGGAGTGGTACGTATTTGAGCGTTGATTTGATGATCACAAGGTTCCCTGTATCTATTTGCTGATAACGGATTTAGGCCCATCTCTGAAAACGCTGCCTGGGAACCCGCTGCCAACCCCGACCAGCCGTTCGACTACGACGCCGAGCCTAACTGCTTCTACTTTGATGTGGAGAGCATTGGCAACCTTGAGCCAGATATGATCATCCAGCAGGGTATTGTGTCTCTCCAGCGCAAGCTCGCAACCACTGTCTCCGTCCTCTTAGGCGAAGGTGAGGATGGACATGCCGGAGGCGCTGAAGATGCTGAAATGATGGGTGCCAATGACCCAGATGCCTACGAGCCACCTGAGGGTATTGACGGAAACATGACTGCCTACGGAAACGGTGCGGCCAGTGCTTGGGGCGCTAGTGCACAGACACCGTACGGTGCTACGCCTTACGGACAGAGCAGCTATGGGTTCTAAACGTGCATAACCCAGCAACAAAAATAGAGCTCGAGCATGCGCAATGGAGTTTTGATTTGGTGAATTGGGGCGCACTCTGGAGTTTTCCGTTCTTTGTATCTTTTGCTCTTGGGACGGTCTTCTGGTCCTGGAGAATGACTGGTCTCTGTATCTCAAATATCTACTCGTTGGTTCAGTGAACCTGAAAATACTGAATATCATGGAACTTTTGCTAAAACCACCAAAGATCTTCCTACAAGCGTCACTCATCTTGTGAGTGGAGAAAAACAGCGCCCTAGACTACTAACCAAGCACGAAAGCCAGTGATGTCCTAGACCTGCATGGAATAACCCCAGAAACCCGCATATCCATATACGCGCATTTCTTAGCAGATATCCGGACCTTCAAAGGTTCCAATACAATCTCAACTAAAGCCCCGAGCCCGTACATCCTTCTACATCAACTGCAGGGACCCCCGAGACCCGCATACTCTTGTTGCTTAGCAGGGGGTCCCGGACTTGTAGCCAACCCCAGATTGGAACAACTACAAAGCCCCTCAAAGTCCTCTTATTCAAACTTCTACAATACATAGTCAGTCTAGGATTAAGTGAGGATTTGGTAACGCTCCCTACAAACGGGTTATGTATATGCCTAGATCTTCCAAGGTTAGTAGGCTCGTACTATAACGATATCGAGGCTCACCATTGAAACAAAGATTGAGCCAGACATTAAATTAAACATTAGTAAAGATTATCAGTTGCAGCCCGTCAAACTACGTGGAGAGATCAGATATGAATATCAGACATGTGTATTTTGAGATCCTATTAACCATAGTCTGCGAAAAGCAATAAAAAACGTCAAGCAAATCTCGGAAAACTGCTAAAATGCCCATCCTTTCCCAACGCCTGGCATGCCACAGATGCGATGACTATACACAAGAAACAACCATGCCTCGCTAAAAATGCAGAATGTAGAACAGAAAAGAACAGCGTCCCCGGAAAACAATCTACTCCATCAACTCAATCGGCGGACGAGAAGTCTTAGGCGGCATCTGGTTAACCGACATCTCAATTGGGCTCATCGCATCCATATCGACATCCTCATCCTCAATATCCATCGTCATATCCTCAACCATAACAGCCGGAAGATTGGGACTATCCCCGTGATCCTCAGGGTGGTAGATGATGGTGCTGCTCCTGCTACGCTGCTGGGAGCCAGCAAGCGGCCAGCTGGGAGTGCGCTTGTCGGAGGAGATAGAGACCGGGGTTGCGGGGTCGACTGTAGAAGTCTCAGGTTGCGTCTGATCCGTCTTCAGCATGGATAGAGCATGTGCCAGATCCGTTGCGTGGACTTCCTTGTTGGGCGGGTCCTCGTTGCGCACGACCCATCCGTGCGGGGGGCTGGGGGGCGGCGAGATAAAGAACATCTTGGAGACTTGCGGGGCTTCGAGAAGTTTGGGGCGGCCGCCGTCTAGGATTGCGGTTGGCTCGCCAAAGTAAATCCGGGGGTGTACGTCTCGGTTTAGGAGACGCTTGCCGTCCAGGAGTTTGCGCACTGCCGTGGCGTCGGATTCGTTGTGGAAGGAGCACACGATGCGACGCATTGAGGGGAGTGGGGAGAAGGAGTTTAAAGGTGCCACGGCAGTAATTTGGTTGCGGATTTCTTCCAGTGCTGGGGGTTGGAAGACAAGTAGATCGTGGAGATCAGTGATCAGGAGGGTGTTGGAGGGTGGTGTTGGCTGGGATAGTGCGGGCATGTTGGCGATATCGAGAGACAACGATGGTCGCGATGTGTGGGATGAGCCAGTAAATTTAGGCGATGAAGCCAGCGAGCATGGAGGTGAAGCTGAAGTAGCCATTTTGTGTGTTGTATGTGATGGGGTGAATGTTGGATGGAGGTTGGATAAGGTGAAGATAAAGGAGGTTGCCACCGGATAAGAACTGTGAGAGAAAATGTTCTAGAATTTCCAATGGATTGTTGGATGGCGAGAATGATTTAAAATGGTTGAACTTGAAAGAAAAAAGACTCTGGATTTGCCTCTCTTTAATACTTCATGACAGATATTTCCTCAAAATAAAGTCGCGAGGCGCAGCTCTTGCCCCTGCACTGCCTCTACCTATCCGCGTACATTCCACGCCTCCATGTTCCTGGCGATCCACCTGTTCCCGGCTAACTTCAGATAAACGGGCTGTGATCTGCTATTATTTTCTTTAATTTACTCTATTTTACTGGGATTTACTGGGAATAAACTATATCGTTCTCAGCGATAATGCTGTGCATGCGCCACATGCGCCACATATTACATTCATCCGATCTCCCCTTTGACCTGCACCAGCCACATCCCGTGACCTCTCAACAGAAACTCCGCCCCTTTTTCTGCCGGACCATCCGATTCCGCTGAACTTGGAAGTACGACGTCTACGGCGTTGTACGGAGTCCCCCCTATACAAGACCATCCCCTCATCCTTAGCCTCGGCTAAGCCCCATTGGCTTGCCCTTTTATCATTCTGCCTACTCCTTTAGGGTCTCCACTTTTAAGCATTGCCACCCGCAGTTGCTTCCCCAAGCCCTGGATAACAACCCTGGGGACTTACAATGGTAAGCCTGGGGCTAGGCGCGGTTCCTTTAGCTTCAAGGCTACTTAATTGATTATTTATGGAGTGTATACCCTATCGCTTCCCGAGACATGGTGAAAACAAAGCAGGCTATGGCACTATCACAGATTTCGTGGCACATCCCGGTCCACAAGCCTCGTGCGGTCGGAAATTCAGATCACTTGTTCCTATCAGTTGTACAGAACACCAGACCCCAGCCTTGTCTGGGTCAAATGTCGCAAATCCACTCGTATACGTGGCTTCCAGTAAACAGATGTCTTTGAGATGCCTTACCCATTAAAAATGCCAAGAAAGAAAGACCACATAGCAGAAACACAATCCATGCATGAGCTTAAGCTATGTGCTAAATGAACCACAAGGCAATTAATGAATCTATTCTATAACTTGCTTCCCTGGAGCTGGATATCTCCGCTTGCCTTTGTTTCCAACTCAGCAAGGCGTGCCTGTCGCTGCGCCCCTTCTTGTTTAACAACAGCGTTGAACGCAGCTTCAACATCGTGTTCCGATAGCCACTCCGTATTTGGTCTGCCCGTCAGTCGAGCAACAAGCGCAGCATCCTCTTCTTCAGGTGTCCCAAAAATAGTAGCTTTCTTGTTGATCTGACTGTGCACAATATCCAGCAACCGAGCTGTATGCGGCTGCCTGGTTTGACTGTACAGCCCGAATGCCTTGTTGATATTTCTAGCTGAAAATGTGGCATTCTTCGAAGAGAACACTTCTTTGAATGCAAGACCAAGGGCGAGGGAGTCGTCTAGCGCCAGCGAGCCTCCGGCTGCGAAGGCACCGCCGTGAGCGTGGGCTGCGTCTCCGATTAGAGTCACTCGCGACCTAAAGACCCAGGTCGGGAGAGCATCCCCTGCGAAATTGGGATAAAGATTTGTGGATGGTGTGAGCTCTGCCAGAGCTTTGACCGTGGGGTTCCAATCCTAAGAGCTGTGAGTCAAGTGGACTTGGACAAGTTAATTGGGTACGTACCTTGTATCTTTGTCTTAAAAACTCCACATTGCCAAGTTGATCCCACGCAATACTTCTCTCCACCTCCTCTGCTGAGCGCGGGTCATCGTATGCACCAACGGTGGTGTACTGGTTCTTGCCTGGGTCTTGTCAGATCTATGCAGCGGTGAATTGCTAATTCTTTCCCACTTACCAAGCCGAGACGCAAAGAAGTTGTCTTTAGGACCCCACTGTCAATATTGTTAACAATAGCTCTGACACTCTCCGACACAATGATGACATACCCAGTGTATCGAATCGGCAGGCAAATCAGGGATCTTGCCCTCTACCAATGAAGCATCAAACGTCGCTCTCATGAATACCTTCCCACTGAACCGTAGCTTATAATCCGGGATGAAGGATTGTCTGACACTCTGAGCTCGAGTTAGCAAAAGCGCAATTCTAATTAAGGCCATATCACAAACCGATCGAATCCCATCTGCCCCAATGAGGATATCTCCTTGGGCACTACTCCCATCCTCGAAATACAACGAAACACCAGCCTCATCAGCTTCCGCGCGCGCAATCTTCTTTCCCAAGTGAATTGACTCTTTGGGGACATGCTCGAGCAGAGCAGCGTGCACATGGCCGCGGTGGAAGCGGGTAGTATGGTGACGAGGATCAGAGACATTGCTGTGAGTGTCTGTGGACACCACTTGGTCCGTTTTCCAGTGTCTATATGTATATCGTTCAGCGTGCTGGAGAGTAAATCTGGATTGTATGTGATAAATTCATACCGGAAAATCTGCGGGATTCCACTTGGGCCTCTGAACCCGACTTCGTCTGTTAGGGCATTATGTACGCCAAGTTTCTCCAGTGTGCGCATGCCCTATATTTCACATTCACGTTAGATCGTTTAATCATTTCAAGAGAATATGCAAGATACCTACATTTGGACTGAGCGCGATGCTAGCTCCTATTTCCAAGAGCTCCGGAGCTTGTTCATATAGCTGGATATCCAAGTTCGGAAGAGTCGATATGCGTGCTAGCGATATAGCGGTCGCAAGACCTGCGATACCTGCGCCGGCAATCAAGACGCGGATGGGTTCACTTTTCTCCGCCATGTTAATATAATTGGATATCCGTGGACTCAACGCAGATCAGTTGCAATAAAATTTACTGGCGAGAACAATTTTCTTATAGTCCGGGTCTATCGCGGCGATAAACCCAGAGCTTCTAAGCACGCCAACAATGCAGCGCTGACGCAACCCCGCAATGGCGACTTTAGGCGTGCTTTGGAGTCAGACTCACGTTTGTATAAGTTAGGATCGCGTTTTTATACGTGAAGATCGCTTTTCGATAACCAAGCATTCTTCTGCCAAGTAATATACTAGTGCACGACCTTCCATATTAGGAGAAGACTATTGTAACCCCCACGGTCTCTTGCCTCTGATCTGTATGTGAATTTCTCCGTAGTGCGAAGACGACGGAGCTTAAAAATATTGCGCAATTTTATCTGCAGGCCGGTGAGTATCATAAGTACCTGTGCAGGGCTGCGATTATCTGTACTTGATCAAGCCTTTCACGTGCGTTGTTTATATTCTTCATTGTATATACCTCACACGATGGCAGTAGAAACCCACAAAGCTGGCTTCGTGGCGGAAACACAGGCCAATGAAGAAAGTGACAATGAGTTCAATACCGCACCAAAGCTCCCTGATCAATTTGCAGATGAGAGTTTTAAACTATTCTCAAAAATTCAAGTCACAGAACCGACTCCCGAAGAAGCAAAACAGATTCGCAAAAAGTGCTTATGGCGGATTTTGCCCTTTCTTTGCATTGGTTATCACTTGATGTATGTGGACAAGCAAACGGTATGTTAATTCGATTCCCGGAATATGAGACACCAGTAATAACATGCTAGCAGCTAGGAAGTTCTGCAATCCTAGGAATCATGAAAGATGCGCATTTGAATTCGAATCAATATAACTGGCTTTCTTCGATTTTCTATTTTGGGTATCTTTTGGCTGAATGGCCACAGAATTGGGCTTTGCAGAGGTTTCCTGTTGGGAAGTGGCTAGCTGGAAATTTGATAATATGGTAAGTTCTTCATCTATCCATCGTATAAGTGGTATATCAGTCACTGACTAGCTCCAAAGGGGTGGAATTACCCTCTTACATATCCCTTGCAATAGCTTCGCGACTCTTTTTGTTGTTCGCTTTTTCCTGGGGGTAGCAGAAGCATCCATTGTTCCAGCATTCCTGCTTTCCATGTCCATGTTCTTTACTTATGGCGAGCAAGCTGTCATGATGCCGGTTATGTGGTCAATTGGTAATGCAAGTCCCATCACGTCGGGTCTGCTATCTTATGGTGTTCTCTGGATTGATACAGGCAGCTTTTCTCCGTGGAAATGGTTTATGGGTATGTTTGTTCCCCATGTATATCATTCAGGTTGCTAACCTCTATTCTAGTTATCACTGGGGTCCTCACAGTCATTTTCGGCATCTTTGTCTATCTCTTCTTTCCCGATAGCCCCATCCATGCCAAGTTCTTGACACCCGAGGAGCGTGCAAAGGCTATTTTACGGATCAGAGAGAACCACTCCGGAATTGAGCAAAAGGTTTTCAAAAGATATCAGTCAGACCTCCTTATCTAGAAAGATTCAAGAATCAACAACTGAATAGGGCTCTTAGGTTTATCGAAGCAATTCAAGACCCCAAAACATGGCTCTTCTTCCTACACGCCTGGTCCCAGGAAATGGCAAACGGAGTAACAAACCAATACTCGCTGATCATCAAGTCATTTGGTTTCACCGTTCTTCAAACAACTCTACTAGGAACCGTGTCGGGAGCTGTATCATTCGTTTCTCTCATAACAGCTGCGATCACATTGTATCACACCAAGGTAAGCCAGGCCCGGACATTGAATGTAAACGTGGGCTGAAACTTGCAGAACTGTCGAGCATGGCTCTCACTCATTGCATACATTCCAGGTGCTCTTTCAAGTATCCTTCTACTATGTTAGTGGTTTTCTTCTTTTCAAAATGTGACCCAGTGACTAATTGACCCGACAGCCTTGCCCTGGTCTAATCGATGGGGTCTCATCGCTGGAATCTGGATTCGATCTACAACCGGTATCCCATATGCCGTGGTGATGATCTGGGCTGCCAATGCGTCGGCAGGTCATACGAAGAAAACTACCGTCATTGCGCTTTATCATATTGGATACGGACTGGGAAATATTATCTCTCCACAATTATTCCGGCCAGAGTGGAAGGTGAGTTCTTCATTTGAGCTGGGTTGGGTTGTCATACTAACAATGATTCAAGCCTCGGTACAGACCAACTTGGATTATTTTGCTTGTGGTAAGTTCTGTTTTGGTAATGATACGTGCGGAACATTTAACTTATAACTCATAAGGTCGCTGCAATTCTTCCTTCGATCATTATTATCGTGCTCCGGATCTACCTAAGCCGAGAGAATAAACGTCGCGACAAGCTCGCGGAAGTTAATCAGGTTGCCAGCAATGGGGTTGTCGAGACGGTTGATTCAGATGGAGGCAAAGTCGCTCGCGTTGTGGATAATAGTCAGTTGGATTTGACTGACAGGGAGAATTTGAATTTGTAAGTTTTCATCGACTGGTCTGTTGGCCCTGGGTTGATACTAATTTGAAAATAGCCGATATGTACTCTGATGGGTTAGATAGTTGGAGACTCTCTGAAGATTTAACTGGGTTAACGGGTATTTTTAGAAGCTTGAGAATTTGGAACTTAAATAATTGCACTTTATACTTAGCAGAATATTATTGTGCTCCTATCTGTTTCACTTATTTTGTCTGCATCTGTTCTGTCTAAATGATCACCATGTGCTATATATAGTACTAGGTATGGATCATCACATCCGCTGCTTTGAATGGCGTATTCGGTCATATGCTGTAGTTTAACACTGATTTCAAAGCCAAAGGCATAATAGGCTCCTACATCCACCTGATGTGAGTTGTGCGATCACATTCCTATGGCGTAAATCACCCAGCTGCAAGGATCCGATACACAACAGTCGGCCTGAATGACGTGCCAGCCCATCTGTTATGATTTCCAAGCACTCAAAAACACCTTATCTCCTCGATTCTCCTCTTTGAATTGAATTCATTTAAATGTTAGAATGATTTCACTGTGTGTCCGCTATAAATAAATAGTTGTTCAAACTATACAACCATCTACAACAGCTCAATATGGACATCCAGGAGAGACAACCTCTCCTAAACTCATCAACTCACCCCAATATTCTATCTCACAGCTCTCAACAAGAACCACTCAACCTCTCATCCGATGACTTTCCCGCGCCATATGTTGACACTCTACCAGGGACACCCTACAGAAAGAGCATCAACTGGTCAAGCGCATACATATTGGTCGTTTCGCAAGTGATTGGGAGCGGCATCTTCGCAACACCAGGTTCAATAGTCAGATCCGCCGGAAGCATCGGATTGACCCTGCTAGTATGGCTGGTTGGGACAATATTATCGGCTTGCGGGCTAGCCGTCTTCATGGAATTCGGATGCATGCTACCTCGCTCAGGAGGACAAAAGGTAAAGCGCATTGCTGCATAATCGCAGAAACATGTTCGGCTAAACTACTCTCGTTTTTGTGCAGGTGTACCTCGAGTATACCTATCCCCGACCGCGGTTTCTCGCATCAAGCCTCATAACAGCCCAGGTAGTGCTCCTGGGGTTCACGGCGAGCAACTGCATTATCTTTTCGAAATACACATATTTCGCGCTTGGCATTGAGCCCACTGAGATTCAGCATAAGGTGCTGGCAGTCGGCCTCTTGACGGCCATTACTATTGTCCATGGCTGTTTCTTGAAAACGGGCATCTTTGTCCAGAACGTCCTTGGCTGGGTCAAGATCTTCCTCATTGCAGCAATGTCCTTGACGGGAGTCTGGGTGGTTTTTCTCGGTTTGTATGGAGATACTGATAATATCTCTCCAGTGTCGGGGGTCGCCAGTTCGTGGTCCTGGGAATCGATGTGGGAAGGATCGAACTGGAGCTGGAGTCTGCTTTCGTCAGCTTTGTTCAAAGTCTACTATTCCTACGCCGGATTGAGCAATGTAAACAATGTCCTCAGTGAGGTCCATGATCCTGTGGGAATAGTGAAGACCGTGTGCCCCACTGCACTCGTCACAGCCGGTGGTCTATACTTTCTTGCGAATCTTTCATACTTCCTGGTCATTCCGCTCGAAGAGATCAAAAATAGCGGAGAATTGGTCGGCGCACTGCTATTCGAAAGATTGTTTGGAGCTCACGTCGGAAGAATATTCTTTCCACTTGCGATTGCCATTTCTGCTGCTGGAAATGTGATGGTGGTGACCTTTGGCCTGGTACGCTTTCGAGTATATGGAATTGAAAGCTAATAAATACTAACATTATTAGGCACGTGTGAATCAAGAGATAGCCCGACAAGGATTCCTTCCATGGCAAAAGGTTCTCTCGTCTTCGCGGCCATTTGGGACTCCACTGGGTGGACTTGTTGTACATTATATCCCTTCTATGTTGGTCCTCGCCCTGCCACCAAAAGGAGATGTCTATAACTTTATCCTGGACTTGGAGGGATACCCTGGACAGATCTTTTCCTTGGCGATTACTGTTGGTCTGCTGATAGTACGATACCGGGAGCCTCATCTCTTACGACCCTTCAAAGCGTGGTTGCCAGCTGTCTGGTTACGGGTTGCCGTGTGTTTAGTCCTGTTGGTAGCACCCTTCATCCCGCCGGCGAATTGGCGGGAACTCGATGTGTTCTATGCTACCTATCCACTTGTGGGGATTGCAATGTGAGCGTCAATTTTTCCATTTGAGAGTTACCTCGCTAACAAATACAGTGTGCTCTCAGGTGTTCTCTACTGGTATGTCTGGACGGTGTTACTCCCACGGTGGGGAGGTTATCAACTCGAGGAAGAGAAAGAGATTCTGGCCGACGGGACTAGCATCATCAAGCTAGTTCATTCATATGATAAGTGACAGCATTGATGCATATCATAATCACCTCATGTTCGTGTCTGGGGAGGCAGTGTTGGTTTATAGAATGTCAAGCCTGTCTATAAGGGAGAAACTCCTCGTCCCTAAAGACAGTAGGTAGTGGATGATGTCCACAGCTTGCCCACTTGTAACGCAGCCATGTAGAAAATGGTTGAGGCTACGGTGAGTTCCCAGGCAATCGTGCACGACAAACAACCAGATCCATCCATGCAGCTTCCTTCCTTCGTCACTACCTCTTTGCTTCTTTCTCTTCCGCTCGCTCTTCTCCTTCCTTCGCCATTCGACTTATTCCCATAGCGACTACAGCATACAGATATTACTCTGTATCTATATTTGCTAGAATCACAACTGAACCTCTCAACACACTTTCCCCACTTCCTCGGTGTTTGTTTTCAAGAAATCATTGCTTCGCCATGGCATCTATGCCTCAGAGGCCCGTGAGACCGCCTCCTCCATGTCCCTCCTGGGTCTATTCCAACAACTCTGACACCCAGTGAGTATTTCCACATTTGCAGGGCTGAATATATCCATCTAACCGAATCAGTGTAGCCAAAGATCGCTGTTGGTTCGGTCAAGACTACATCCCCTTCAAGTCCCATGTCACGGATATCGCTGGAGGCTCGGTTGAAGTCATTGGTATGGGAACTGTCAACCTCACCACCATGGTTTCGCCCGCCCAGACCCATCCGAATCCGCACGGCTCCCTCCGCTTGAAGAACGTGCTGCATGCCCCTGCAATGCTCTGTAACATCATCGGAAGTCCCGTGAGTGACGATTACACTGTCATATACGGACCTAATTCCTCAGACATGTCTGGTTTTATTGTGAGGAACGCCAATGGTTGTATCGTGGCCTACTTCAAGCCCAAGGGTGAAGGCCCCGGGTTGTACCAAGTCCAGCTTGGCCAGCCTCCACTCGGCCATGAGTTTGGGATTTCGCCTTTGTGCCCCAACGGGCTCTATATGATTCACGCCTTCTGGTCCCAGCGTGAGCGGCACAGATTTGAAATCTTGAAAGCTTCCGGTCTGACTCGAGCCTCCGGCGTAGAGCCGCTGACACTGGCCGAAAGGAATTGGTTCGGGAAGCAACGCATGTCTGAACAGGCAGTTACGCTTGCTTATGGTTTGAACCCCGACAGGAGGGAGCATCGAGAAGAAGGCCGTGCCATCATGCGAATTCTCAAGTCCCAGACTGAAAATGAGCCGAAGATCTGATCCCAGAAGAACATGCGTGACTGTTGAGAGGAAGCAATTTCTATTGCATCTGGACGGACGGTGCTTTCCCAGGTGTGGTAGAGGAAATGGCTAAAATTATCAGTCTCCCATAGCTTTTATGTTTTCGAGATACCCCAATTAAGCGACACATTGCAATGACCCTGCCTCCCTCATACGTAGTCTGACAAAAATGTAAGGCGGAGTGAATATCAAATCCGCTTCTAGTCCTAGATATTGATTGTAGATTTCTTAAGCTTCAGACACCATCCATGAAGTACTTGTCGATTCTGGTATCAAGTTTCATAGTTTCAGTTTTACATGTAGAACATGGACCCGCTGGTCATCCTCCTAAGGGTTGCAGGCCCACTTAGTATGATTTTGCAGCAAGAAACTGTGTACTATCTCAGGCTCGATGATTAGACTCGTAGATGACGACTCCTGGCCATGAACAAGCTAAATAAGCTCACTAAATGAATCAAACTTCTTGGGCCGAAGAAATTCCTTCTGCGTTGAAATTACCTATGGCGCTAACCCGAAAAGAGTAGATAAAGCTGGATACGCTCTCAGGAATCCCTGCCTTGTATGGCCCCCCAAAGGCAGTAAATCAATTAATCTAGGTGATGAATGATACAGACAGCTTACATTCTCCTATTTAAATGTTTTGTGATGCCCGCTACTTATGCCGAAGCAACTTGTGCAAGCCTTGAGCGATAAAGCTCATCTCAGCTTACATGCATTGGTATCAGAATCCCATCCTTTGTATACTAGGGGATTTGAAAATGGCCAATTGGGCAATAGTTGCAACTCACAGGTCAATAAGATGCTAGTTCATATGCGACTCGTCTTTCAATGATTGATACCATCCACATAGTACGTAATAGCCTTGGAGAAGCCAGAAGAAGGTCCCATCGGCTCAGCGTTTTTCCTTGCCAAGGCGGTCAGGTGATTCCCGATTAAATTTGTCCGAGGACAAATGAGTCCGCCTCAAGTTCACCGAGTCTCCATTCTCAATTCCACATATCACTATTCATAATGTTCCAACGAACCATCCTCAGACAGGCTCAGGCCGCCCGCTCCATCCTCACCACCTCCACCCCCTCCACCGCATCGCTGGCGCTGCGACGGACCACACAACAAGCACGTCTCCCGGCTATCCGGCCATTCGCTCCCCGGTCTACCCGCCTCTACTCAACAGAGACCAAGGAAGCCACCGAAGCTGAGACCGCAGAGAACGCAGAGGCTGAGGACCCCGTCAAGAAGGAGCTCGAACAGAAGACCAAGGAAGCCATTGAGTTCAAGGTAAGCTATTTCCCCATACTCACTGCTATGGGTAGCTCCGCAGCTCTTTCGCAGATGAATATTAACCCACATTTTTTTTTTAGGACAAATGGCTCCGCTCCGTCGCCGAATCCCGCAACCTCGTTGAGCGCAACAAGCGCGACATGGACGCTGCCCGCAAGTTCGCCATCCAGGGTTTCGCCAAGGACCTCCTCGACAGCATCGACAACTTCGACCGCGCGCTGCTGGCCGTGCCCGCGGACAAGCTCACCGCTGCTAAGACTGAAGAGAACAAGGACCTCCTCGATCTTGTTGCCGGTCTCAACATGACCCAGCATATCCTCCTCAATACCCTCCAGAAGCACGGTCTCGAGCGCTTTGATCCCGGCGAGAAGGTCGACGGTAAGGCCCAGAAGTTCGACGCAAACTTGCACGAGGCTACCTTCATGGCTCCCGCTGCTGGTCTCGAGGACGGTGATGTTATGCACGTCCAGAGCAAGGGCTTCCGTCTTAACGGCCGCGTTCTGCGGGTGAGTTCCATCTACCAAGATCAGGATTTTAAAGTATTGTGACTAATTGCTTTCTTCTCTATTATAGGCTGCTAAGGTCGGTGTCGTCAAGAACGCTTAAATCGTCGACAATAACTTCGACTCTTAATCCTTCGACCTTCCCGGATCCTTTCCGCATTTTCACTTTTCTTTCTCTCTGTACCATATGTCATACATCATGATCACGATAGGGTTTTATGCTCGGATACGGCTGGCTTTTGGACCCCGGAAAATTACTCTTCCTTGCTATCTTTCTGCTCGTCTCTTGGATTCGGCTGTATGATACACCCTTGCATGTGTCTGGAGGCGTACGGATTGTCTCATGTTGGTGGTGTGTTTTCACTTTTTTTGTGACGTCTGTACCTCCATGTCCCCTGATAGCTCTCTCCTCCTTACTGTATAATACACACTTCTTCGGGGCACTATTATAGCCTCTAGTGTCTTCATTACCCTTCCGCCTTTGATAATCCTTAAATTATACTCTAATGAAAGACAAATCTGGCTATAGTCTGTATCTATTGGAACTTTAGCTTAGTGATATCCATAAATCGATATCGGCTTAATGAGGGGAATGCTATATCTTACATATTCTTCATAATAATCACAGTATAGTACAAAGTATAACCCAACAATCTCCAAACTCACCTCAGCTCAACTCCAAGCTCCCCAACTAGCTTCTCCCTAACCTTCAGATGCAATTCATTACTCTCCTCGTTCGTCAAAGTCCGCTCCAAGCTCCGGTAGTTAATGCGATAGCACATGCTCTTCCGCGAAGTCTTAGGATGCGTAAACTCATCAATGAGAGTAACATCCTCAACGAGATCCCCACCAATCCCACGAACAATCTCCATAACATCATTCTCATGGAAAGGCACGCCCCCACCAGCAGCACTGTTACCACCTGTCACAGCCGCAGGAGGCAACCAGAAAGCAACATCCTTATAACATGCCGGGTGCTTCGAGAAAGGCTCGAAGCGGGCAATCTCGCCAGCCCGGAACTGCGACAAGAACCGCTCATCCTGCGACCAGAACAACCGGATATCAGGAATATTGAAAAGAAGCATAGCAATTCGCTCAATGCCCAATCCAAACGCCCACCCAATTCGGTCCGGCACGTCCGAGTTGATCAACAGATCCTGTTTGATGACTCCACACCCTAGAATCTCCAACCACTCATCTTGCCAGAAAACCTCCAGCTCCCAGGACGGACTAGTGAACGGGAAATAAGCCTCGACCCAGCGAACCTTGAGCGGTTCCTGCTCCGCGCCACCGCTACTCGCCGCAGCGGCCTTGCTCGCTTCCGTGAAGATCTTGACAACCATCCGCTCGAGCGAACGCTTAAGGTGCGCCGCCACGGCCTCGACCTCCTCGGCGCTGTGGTGCTCATCCTGTAGCGGGTTCCGCTGGGCATGGATAGTCGGGTTCGGGTCCTCGACCACGACATCGTGGCGCGGGATCTTCTCCACATCAGCCATGATCCTCGCTGCTGTTTCAGCCGATGCCGAGAGTGGGTTCTTTGCCGGCCGTTTCCATAGCATCGCGCCCTCCATCTGGTGGAAGACTGGGTAGTGACTGCGGTCTATCGCGTCGCGGCGGTAGACGTCAGCAATCACGGTGTATCCGACCTCCTCTGGACGGGTGTGTTCATTGCGGGCGATTTGCTGGAAATACGCCTGCTGGTGTGCGCTTGTGTGGGTGCGCAGCACTGTCTTCTCGTTCACGTAGTAGGTATCTGTGCGGCTGCGGCCCGGGTGGTCCGCGGGGAAGCCGAGAACGTCAAAGTTGTGCCTTGTTGAGACGACTGGGTTCTTCTCTGAGTAGTTTCCATAGCTCGGGGATGCGAATTGGCTTTCGATGAGCTTGCGTGTAATGGCGAGAGGGTGGTTTTCGTCGAGGTAGAGTCGGCGTCCGATATGGGATAGGATTGTATTGGGGGTGTTGGTCCACTGGTCGGTTGGGTAAGTCTCCCCTTCGAGTTTGAGGGTCGATTGTTGCTGGGGGGTTTTGGAGGCAGTGGTTGCTTTCTGTTCACTCCGGCGAGCTGTGGTTGAGCTCCATTCGCGGTTGCGGGAGAAGATGGGTGTCAGTCGGAGGGAGCGCGGGGTGGTGGTTTGGGGTCGGATTGAGCCAATTGACCAACGGCCACTGCTTGCACGCAGGGCTCGACCCGTAGCGAATAGCCTCATGGTTGGGTTGGACGTTGTGAGAATTCGATGTTGTCTATCAAGGCTATCAACATATCTTCGGGTCGGGGAAATTAGTCCCCGAAGTACAGAGTACATTTGTCGAGTCTACAATGAACATAGATAGAAAGCTTAGCATATACCTCTTTTTAGAAGATACTGATTTATGATTTAAATATTTTTGAAGTTCTCTCAAATTGCTGCAGCTCTTAGTCAGAGTCATTCCAATTTTATGTCTTCGTTAGGGTTCTCTGTGTACTATGCAGTTTGCATCACTTTATATATTGTACATCGGTTTTGATATACATACATGTACTTGGATCCAAACAAAAGCAAGTGATTTGGCTGGTATTGCATCCTGTTTCAGCTCTTTGCTTTTCAACTTTATGTATGACAACATCTGAATACAAATACTATTGCATTTGCGACGGGAAAGCACCTGCAAAACAATATACTAAACCAGAGTAGGGATATTTCTTGTTATTAGGATCTTTATACATGTTTTATCCTGGCTACATCACTCCTAACCATAAAACTTCCCTAGGTAGCCTTTAAGCCTTTATGCATATGATATCTTGCCCCTCCTGCAGAACCCCTCGGTAGTCCGACGCCAACCGCCCAAAATCCGCAAAAACTCCGAAGATCCGCATGACAGCCGATCTCGTCATGTCAGCTCTATTGAAGTGATTATTATAATAGCTGTATGTGCACAAATACCCTCGGCATCCATTTCAACGACCGAACAAGGGTGATATTCAGGGTTCCTGAGGGTCTCTGGGGCCAGGGCTGTATGTTCCATACAAGATGATGTCTGGGGCAAGGGCGAGACCACAAACCCGAGAATGTGATTGGCGAAAATGATGAAGTCCGATCAAGGTACTTGACCTGATTGGCTGTTTCCCTCCGTTCGGCGGCTGGCCGAGTGGCTTCGGAGGTCTGATTTGTCTCCGTCGGTATTTAAACCAAAAAAAAATTACGTCAAGTCACGTTAAAGCCGAGAAAAGTCCAGAATAAAAAAATAGTATTTGCGAACCACTCTCCCCGCCTTTTTTTCTAAAAAACGGTGTATCTTTAGAGGGGTCTTGTTTCCCAGCAAGATGGCAGACAGCGGCAAGATGTTGGAGGCTACTCCTCACTCTCGGGTCGTGCCTGTTCAGACGCAGTCAAAGCCGAAGCAGGTGCATTACCCTTTTTGGTTCGGGGGGTCAGCCTCATGCTTTGCTGCGTCCGTGACGCACCCGTTAGATTTAGGTATGGTCTTATTTCTTCCCTCAATTATACACTATATGCTGACTTTGCGCCCACAGTTAAGGTAATTGCAAGCTCCTAGCCGTCCGTCCGAGGCAATGGCCCATGGCCCACGGTTTCGAGCCCCGACGCTGATATCTGCTTGTCGCATAATAGGTCCGGTTACAGACTCGTGCGCCCGATGCGCCGAAGACTATGGTCGGAACGTTTGTACACATCGTGAAGAATACTGGCTTCACGGGGTTATACAGTGGTGTATGTGCGATCCCAACATCCGGTCGATAGCGAATACCCCATGGCTATCAGTAAACGCGCACAAGTTGGCTAACAAAGGACGGATTGGATATGGTATAGTTGTCAGCCGCAATGCTACGTCAAATCACATACTCCACAACGCGCTTCGGTATCTACGAAGAATTGAAGTCGCGCGTTGCCTCACCTACCTCAGACCCGGCCGCCACACCAAGCCTTGTTACTCTCATCGGCATTGCCTCTGCCTCCGGATTCATTGGTGGCATTGCAGGCAATCCAGCTGATGTAATGAACGTCCGCATGCAACACGATGCAGCCCTCCCTCCCGCGCAGCGCCGCAACTACCGAAACGCAATCCACGGACTTGTCCAGATGACCCGGACAGAGGGATTCAGTTCTCTTTTCCGCGGAGTGTGGCCTAACTCCACCCGCGCAATCCTCATGACTGCCTCGCAGCTCGCTTCTTACGATACCTTCAAGCGCATGTGTATTGAGAAGGCCGGTATGGCTGATAATCTGGGCACGCACTTCACGGCTTCGTTCATGGCAGGCTTCGTCGCTACCACTGTTTGCAGTCCTGTGGATGTGATCAAGACTCGTATCATGACGGCTTCTCATGCCGAGGGTGGTGGTCAAAGTATCGTTGGCCTTTTGCGTGATATCTGCCGCAAAGAAGGCCTAGGATGGACTTTCCGTGGTTGGGTGCCTAGCTTCATCCGTCTTGGTCCCCATACCATTGCCACTTTCCTCTTCCTCGAGGAACACAAGAAGCTCTACCGCAAGCTGAAGGGCATTTAAAGATCCAAAGAGTGATTATTCCTTTTTGTGACTCTTTTTTCCCTCCACCGATTATTCCCAATCTCACAACAGCATTTACGCCTTCTGTCCGATCTATTCTCGGTATATACGATTTCTTGTCATTTTCTCTGGTTTTCTATTTGGGTGGTGCACTTTGACACTCACGCGCACCATCTTCATTTTGGCTTGTATATAGCTTGCATACTTTCAGATGTTTCTTTCATCGGAGATTCGAAGGATGGCCAGACACGGCCTTGGAGCATATCTAGAACATGGCCCTGTGGCTTTGTACAGTGTGCTGGATTATGTATTTTTCTTGTCAGAGCTGGGATTACATAGAATTAGATACATACACACTGAATCGCTTTCAGAGCATTTCCGCAAGGACAACATGGTTTCTACTAAACATTCTAAGTTGTCTTTCCAAGCCGTGGTTTGCAACTATTGCAAGCGTCTACTGATGAAAGATGTAGCGACTGCCTATACTTCAAAAGAGTCAGAACAAGCACCAGCTAACAACACATTTCTCTTTACAATACGACGAGCTTATAAACACCCTCTCTTGCCTTATACGGACGGAACGACTTAGGAAAGGGGTTGTGTCCCCGCGTGACCCAGTAGAGTACATTGGAACTTGTCGATACATAAAAATTTGACACGGCTCACATGACCAACCAAAAAACAGCTGCTGGTTATCTACTTGTCAAGGTGGACAGGGAAGTTGCCAGCCTCTGCGAACACAAGTTAGTAAACGTAAACACAGATCCAGAGGAGACTTGTAGATGCGTACCACGCTGACCGTCCCAACGATCGGTCCAGGCCTTGGGGCAAAGAGAGCGGAAGGAGTGGTAGAACTGCGAGAGAAGCCATTAGAAGCTGCTGGGATTCAGAGTAGTGTCGGTGTCGAAATTACCTGCTTGCAGGGGCGGAAGTCCTCGCCCTTGGCAGTGGTACACTTGTAGTAGTCGACATAGTTCTGCCAGCAGTGCTTGGTCCTGAGGAGCGAATCAACGTTAGATATATATAAAAAAAGAAAAGACACCCAAATAACAGCTTATCACGTACTGGTTCTGCTGGGGGAAACGGGCATCGTAGCCTGCGATCCAATCGGAAATTGTCAATTACACCATACATCAGCCGATCGGGGGATATCGGTCCACGCGCATGGGACGAGCGAAAGAAGCGGGAAAATATCAAGGTTCACGTACCAGCTGCAATTAAATTAGCCATTGACTCTCTATAGGGCTCTTTGCCCCGGTTTTCTTGGGAGGGGGTAGTGGACTTACCAGTGACGAACTTGAAGGGCTTTGTCTCGAGGACCTCATCGGGGTCAACTTCCGGAATGGCACCCATATTTGCGATGTGTAGCTTCTTGAGAAACAACACAGAGGAAGAATTGGAGTGGAGTGGAAACAGAGGAGGGGAGAAAGTGAGCCGGGAAGAGCGACGTTGGGTGATTGAAGCTGTGAAGTGCCGGATATGACCGCGGGCGGTCAAGCGAGAGCCACTGAGCGTCTCGCTTTTACACCCGAGCCAGTCACGTTCTCGGAAAGCTGGTGTTCCAACCTCGTCCTCTATCCCACTCTTCTTCTGCTACTCCAGGGTTGAACCACAGATATCGCCATGTATCCCACTCGCATGCTGCGGATGCAGCCCACTCGGGCCTTTGCTTTCCCTACTCCTGTATGTTCTTTCCTTCGGCAATGGTCTTGTGTCTTGTGATCATACGATCCCTCGGTTACTAACTCGTGTCTGTAGAAGGAGCAACAAAGTGGTATGCATCTCTGAGATCATTGGATCCGGTGATAAATGGAGTCATGTAGAACTGGCTCTACTTTTATGGGGACAGCCATTGAACTAACCATGCGCCTACAGCTCACACTATCTCCCAGCGTCTGCGCCAGCTCAAGCGTGTGCCTCCCGAGTTGCTCCCTATCGGTATGTGCTATAGTCATGACTTTGCGATCGGGAATTGAGCTAACGGCCTGTCTGATATTTAGGCTTCGTCCTCGCGTATGTTTCTCCCTGTTTAATACTATCTGCCGCTTGATGCCGGGAACACATGCCCGATACATGCCGGGATTTTATCCCCCTATATCCCTACACTGGCAATCAAGCTCGTGTCTTTTCCTAGTGCTAACTTATACTCTTAGTGTTGCCATTGGCGCTGCTGTCTACTCTTGCAGCAAGAAGCTGATGACCGACAAGACCCTGCGTCTCTACCGCAACAGCCCCGAGAGCCGTGAGCACTAAATGTACCACCATGTTTCTTTGAGCTCTCAGGATGCGATCCGCAGTTTTTGGATTCTTGCCGCTTGTATTGTTGATTAGGAGAATTTGAAGCCGATGGGCATGATTTGAGAAAAGCCAGTGGAAAAAAAAGGAACGGGCTCGAGATTGCGCCCGTGTACATATTCCGGCTTCCCGAGCCTAAATCCTGTGGTGTAATTGGCAAATTGTACTGTCGTGTGAGACTTGTGCTTTTTTGTTTGTCATCTTCGTCGTAGCTATCGTAAAGTGTAGCGTGCTTCACTCGGGCTTCGGGCCAGCAACATCTAATTGTTCCAATCCCTGCATAGGATCTTGGGGACGACTGCTTGCAGCCTGAGCCTCCTCCGCCGCTTCCCGATCCTCCTCGCTGACGGCATGCTTGGCCAAATAGCCCTCCTATAGAATATACCGGTTAGTATAGATCGCAGTTACATATAAAATCGAACCCAACTTACCTGTTCCCAGATTGCAGTCTTGCTACCTAGTCCCTCGTTGGCATCCTTCTGTGGCTTTGCAGCGGCAACTTTGATGGTGCGCCCGTAGATCTCGCTACCATCCATGTTGTCGATTGCCTCTTTGGCGTCTTGCGGAAGATCAAATTCCACATATCCAAATCCGCGGTGAACTTCCGCCGAGTTGGGTTGGTCGGGTTTGGGCAGCGATATGTCAACGACTTCGCCGAATGGCACAAAAGCTTCCGCAAGTGTATGCGCGGTCACTCCCTGGTCAAGACCACCCACGTAGACGGTGCTCTTAAGCCGTGTAGTTTCGCTCATGATGTGTAGTTGCGCTTCGGGTTAAATAGGTGGATCTTTGATTTAGGTGGCGATGTGGCAAGTTTGCGCAGAATAGTAGAAGGAGCGAGGAGAACAGGGTGTTCGACAACAGAGAAAGCTTTTGTGTCGAGACTCTGAATTCAAGCTGTACCTATCTTGCTATCAGCCCAGAACAGAAGATTGATATCACGTGCCTCTCACCTCGGAGTGTTTTGGCGAGTCTCAAAGCGGTCTAGCGCGCGTTCCCCGGTCCCTCCAAGTCCAGGAGGCCACTTGGTTACAGCTATACTTGGAACATCTAGAGTATCACCCCATTGTCAATTATTCATAGGGGGTGGTTCTTGATCCCTCTTCTTCATTGTTGCTTGAGTTTTGTTCCTTGGATGATACCTTTCACATAAATTATTGGTCTCGATCCTCACCAAACCATACCTCCCCTGCCATCATCATGGTGCGTCTGAGGGAAATCCCAAGGACGGCCACGTTCGCCTGGTCGCCTGGCGCTGCGTCACCATTGATCGCAACTGGAACTCGCGCTGGCGCCGTCGATGCCGACTTTTCTAACAAGACATGCCTCGAGCTGTGGGATCTGGGCCTTGACCGCGAAGATGCGAGCGAGGAGCTGCAGCCGCTAGCTAAGCTCGATACCGACTCTGGGTAAGCTTTTCTTTAGGAAATTGAATGAAGATGAGGATGCTGACTGAATAATTTAACTAGCTTCAACGATGTGGCCTGGACAACGTCCGAAGACAACAAACGGGGTGTGATTGCGGGTGGCTTGGAGAATGGTTCGCTGGAGTTGTGGGATGCCGACAAGCTACTTGCTGGATCCAGGTTGGTTGAAATCTATATGTGAACCATATCCCCGGGATATCTTGCTAATCATTCAAACTTAGTGATGCGTTGATCTCAAGAACCACTAAACACAGCGGCGCCATCAAGACCCTTCAGTTCAACCCGAAACACCCGAACCTTCTGGCAACCGGTGGCGCAAAGGGAGAGGTAGGCTGCGATTCGCGGATTACGGGTTGGATATGTGGCTAATTACTGGATAGCTGTTCATCTGGGATCTAAACAACATCGAGAACCCATTCCGGCTGGGAAACAACGCCGCCCGCACAGATGATATCGACTGCTTGGATTGGAACAGAAAGGTTCCCCACATTCTGGTCACTGGTAGCAGCTCCGGCTTTGTGACTGTCTGGGATGTCAAGACGAAAAAGGAGAGTCTGACACTGAACAACAAGGCCCGGAAGGCTGTCAGCGCAGTCGCATGGGACCCCGAGAGGGTACGTTGCCACCTCCTGCGTGGTTATTCCAGGATTGCTGACCATTTTCATGTCTAGCCCACGAAGCTGATCACATCTTCTCCCCTCGACTCGGATCCAGTTCTCTATGTCTGGGACCTGCGCAACTCCCACGCCCCGGAGCGGGTAGGTTACTCTTTCAGAATCCAGGTGTGAAACAATACTGATATGATTTGTATAGACACTTACCGGCCACGAGTCCGGTGTGCTCTCACTTTCTTGGTGCGAGCATGATCCAGATCTCCTCCTGTCTTCCGGCAAAGATAACCGTAATATCTGTTGGAACCCGCAAACCGGCCAAGCTTACGGAGAGTTCCCCGTGGTCACGAACTGGACCTTCCAGACCCGCTGGAACCCCCACAACCCGAACTTCTTCGCAACCGCGTCGTTTGATGGAAAGATCTGTGTTCAGACCCTGCAGAACACGAAGACCGATAACGCCCAGGCCATCGCCGATGACAATCAAGCTTTGGATGGCGAAGACTTCTTCAACAAGGCGCAGACGCAGCCCCAAGTCTCCAAGTTCTCTCTCCCAAAGGCCCCTCGCTGGCTTGAGCGGCCCTGCGGTGCTACTTTTGGCTTCGGAGGCCGGGTCGTTTCCTTCGGTCTGACCGAGAAGGGCTCTCGTACATCCAGTATCAAAATCACGTCGTTCGAGGTTGATGAGAGCGTTGGCAATGCTACCGAGAGCTTTGAGACTGCCTTGAAAGAGGGTGATATCAGTACTCTCTGTGAGTCACGCGCTTCAAGTGCTTCCAATGAAGCAGAAAAGGCAGACTGGAAGGTGATGCAGGCTTTGATTTCCGAAAACCCACGTAAGGGCTTGGTGGAGTACCTAGGATTCCAGGATCAGGTTGATGAGGCCGCCGATACTCTCGCGCAGCTTGGGTTGGACAAGAAGGGAGACGAGGGCACTAATGGCGCCCCCGCCAAACCAGCCGGCGTGAAGAAGCATAAGCGTTTGCAATCCATGTTCGATGCCAACCCCGAAGGCGACAGCTTCCTTTCCGAACTGGCTGCTTCCAAGGGTGCTCAAACCAACAACCCGTTCCAAATTTTCAATGGATCAGAAAGCCAGGCTGAGCAAAAAATTACTCGGGCATTGCTCCTTGGAGAGTTTGAGAAAGCTCTGGATGTTGCCCTCAAGGAGGATAAGATGTCCGATGCTTTCATGATTGCTATTTGCGGTGGCCCGAAGTGCATCGAAAAGGCGCAGGAGTACTACTTCTCCAAGCAGGCTGGTGGTCCTAACTACATGCGCTTGCTCGCATCTATTGTGGGTAAGAACCTGTGGGATGTGGTCCATAATGCCGACTTGTCCAACTGGAAGGAAGTTATGGCTGCCTTGTGTACCTTTGCCGACGAGAAGGAATTCCCTGATCTCTGCGATGCTCTCGGTGACCGCCTGGAGGAGCAGACCCAGAACAGCGACGATAAGAGTGCCCGCAAGGATGCTTCTTTCTGCTTCTTGGCAGGCTCGAAGCTTGAAAAGGTTGTTGCCATTTGGGTTGAGGAGCTCCGCGAGAATGAGCAGAAGGGAATTGAGAGCAACACTGACAACTCTTCCTTCTCTATCCACGTCCGTGCTCTGCAGGGCCTGATCGAGAAGGTTACCATCTTCCGTCAAGTCACCAAATTCCAGGATACGGAGCGGAACAAGGACTCGGATTGGCGCTTGAGCGTCTTGTACGACAAGTATGTTGAATATGCCGATGTTGTCGCTACCCATGGACGTCTGCAAATTGCCCAGAAGTACCTCGACCTTGTCCCTGAGAAGCACCCTGAAGCTGAGGTGGCGCGTAACCGCATCAAGCTTGCCACGAGAGAGGCACCTCAGAAGGCCCAGCCCGCTGCCGCAGCCAAATCTGCCTTCAAGCCCCTCCCGCAACAGCCCAATCTGTACCAGCCGGCGAAACCTTACAACCATGCTGCTACTCCACCACCGGCTGCTACTCCTAACATTTATGCGCCTCCTGCGGCTGCTGTTCCCCAGCAGGCTAACCCATATGGCCCTCAAACGACCGCCCCACCAGCTCAGCCTGCTAACCCCTACTCTGCCTACGGACAGACAGCTGGGTATCAGCCAACTCAGGGAATGAGACCTACCAGTTATACTCCACCATCTGCATTCGGCGGACAACAACCCACAGGTGCTGGTGTCCCTCCCCCTCCTCGTGCGTCATCTAATCAGTCGCCGGCCAACACAATCACAACATACACCACAGCCACTGGCCTTCCTGCATGGAATGATTTGCCCGAAGGCTTTGCTAAGGCTCCTACACCCCGCCGTGCAACCCCTGCCGCAGCCTCTGCACCCATCGCCTCTCCTTTCCCCAACCAGTCACCGAATCTGACCCAGGGGCCTCCCCCTGTTGGTGCTCCGCGCGCACCATCCGTGCCTCCCCCGCCAAAGGTGGGCTCGATGCCTCCGCCGCGCATGATGTCGCCCCTGTCTGGTGGCCAGGCTGGATCTACCATCCCTGGGCCTTCCCCGCCGCCCCCTGCCAACCCATACGCTTCTCTCCCTCTGTCACCGCCGTTGACTCAGGGTTCAACCATGGCTCCTCCGGCATCGATCCCCCGCGGAGCGTCGCCCTACAACGCTCCTCCTAGCATGCCACCCCCAACCAACCGGTATGCACCAAGCCCGGGTGCCCAGGCTGCAAACCCGCAACTCCAGACTCGTGGCCCGGTGGCACCGCCTCCCCAAGCCGCTGCCTCGCCATACGCCCCACAAGCAGTATCACAACCCCCCGCAGCAAACCCATATGGGCCCGCCACGCCTATTGCTACACAGCCTCCGCCTATGGCCCAGGGAATCCCACCCCCGCCTCAAGGATCTCGACCTCCCACGGCGCAGTCGCAGCGGCCAACTCCTGCGGCTCCCAAGTATCGTGAGTAATTCCAGTTAGCGCTAACTGATCCCAGCCAACTGACCCTTATTACAGCCCCCGGTGACCGTTCACACATCCCTGCGAATGCACAGCCCGTCTTCGAGATTCTATCGGCAGACATGCAGCGCGTCAAGACCCGAGCCCCTGCAGCATTCAAGGCACAGGTTGACGATGCCGAGCGCCGCTTGAACATCCTCTTTGATCACCTCAACAACGAGGACTTGCTCAAGCCCAACACCGTTGAGGACATGGCGAACTTGGCCCGCGCACTCCAGGAACGTGATTACAACACCGCCCTGAATATTCATGTTCAGATCATGACCAACCGGACTGACGAATGTGGCAACTGGATGGTGAGTCAACCTTTATCCTGTCATTTTAAATAGTCACTAACAAGTATAATCACAGGTCGGCGTGAAGCGACTCATTAGCATGAGCCGCGCTACTCCGTAAATGACACGCCCTTGTACCTTGTCAAATGGAGGGAATGTTAAAGGCTTGGTATAACTTATGTATTTCTGGCCTTCTTTTCTCTATACTTCAGCGTTGCTCTAAATTTTCTCATTTTCCTTGTCCATTTTTTTATAATTAATGCCTTGCGTATTTTCTTCCGTTCATCTTCTTTCTTGGGGGCACAAGTCCGATCATGAGCCAAGCGAAAATGTTATAACGTTTCTTAAGTGAGATTGATAGTATTCACTGCATGATGCCTTCTTAGTTAGATTGCTAGATAGACATGAATCAAATGAGGACAGGGCTTTCACTTTGTAGGTTGTGAAAAAAATATGCTACAATCTAACAGATACAACCATACAAATGAAGACATAACCCGTATAAACCTAGGTAAATCACCAAGAGAATCAGTTCCAATCTATATACATTCATACAATCGCACTAAACCCCAAGATCTAATCCCATCACCGTCCACCGACGGGAAGACCACCAAGCCGTCCACCTCGACTAGCAGGGAAGTTCCGCGCACTCAACAGCGCACCCTTCACACCGCGAATATCAGCCCTAAACCCAGCAATAGCCTCATCCTCCGCCTTCCGCATACTAGAGCTATCATTCGAGCCCGAGGTATTGGAATTCCAGGCCCCGTATGTCGTCCCAGTAGAGTATGTGGGACCACTATATATCAGCCCATCACAGTAATGATGTAACTCCGTGAGACGTGAACGCATCGAGTCATCTAGTGTACTCGCATCCTTCTCCGAATTGACGATCTCACGCAGCTTCGAGGTAATAGACTCAACACGGCTGACATGGTTATTAACGGCCGTCGATGGAGACAAAGCTGCCGAGTCCGCCGAGTTGACGGGGCCGGTGGCGCTGATCACCGAAGTAGGCTCTGGACTCGTCTGCGTTGCAACATCCCGGTGGAACAGCTCGGTTGGGTCCGAGGTGATCGACGAGGCGTCGTCGTCTTCTTCGTCGCTGTAGGGCTTGTTCTTGCGCGCCGTTAATTCCGCCGGGATCACGGATACGGTCTTCTCCAGCTTTTCATTTAGCTTGTGCAGGTTTGTTTCTGCTGTGGCGGCGAGCTCGTGTCGTGCACTTGTTAGGTTCGCTAGCATTGGTTTCACGAGGTACTCGCTCGCGCCGTAGAGACTTGCGCCTAGGCCTGCGGCACCGTATAGTGTATACAAGAGGTTGCGCATTGTCACGAGTGGCGGCGGCTTTGATGACTCGAAGAGGAATTCGGGGTATGTGATTATTGGGGGGACGTCGCGGGGGGCCGGGGCCGGGGCCGGGGTTGGTGCTGACGCTGGTGCTAGGTGCGATTGAGGCATGGCGATTGAGGGTGGCGAGGAGGTTGTAGGAGGAGAAGGAGTGGCTTCGGATTGAGTAGGCGAGGTAGATGGTGCTTCTTCCTGTGTCTTGTCCTCGGCTGCGGTTGAGCTGCTGCTCGTCTCTGCGTTGCGGGAGATGCCGAGGACCTGCTCAATATCGTCTGAGCTAAGGCCTTTTGACTCAAGGAATGAAACTTTGCGCTCTGTTGGTGCATCGCGGATTGACTCGTCTTCTAGGAATTTGGATGCTTGGTCTAGGAGAGCTTGTCGGGATGTGGAGGCTGTAGTTGCGGGCGCATCGTCGGAGGTCGGCGATGGCGACTCCTCGGCCATTTTATTGGCCCTCTGCCATGAGGGAATAGATGACGGGTTGGATGTGTCGTCAGGCATGATGAGGTATTTCACACATTCGCCGGGGATATGAGAAAACAAAGGCGTTGGGGGTGTTGTAAAGAGGAGAGGGAACCTTCCCCGGACTTGGGGCCATGTGAGCCCGACCTCGGCTGTTCCATCACCGGTTCACACCTGAGGCATTCATATTGCCGTACATTTTGAGATCACGCTGATATGTGTTCACATTATATTTGAATATGATATTGTTGAAGATTAATCCGAACATAAATTGTACAAATTCTATTTTAATTCTATTTAGGTAGCTATATATGAATGTCTAAAGTAGAAAACAAAAGATACCCTGCATCGCTCTTCACCGAAAATAGCCTGTATGTGAGACGAAGCCATACCACCTGACTTCCAGATCCTATTGAAGGCTATTGAGTCCTATATACCAATTATCTCTATATTCTATCTGGAGAGATCAATTGAATATTGAAAGATTATCACCATATAGTTCAAATGGCATCCGTATATACTTGAGACCGCCCGGCAGAATGGACCGAGCAGTACTTCATTCGTTCATCCAGCGTCAGCGACTGGACACCTGGAGAATCTGAAACTTTAGAGAAAAGTACTTGTGAGTATGGCACTTCCCCCCCGTTGATCTTGTTGTTTTGTGTTCCTTCCTATCTGCCCAAGCTCCGGGGTTGGTTAGACCCCGAAACCCCCAGGAGAAGCCAGGAGAAACAACCCCCAAAAGCCTGATCCCCTGTAACAGTGCGCTTTGTTCGCATTGGAAAAATCCCGTATAGAAAAGCAATCTGTATCTTCCCGGTTTGCAACTCCGCCTCGCCCTGGATGAAGTGATTGGATAGTCTTCCTTTCTTCTCTCTGTCTCTCTATCTCTCCAGCCTGCCCCCCTCCCCAAAAGGCTTAATGGCTTAGTTCATACTGCCACACACTTGCCTATTGACCTTCCCTGTCCCGCTTCTTTTTTGCTGTTCTGGTTTTTGCATTTTCACTTTCCCCAAGTCTTCTGTCACACTCGATAAAGCCGCCACCATGTCTCTCCGTCGATCCCTTCGATCGCGAAAGACACAGGATGACACCCCAGAACCAGAAGCTAACATGACTACCAGATCTACGAGACAAACTCGTTCCTCTACTTCTGCATCTGCTTTAGTCTCAGTCTCTCGATCTACATTGAATTCAGGAGATCGAAAGCGATCTCTCCGTCTTACTGTCAAAATGGCCTCCAGCAAATTGCGGGAAGCTACGAGTGCTGGTCGTTCTGCTGGACGGCGCTCAGTCAATGTGTTCCGGGAAGATCCCATTGTTTCGGGACCCCGCTCCAGTCGGAACCGAAAGAAGATTGTAGAAGTTGCTACAAGCGACGAAGAGGAAATCGATGATCAAGAAGAGGATGAAGTCGACGATGAAGATGCACCTGGAGATGAGGATGATGACGAAGATGCTGACGCTGACGCTGATGCTGATGGCGACATTGATATGGACGACATCCAGCCTCAGGCGCCTACCAGGCGCGGTAAGATTACTCCTCCATCTCGTGCCAAGCCGCCCAAAAGCGTGGAGGCCAAGGAGATGGAAATGGAAGAAGACGAAGAGGAAGAAGAAGACGACGAAGAGCCTATTTCCGATACGGATGAAGATGCGGAAGCCGAGGGTGAAGATCAGGACGAAATTGCAGTCCCAGACATCAACGTTGATGATCTAGATGAACTTGACGAAGAGGATGAAATAGACGAGGACATGGATAGTGATGCCCTCGCTATGCAAAGTGGCAAAACCACCAAGCGCCAGCGAGGAAACCTAGGAAATGATTTCCTGCAACTTCCCATGGGTGAGAAACCACAGAATATTAATGATTTGTCGAACCCCAAGCTAACTAAGAAATAGAGCCCCAGGTCAAGAAGCATTTGACTGCTGAGGAGCGCCAGATGCGCCGTGCAGAGATGGCGCGGCGAAGGAAGAATCTGAGTGAGAAGCGGAATGAAGAGGAAAAGGTATGCTCAAAATCCTACGTTAAACAACAATTGTAGAACAGCCGCTAACTCTGAATAACAGATGGACACAATTAACCGACTGCTAAAGAAGCAAGCCCCTAAGCGGCGTGGTCGAGCTGCGGCAGCCGAGGCCGCTGATGGCACCCCGGGCCAAGAAGGCGCGGAGGCTGAGAAAGCCGACCCTACCATGGCGCGGTGGATTAGCGGCTCAAATGGCTGTAGAATCGCTGTGCCAGAAGAATGGCTGGGTACACCTGCTGGACGTGTCTTCGGCGCACCTTCTGTTCCCACAAGAAAAATGGTCGAAGAAATTTGATGTTACATGCAGAAACTACAACGGGTTGGCGCTCATGGAAGGATTTTCTACCAAGGTAATCGGGAACGGGACTACATCATTTGCAAGGGACTAGGGTTGATTTTCTGCGTGTGCTTCGAACGGCGTTCAAAACATGCCTTTTCCAAATGTCAAGGTTTAAATGTCATGCAATACATCGACTGTTTCAAATGTTCCCAGATACATATGCATATGCCGAAAACCCCGGCTTTTATATTCAATTAGTCGGAGACCCTCAATAGTACGCGGGCTAGCCGATTCCAGGTCACCATTCAGTACTCTACCCACAACTAATTCGGAACTGGCCGTTGAGCCAATGCCATATATACAACGGCCTCCAGGGCCGGTCACAAGACCTGACAAGTGTGGCACCGGCGAGACGGTGCCGTGTGCGCCGGAGCTTCGGAGCGCGGGGAAGAGCACAATTTCCAACATAGCATAGTGCGTAGAGAACAGGCTACTGGTACAATCATGCTTGGTGGTACGTAGGCCAATTCAGTGTTCAGAATGCCACTTCAAGAGAAGGCCGGTCATCGTCATTGACTCGTCGACTTGGGATCTTGCTGAAAGTCGGCTTTCGTGGGAGCATTGATGTCCTGATTCAAAGAAGTAGGACCAGACGGAGGTGAGTTCTTCTGGGTGTGCTCTCTCTCATATTGAAGTTGCTGGAATGTCGGTTGGAAAGTATAGTAGCCTGAAGCAGATAGAAAAGTTCGAGGTTAGGGACTGATACCAGACATGAGCTATCCTTGCTCTAGAGTAGATTTACCTGTGAAGATACCCACGCCAATAGCGAAAATGGCAGGGAAGAAATTGCGACTCATTTTGGAGGAATTGGGGGTAGACGGCGAGATTTGCAGTTGGCAGTTGGAGGTTGCGGAGGTGATGCGGGAAATCGGTTATCAGTTGGCTGATTAGCAGCCGGCGCGTCTGCTAAATTGCCCCGTTGGCACGCGTCGGAATCAAATTCCCTACATTCAGACAGTTTGAATAGTTGTTCGACGTTTGAGTTTCTTGAGTTTCGCGAATTTCGACCCGAGAATTATTTCGCTTACGTTTTTCTCGCCTTGAGACCAACCGATGACTGTTTAGAGACATGGGGGATCCCCGCCAAGGATACAAATGGAATCATGGCGACAGCGAGGATATGTCCCCGACTCGGACGAGGAAGATGGATTCGATTCTCTAGATACGAAGAAGGGCAATGTCGAATATAGCCCTGCTCTCGAAAATCTCGAATATATCGACAACCCTTCATCTTCGCCGAAGGAAGGGACGAAGAGTGTAACGAGGGAGCAACAAGAGCACATTCGGGCTGAGAATGGCTCCATCACACTCTCAGATACAGAGGAGGTGGCTCGTCGACACACGAATCGAGCAAGTCCTCAATTGACAAATGCTGCGCATGACGAAACGACACCAAAACAAAGAAGAGGACGCAGGACTTACGGACTTCGATCGTCGGCTACGAAATCAACGAATCTCCGCAGTAGCGAGCTGCGCAATACCAATGCCTCCATAAAGAATACAGACAGCATATACGATTTTCCAATGTCATCACAGGAACATGACAGGCCTCAATCGAAGCCCTCGAGCCGCGAGTCTACGCCGAAGCCCTTGAAGACCGCACAGCCCTCGCAATCACAAGTTATAGCAGAGCCACATGCCTCAAAGGAAAACACACAGGATGAAACCTCAAGCACTCGGAGCTCTTCCCCTGACGAGCTGATGTCCATCCTTCAGCCACCTCGGAAGAAGAAGCCCGTGGCCCAGTATGTTCAGCCAATAGAGGCGCCGCCATTACCACCACCACCACCACCACCACCACCACAGGAGGCTTCGGATGATGATTCTCCATTATCTTCTGTACCGTCGTCAATTGGCTCTCCGCCGGCCAACGATTCTACAGAATTACACCCGGATGGTTTGATGGAGGCAGAACCAGAAAGACCAGCAGATAGGGAAGCAGATCTACGACAAACAGTGCTCGTTGAACTCGATGCCAACCGAGACGATGTATTACCACACCTTGATATTCCCGAAGAAGTGTTGCGAGAATTACCGCATGCTGCCCAAAGAACATTCCGAAAGCGCAATGCCATCCAATTGCACCCGTACTATTTGGAACAGGTCAAGTTTGCCCAGCAATTGCAAGCACGAGGCGTCAAACCCTTTGGTCGACCTGTACAGCAAAGACAGCAGGTTACTGATGAAAGTCAAGGGCAAGATTCATATGACCCCAATGCACCTGCGTCAAGTCCTCCCCAGGAAGAGTATCTTCCGCCGATAAGACATGAACGGCATCGTGGCCTACAATCTGCTGCGCAAGGACGGGAACACAACGACTCAGAGCATTCTCGACCATCGCAAGCTCCTCTTGCCAAGCGCCAGAAGACTTCTCATTTTGGAACTCCCAAAGAACGTCGAAATTTACAGAAACCGTCCAAACCTCGTGGCATTAGAGACAAAGATACAGCTACCGGGAATCCAAACGGTAACTCCATATATGAGCTATCATCTAGCCCTCCACACGCAGGCCGTTTATCTTCGACCTCAAGAACCCCTCGTGCCTCAGAAGGAGGGTTCCGGTTTCCTCGTGGGTGGTCACCGCCAGGAGAAGTTGCGGAATCTGGGGCACAGGAAACAGAAGAAGCCGGCCAGGCCCAATCAACTGGTTTGGGTACAGATGATGACCAGGAAGTGCAGTCCATCTCGTCCAACAGTACGAGTGATCAAGAAGAAACCAAGTCAGAAGCCGAAGAACGTGAAATTCGTCGATATCAACGAATGACCCGAGGAGCGCTCCCTGCGTCACATGCTCGGCTAGATCAGAAGAAAATCGCAGATAGAGAGAAAGCCTCGCAATTAGATCGTCATGCTTCTTCGCAACGGCCGGATGGAAAGGGTGTTGCGCGGAGGCTCATTCGAAAGGGTGATCGCTCAAGGCAACCAGCAACTCAACAACCAAGGGGCTTGTTTGATCTTGGAGATTCTGACTCGGACGATGAGGACAACCGCAATGTTGCCACAGAAAATGCCTCCGTGACCAATGACTCCAGCCAGAGGCTGACTGGCGCCCTCGGCCTCGAAGAACCCCTCGCGCTGGAAGAGGGTGATATCTCCGAGGATAATCGCATCGATTACATGCTTGGGACCGTTCCGCGCAACTCGAGAGGCCCCCGGCACAAAACAAACAGTTTAAAAAGGCCGAAATCGAAACAAAGTTTGTTCAATGGAGAGAGACAGCCGAAGAGAGCTCGACAAACTCGAATGACCGATGCCTCCTATGGAACACGAAGGACCAAGAAACCCTCAGCTGTCCAGCGACCTAGGATAGGAATACTGGATGCGCCAGATGTTGCCACGAAGCCTCGAACAGAGCACTCGCGACTGCTCAGGATAGCGACAAGACGGCCACGCTTACGTAAAGATGGAGGCAGGCAGAGCCCTACTCAGAAGTTCGTGAAACTGGCTTCAAGAGAGGACACAATGGATGCAAATGAGTCTTTGCGAGATTGGAGAAGGGGAGCTATTCGGCAGGCCAAGATTAGCCCACCTCGTTCTAGAGCTCCCCAACACCGGCATTGGGAAACAAATCTTTCGATTCTCAGTGCTCGAGCCAAATCGAATTCTAAAATCGGCCGGATACCGAACCAATTACTTGATGCAGAGGCAGTCACTGATGTTTCAAACACCAACACAGCGGAACCGGAACATGCACAGGCGCCACCTGAATCTAGCGCAGTATCAGTCCCGTCAAACCAAGCCCCAGTGGCCGAATCCTCCTCCCGCCGAAAACCTGAGCAGCACGGCAACACATGGGTTATTCCTAGAAATGTTGCCTTAACATCTTTGAAGAGGAACACCATCAGGCCTGCGGCAACTAGTTTGGCAGGCCCTGGTAGAAGCCAGAAAATGGTCCCGGCCATGTTCAACCAGTCATTATCTCTTCTTAACCGACACTATAAAAACCAGCGCACATCGCAACCATACAAGCCCAGCTTGACCTTGGATCGATATGTTTCCGACAGTAGATCATTGAGTACTGGAGGCAATTCCTCGCCCATGAATCCTTCTGTTGCTGCTGCCGCCGCCGCCGCCTCAGCTGAAGCACAAACTCGAACGCCAACCCAAAAAGCCCCTGTCTCTCGACGGCGGTTGAAGAAGCATCCCCCCAACCGAATCAATCTCGATGCCGACGAATTCCGTCAAAATCCAGATCCTGCTATCATAGTATCCGATGACTCAGAATCTCCTACCATACCAGACGTCACACCTGCAGGACCTTCGTCTTTCGGTATCGGCGGGCTTTTCAACTGGCAACGCTTCTATCCGGTCGATTTTGGAGTTCCATCTCTACGTGACAACACATTCTTCCATGAGAGTACATTCATAGGAAGCGGGGAATTTTCTCGTTCGTTGCGAATCGCAGAGCGGGACTTCGATGGGGATGCCGCTCCATTCTCCATCCAGCTCAGAGACGAGACATTCCAATGGAGTCGCTGGAACGATACAGTATCATCGGAAATGGGGCAGGTCTTTGACGTGATAATCGATAATGTTGAGCGAGGTGCTGTCACCTCCCCAGAGACGGGCATTACGGCTGCTTTAGGTGTGGCATCGAGGTTATACAGATTGTTGATCAAATACATCACTGGAAACCTGGTTTTCATCGACCCGGTTGACCGTACAGGGTTTGTCACTAGAGCAATGGGGTTGGTCTCCCAAGTGAGAGACCCGTTGGCTGCTTTTCTCGCAAGCGACGAATACAACAAGAGCGGGCTAGTCAAGATTGCTTGCTTCAACATGATCTTCTCAAACCAGATCTATCAAGTTGCTTCTCATCGGCTTGTCAGCCCTGCCCTTGCGACCGAAGCTTTGGATCTTGTCAAAACATCTACTAAAGACGTAGCAGGCTTAATCGCGTCCAAAGTCGGTTCTTCTGAGCTTAAAACGCTGTTCAAGGAAAACAACGAATCTGAACGCCGCGAGTCGGGGATTCGCGATGAGTATCCATCGGCGGAGGCTTACGTTGCCACCAAACATCTTCTACGCAGTTCAGACAACTACAAGGGCTGCTTCGAAGATCTTCAGCTTGATACTTTCAATAACGGAATTATTCGCAATGAAAGAGACGTGGGCAGCCTAGAGGCTGGATGGCGTGGGATATTCACAGTCTTGCCGCTCAACGAAATAGATCTGCTTGGGATTGCGCGCCCTGGTTATCAGTTGACAGCTGCCAATGATAATTGGAAATTAGTCAAACGACTTCTCGCACCAGCCCTGGACCATTTCGAGTCCAACTCCAAGGCACAACCCTTCTCATACAATAGCTATTGTCGAACTCTGTTCCTTAGATGTCATCGACTTATCAATTCCTGGGGGTGGAGAGAATGCAAACCTATCCTGGACACGCTATTCGACTTCTTTGCTAAGAACACCCTCCACAACCTGAAACTCGAGGAAGCTCGTGGATCACCTTCATTTCTTGACGAACTTGATAGCAATCCTTCTCTGGATGCCCGAGTCGGGGAACCGTGTTTCCACACATTTCTCAAGATCGTAGCCAGTGGTCTCCGCTTCCTGGCGAAGAGATATGACAAGAAAAAGATTCGGAACTTTGCCTGGCGTCTTCTGCCCAACCATGGCCGTGTGTACCCGAAAGAGCAACCATTGCAGCACGAAGACCTCGACGCACTACGAAATCACCACGATCTTCTGAGCACCCTGTACTGGGCTGTTCCCGATGGATGCCGCCCTCGATTGGAAACGATACGCAATCTGGTCCATCCTGCCACTTCACATCGTGAAGCGTGCAGCATAAATTTGCGGTCATGGTCAAGGCTTGTTCGATTTAAGCTTTCTACGGATGAAGAGGTTTCGGGGCTCGATCCGTTTGGAGACTGGTATGGCTACTTCGTCACGGAACTACAGCAACAGCATTCATATGCTCGCAAAGAGATTGAAGCTCAAAACACAGGTGACAATCGGGTTTCTCAACAGCTTGTTGAACGCACAATCTCCCAGAACCAGCGGCAGATTGAGACCTTGTTGAGCAATGCGCTTAGTGGGCTGCGGATTGCTGTCCAGCTGGCCCCGAAACTGGAGCACGCACACAGGCTTGTTCTGAGAACTCCTTTCGAGTCTATCCTTACTCTTTTCAACCCCAAGCTCCCGCGTGTGAATGTTGTTGTATCTGAGGCACTGCAGGTCCTGGTCGCGTACACCCAAAAAGACGTTCCAGTTACATCTACATCGGATGCTCCTGCGGCAGTGAATACTGACGAGGACAGCCAAGAGTTCGGTGACTGGGATGCCATTCAGGCTGTTTGGGACCAGCAAAGTTCCCTTAGTGAAGGTATTGTACATGTACAGCAGGCTTTCCATCCGATTGTATCTCGTCTCGTTTCGAACTGCTTCGGCGAGGACCACTGTCCAGAGGATGCGATTCTCCTTAACGTGGTAGAATGCTGGACGTCAATTGCCCAGGTTCTCATTCGCCATGGCCTCCGAGATTGGGACAATTATCTGAGCGAGTTTGGCGATGATTCCTGGACGCGGCTTCGACAGACAGTTCAGACAAGAAAGTTTGCACCGCTGTTTCTTGCGGCATGCATTGAAAAGGACCCACAGATTGTTTCTGATTGCAGAATTCAAGTTATGAGCATGTGGATGTCATCGCTAGTCGAGCGCTCCTCGATGTTGAAATTTCAACATCGTCTCACGGAGGCGCTTTTGAATGGAAGTCCCACAGATCCCTTGCTTGCGAATCTTCCGTTCTTCAAGGATAAGAAGATCGGCCGGTATACTATCACATTAGAGGAAATTGGCTCTCGGCGACTATCTCTCCTCTCGAGCCTGTCGTCTAATATGCGTGAGCAGCTCCAGGGCATGGAACTTTCTGGCAATCGAGATTTCTCTGTGACAAAACAAGAGTACTCCGAGGTGCTTCAGCGAGTGATGACTTCCATGAAAGACAACTACCAAGAGTTAGGGAATGGAACAGCACAGGCAACTCAAGGAGAATACGTCGAGTTTGTGCAACGCGTTATTGGTTTCCTTCAGCAACATACCAGCGACATCAAACCCATCGATCCCTTCTTCACAGACCCTGCCTCATTCCCTTTGCCGTCTACCGACCCACGGTATATTGTCGCGAAGCTCAAACGCTACGAGTCGAAGTTATCTTCCAGCAAAGAGATCCAGACCTTGACCGGGTTCATCCAGAGCATTTCCGAGCGCGCCGCCATTGACGGCCAACAGGGCTACCTGGTTGACCAGCTGCACACATCGATGAAGGATACTTATGAAGCTGGGTACTACGACAAACCCACTCTCCGCGCCGTCCTCTTGCAATGCGTGTTTCCAGCGTATCTCGAAGCAACGCTTTCCAACCGCGCCGCTTGGATCCTCAGTCGTCCCATCATCCAAACCATCACACTGAAGTTCAAGAATCTGCTATGTAACATAGACACTCTGGATGCAGCCTGTGTATCTTCTGTCATCGATACTATCGATGTTGTGTGCAGAGCCTCCAGTCAAGCACTAGGTGTGGTTTCGCTCCGTCGCCATCTTCTGCAAAGCCCTATCACTTTACTCATGCTTGCTGCCTTCCTTGATATGATCTCATCGGCGCTGCCAGTGGTAGATTACATCGATCGAACCACCGGTGCTGGGCAAGGTATCCTCACCCACCTCGAGTGGATCCGCGATTTCTCCAAAGCCGTGAGCAAATGTCTACAAAGCACAGATCCAAACGCAGAGTTGTCGAGCAGTGCTCATATCACGTTCCCTGTGGTGCCATCTCCTTCCGATAGCAGGAAAACCGAACTCTTCCGCACGGCTAACAACCTGACCTCGAATGACCTCCAAGTCTATCTCAGAAAATGGTCTCATCATCAGGGCAAGTACTACTTTACTCGTCCTGGTCATGAGTCACAAGAGATCACAATCGAGCCCGAGATTGCTGTTCAGATGGCTAGTCAGAGCGAGGCGCAGAAAGCCTTCGACAATGCGGCGAGGGGGTTCGTTGATCGTGCAAAGGCTCTGGAGTTACTGACTTGACCGTGTGATTTCAGAGTTTTATATACATGGCGTTCTTGGAAGAAACTTTACGCGTCACGAATATTAGAAAGGAATCAATAATGTTATCTTGTACTATATTAACAATGTTGCTACTATAATGGAAAAGTCTTCGGGTTCCAATGTACCTGTATACCTGGCTGTATGGGGTTTCTAATAAATATAATAACAATTGCTCTTACTGACTGTGAGAAGGTTGAGAAAGAGCCGAGTCGTTCATTCTGCAAGGGCTATCTATGCCAACGGGTCCGGTGCAAACAGCCCAAAATCAATTAGGGCTGCATACCCAGACTTAGCCTGGATATGCAGGTCACCATGGAATGCAATCTCCGGGGAATGTCATCTCTGTAGATGGATCTCTGTTGACTGACATGATCTAGAACGCCCCTTGATTTACCTGTGTCTCAGATCCAACAAGGTATATATTATCAGAGACCTTGCACTATCCTTGCTGATTTTCACCCTTGAACATATGTCGGAGAAGTCCAGTATAAACATTCTCGTTACGCCCTCTCTATAAGAAACTAATGGGAATTTATTCTCTTCTAATTGGAGAACTTTCTTACCCACTGCTAACCAAATTGTCGAAAGATGGTGATTGGCGCAACTTTCTAGCGCCAATTAATCGCGATGCTACCCCGATGAAGCACAATGACGAGGCGCGTTTGTCATTCATATTGCGAGTTGAATAACACTTCACGGAAGACGATTTCCCCCGTGATTGTTTATTTCGTCATTTCGAAATTCAGTCATATGTATGGGCCACGCGCAAAAGCCTCCCTCATGTAAGGGGGATCCGCCATGCGTCGGAAGTACCTTGAACAGCGAGACCGGTGTTAATCCTCGATTCGAGTTGTACCCAGTAGTTTCATATGCTCGGCACATTCATTTGCCTAGATCAGCTGGCATATAAATCCTGACTCGAGAATTGCGCCTGTGATATTCAGCACTACTGTAGCATTTCAGCGCCCAATTGAGTCCTTGGCCTGAGCGTGATAGACGGGCACTGGGCAATCCGGCAATGGCATATGCTGTGAGGCAAACAGTAAAGAACAAAAGGTGGAATCACACGGGAGATCTGCGAATACTACACAATCTCACGTGGATGTGATGGAATGTCGGGTGTTACAATGTTATGCGGGAAGAAGGAAACAAGTTTTATACTCGCCGTAGAAGTTATAATTCTAGCTTTAGATTGGTATTTCAGTTGTCTCGCATTATTTGTTTGGGGTTTAGTCATTTTAGAAAGTATAATATTGTATAATGTAGTTGATGGTGAACTATATAACCTCTTAGGGGACCTCGGAAATTCACCTGAGAAACCAACTTATAAATGGAAAATTGATGCAATTATGATTTGGAAATCTTTCTTTAGTGCTGTGGCCCTATTGGCACATATCCTCACAGCTTTAGCTGCCCCAATTCTCGATCCGGCGTTGATAAGTCAGTCGCAAGAAAAATATGTCTTCGCCCACTTCATGGTTAGCATACTAGTACCTATATACATTTGGCCCCCCATATTGACATAAATCCCACATATATAGGTCGGTATAGTAGAGAAATACCAGCTATCAGACTGGAAAGAAGACATGACCACAGCCCAATCCATCGGCATCGACGCATTCGCACTAAACTGCGCCAGCATAGACAGCTACACCCCAACCCAATTAGCCCTAGCCTACGAGGCAGCGCAGCAAGTCAACTTCAAAGTATTCATCTCATTCGACTTTGCCTATTGGACCAACGGGGACACAGCAAATATCACAGAGTACATGAAACAATATGCAGGCCACCCAGCGCAGATGCAATACAAAGGAGGCGCGGTAGTAAGTACATTTGTCGGAGACAGTTTCAATTGGGATGCAGTGAAGCAGGGCACGCCCCATCCCATTTACGCATTGCCAAATCTCCAAGATCCCGCTGAGGCTACTACTGGCCCTGCGAAGAGCGCTGATGGTGCGTTCTCGTGGTTGGCTTGGCCCACGGATGGAGGGAATAGTATCATCCCAGGACCGATGACTACCGTCTGGGATGATAGATTTGTTCATTTTCTTGCATGGAAAACTTACATGGCTCGTTAGTACCATTGAGCCCAGTCTTGGCCTTTGAGTGAATAGTAGACTAACTCGATGATAGCTGTCTCGCCCTGGTTCTCAACGCACTTCAACACCAAGAACTGGGTTTTCGTTTGTGAGAATCTGCCAACGCTCCGTTGGGAGCAAATGCTTTCCCTTCAGCCGGATTTAGTTGAGATAATCTCATGGAATGGTACATTGACCTTATATCCCGGGGATATTCTCCAGAGAAGTCTTTTCTAATCGAAGTGTATAGACTACGGCGAATCCCACTACATCGGCCCATACTCAGCCCATCACAGCGACGACGGCTCTTCTCAGTGGGCAGCGGACATGCCTCACAATGGCTGGCGCAACCTATTCAAACCCTACATCGCAGCCTACAAATCCGGAGCAAAAGCCCCTACCGTGGAAGTAGATGAAGTCGTGTACTGGTACCGACCTACGCCCAAGGGAGTTGTGTGCACGGGGGATAACCTCTCAGCACCAATGGGAGCTGGCATGCTCAGTGATAGTATCTTTGTCGCAACCATGTTGATGAGTCCAGCTACTCTGACTGTGCAGAGTGGGAATAAAGCTCCGGTTAGCATTGATGTTCCGGCGGGGATTGTTACTTCGAATGTGACTATGGGGGTTGGTTCCCAGTCTTTCAAGGTGACTCGGAATGGACAGACGATTCTGAGTGGTCAGGGGGGTTTGGCTGTTAAGGATAGTTGTGTTCATTATAACTTCAATGTTTATGTTGGGTCGATCACTGGGGGTGCTAGGTAGTTACATACGATATTATGGAGTGTGTACAAAGATGATGTCTTGGGGGTTATTTCAGAGAAATACGAGCACATAGGCCAAACTACTTTTGCTGTTTCCACTGTGTATTCTTCCTAGCATCCCGTTCCCGTGTCTCATTTGATCTCCGTGTCCCGTAGTATCCCCGTAGTATCCCCGCTGATAGGGCACTTGGATCTATTGCGATAGGGGTTACCCGCGGGCTCTATTACCTTTTGTATTTTGTATTTTGTATTTTTGTTATTTTTTATTTTTGTTTCGATCTCCATAAATTTACTACCACGCACATATTTCGAAGTGAAAAACGATATGGCTCCTCCTTATCGACGAGTCGCTGTTATTGGAGCAGGGCCCTCTGGCCTGGCAGCTGTGCGAGCGCTTGAGCAAGAAGGCTTGTTTGATTATATCCGGGTCTTTGAACGAAAAAGTACAGTTGGCGGTTTATGGTTAGTAGGTGGTTTTGTCCAATAATACTTTTTACTGATCAAGACACGTCTTTATAGGGCCTATGAGCCGGAACCAGACAGTTTTCAAGTGAACACTCAAAACGAGGTCGCTAAAGTTCCTAGTCAACTTGGACCCAGGACTCCGTGTCTCACGCCGGCGACCCCGGAGCCTCAAGGTCTCCGGGGAGCGGCCTACGAGACCCTTGACACCAATGCCGGGGCCCGCACGATGGCCTTCACGCATACGCCGCTGCCAATGGCCAACTCGGTAGCCTCAATACGGAAATTCGGCCGAGATAATCCGTCTCGACCGCGTCACGTTGTTTTACGCTACCTAGAGGAATTATTCGTCCCTTTTCTACATTTACTCGTTCTTGACACCACTGTTGAAAAAGCCGAGAAAACCGAGGATGGTCAATGGAAGCTCACGCTTCGGCGCCGAAATGTCGAACACGGCGCATCAAATCCATCCAAGGATTACTGGTGGGAAGAGCGATTTGATGCATTGGTGGTAGCGTCGGGGCATTTCACAGTTCCCAATATTCCTGATATCGAAGGTCTAGTCGAGACCTCCACCGAGTTTCCGGAAAAGTTTGAGCATTCCAAATCCTGGAGGACTCAGAACTCATATGTCAATAAGGTGCGCCAGGACAAGCGAGGACGATGAAAACTATCATAGTTACCTGCATACTGATCCTTGAATTATTTTAGAAAATTGTCATCGTTGGCGGCGGCATATCCGCTGCAGACCTTGTTGAGGACCTCCATCAAATCGTCAAGGGCCCGCTGTATGTCTCCCGGCGCGGCGACGTGGGCTTCCTCGAAGATGCATGGTGTCTTCCCAATGTGATCAGTAAAACGACAATCTCGCGCATATCTGGTGCTTCAGGCGGTACTGTAGAATTTCAGGACGGGACAATCATCACTGGCGTCGACAAGATCATTTTCGCTACGGGATACAAACTTTCTTACCCATTTCTGCCTTTCGAGGCTGTGACGCCACAAAACAGACTGGCTGGATTCTACCAGCACATTTTCCGTATCGGGGATCCCTCCCTTGCTGTTATTGGACAGGTGAGTCTCTCCCATCGATTCACATTAACATAGGATTCGAAACGTTTGTATGGAAATATGTGTTGACTCCCCCACAGGTCCGAGCAGCAATTAGCTTCCGCATCTACGAGTATCAGGCTGTAGCGGTTAGTCGCTTCTTCGCCGGGCGTTCCAAGGACTTGCCTATCCAAACAGAACAAGAGGACTGGGAGGAACGGAGACTACAGTACAAAGGACCGACCGAGCTGTTCCACGAAATAAAGCCGGATTTTGTGGACTACTATGGCTGGTTGCGAGAATTCGCAGGTCATCCAGCAGGAAAGCCCACGGAATATCTACTACCGGAATTCGAGGAAAACTGGATTCAGAGTGATATAGAAATCCTGTTGGCGAGGCAGCAGTATTGGGCGGCCATTCGAGCTAAACATCGTGCGTTGGATTATGCAGCAAAAGCATCAATTTGAAAACACTTGCATCAGCCTTTCCGGTGGGGTACAGCTTGAGTTCTTTTTTGTTTGAATAAATATCTCTTTGTAATCATGTAATATCATAAAATATATATAGTATTTTTTACTTCACTTGACTGAGTTTCACGTTTTGCCGACTTGTCATATATCGACCATTGTTCCTGTTTTGGGGATAGAATAGGAATTTTACACGTTCAATAGAAGCATAGGGCTTAAGTGAAGAGAGTAGACTCATGCCCATGAGAAAGAGAGACTCTATCTATAGAGCTAAGATGACTGCCCCAGCCACTTTGGTCACAGACTTGGTCTATAAGCCTTGCGTTTTAAAAAATATTGGAGAATTGTCATATTAAGCGAAGATCGTTTGAGATAAATCTAAATCTAGCAACAGGATACTAAAGAAACAATATGGCAGATTTTGGATATCAAAGCTTCGCAACCTTAGTTTGTGTGAAGTCTCGGAATGCAGCTTCTACATCATGCTCCGCAAGCCATGCGATATCCGATAGTCCCGATATCCTCTCCCTCAACTCTGCATCAGTTTCCTCCACCTTCCGCACGTCCCTTAATTTCGCCTGCCGGGCTGCCAACCCAATCTGCACTAGTTCAATGAGCTTGTTGACATGAGGCCGCCGAGTTCCATCAAATAGAGCCAATGCCCTCGCTACTTGCTGACGGTCTGGCTTTGCGTCCTTTTCGGTTGGCCAGACATGCGCCAAGGCTAACGCAAGAGCGTGTGCATCGTTCATTGCCAGGGAGCCCCCAGATGCGAAAGCGCCACCATGAGTGTGTCCGGCATCGCCAATCAAGGCAACATGGCTTTCAAAGACCATTGATTTGAGAGGTGTGCCCAGGTGGTTTGGGTAGAGTCGTGTGGTTGGTGTCGCTTTCAAGATATTCTCCACGGTTGGATGCCAGCCCTGGATAGTTTAGTTATGTTGAAGCATGGAAATGGATACAGTAGGGATCACTACTTACCTTGTATAAGTCTCTCAATTTAGTCACGTCCCCTTCCGTATTCCACTCTGCCGTGCGATATGGATTTTCTGGATCATCGGGATCAGACTGCGTTTGACCGACGACAGTATACTGGGTTTTCCCTTGTGGCATGTTAGTTTTTCCTTTCCTAGTAAACATATGCTCCCTCTAGGCACGTAAAGCAACGTCTAACATACCTAATCGGGATGTAAAGAGAAAGTTCTCGTTAGGTCCACAGTGAAATACAGCATCGTCGGGCAAACCTTCAATCTTTTCCACCAAAGATTTATCGAAGGTAGACCTAAAGAGTATATCCCCCGTCCATTGGAGACTATGTCCTGGCACAAAGACCTTCCTGACCGCCGAATGAATGCCATCTGCTCCCACCAAGAGATCTGCCTCGAAGGTAGTTTCATCCTCAAAAGCAAGCAGAACGCCTCCGCCCTCCTGTGGTGGCTGGATACGCACAGCTTTCACTCTCTTGCTTAGCTTCAACGTCACTTTTTCAGGTAAACTCTCAAGCAAAAGTTTCTGAAGGTCTGCCCGGTGGAAGCGAGCCATGGCATCGCGAGGATCTTTGACTGTTTGATGGGCGGTTTCTTTAAGCACCTCGCCCGTCAACCAGTGGAGGTAGACAAAAGGCCGACCACTAGGCTGCCGAAAAGCGAACTCTTCAATCAACGCCGGGTCAACGCCGAGCTTGTAAAGAGAGCGTAGGCCATTTGGTCCTATCCCAATGCTTGCGCCAACCGCTTTTAATTCCGTAGCCTGTTCGAAGATAGTCACGCTCACGTTCGAGGGTAATAGGCGCGCTAGAGCAATGGCCGCTGTCAAACCACCGATTCCTGCACCGGCGATGGCGATCCGGAATTCAGCTTGTGCGTTTGCGTGCTGCTCTGACATCGTTGTATAACGGTATTCTTTCTGAACTTAGTTCCTAGTATGCGAGAAGTCGGGACTATAAGCTTTAGTTTTTTGCCCAAGTGTCCGATAAATATAGATCTCTCTGATCACGAGCGATTCATACAATATTCCGTATATTTGACGATTAGATAGGGGGATTATCCCATAACATGAGGTTGTTCGGACTCCGTCCTCGGAATGTCCGAAGAAGAGCTGAAGACCCCGGCGCGGGGCCCACAATTCTCGCAGAACTAAAATTCGGGGAACTGGCCGGTAAATTTTGGGTAGAGCAGTCTTGCTTCATAATCGTAGGGTCGCCGGGCTGTTCTGGCTCTGAAAATTGCGCCATTTAGCCTTACTAACAGTTGCGGCGTAGACGGATCTTGGAGGAAGCTAGGGATAGGGTGATAGATTCTGGGAAAGCAAACAACTTTGGCCTCAGGATAGAACTATAAAGCATTCTAAAATTAGACATCTATATATTATTTTCAATTCTCAATTCTCCGAGAATCGCACTATACAGACTAGTCCTCTGCCAGTGATACTTAAGTTGAGTCGTTGGTAGAGGAAGGTTTGTATTGTAGTCCATCTCCGAAACGGAAGATCGGGTCTTTCGTGTCGTAGGGCATATCAGAGCGAGAGGACCGCACGGCTTCCTCCGACGAAGGCAAATCGAAAGGAAGCCTGCCTTCAGGTTGGGCAACACCAAAAATCACATCCAAGAATGCTTCATCACTGGCGCCGTAGTTGACTAGCAATGCGTTGGCCGCATTGGAAATTTCAATTATTACTGCCGGACGATCAAGGTGAATGTCAACGATTGTGAGAGGAACGGTTCGGAAGATGCTGGATTGCCGTGACTTTTCTTTATCGTCGAACTCGATCGGCCCAGAACGGAAAAGCGCCTCGAATCCCCCCGAACGCGGTTTAGCAGGTGCTCTAAGGCGTAGCAGGGCAAAATCAGCCTCTGCGAATGCTTCCACAACAATCAGTCCTCGGGCCCGAACAAGGTCTGGCGAGATTCCTTCAATGTAAACTTTCCTTTTCAGGCCCGGTGTCAGTGGGAGGAGGTCGTTCGTGTTTTTCAGCAATGTAAAAGAGCGGCGTTGTGCATCCTGGCCGGCATCATAGAACTCCGAGCAGCCCACAATAGTGGAAGCGGCCTCGACATCCACGAAGGGATTCTCAAATAGCCCCAGGAGGAATTTATCGGTTAGGAGACGGCGTACCGAGACATCGATTCGAGACTCGGGAAGAATGCCATCGCGGACCAGTTTCACGACCAGCTCTGGACAAGACTCGCCCCCTAGTTGATCACAGCCGGCTTCAATCAAACGTTGTACTCTCTCGATCTCAGTAAGATGTTCCACGCCCCAGGCACGAGCGGGCAAATTTTGACCTCTGATGACTGCATCTGTCACAAGGCCCCAATCGGTGCAAATAATACCCTTAAAACCAAGCTCGTTGCGTAGGAGGTCCGTGATGATTTGCTGATTGAAAGCAAAGCCGACCTCCTCATACTTTGTACCGATAGGCATGCCATAATATGGCATGATTTGTGCCGTCCCTGCTTCAATCGCAGCCCTGAAAGGTCTGAGGTGATACTCCCAGTTGTCACCGGGGTATATCTGTTCACGGCCATAGGGGAAATGAGGGTCTTCTCCATCCAGTTGCGGGCCACCACCGGGGAAGTGTTTTGTCATGGTCGATACCGAGGAAAGACCGAGGGGTCCGGGGCCCTGAAGACCTCGAATGTAAGCTACGACTAGCTCGCTCGAGAGGTCTGCATCCTCGCCAAATCCCCCACTGATGCGGGACCATCTTGGCTCCGTTGCAAGATCAACCTGAGGATGAAGGGCAAGTCGCAATCCCACCGCGAGATACTCGCGACGGATGATGTCCGCAAATTTTTCTACTAGAGCGGATGACCTCAGAGCTGCTAGTCCCAAGGCTTCCGGCCATTGTGAGAACTTCCCGGCTTGGAATCCGGTTCCGATGTTGTTGGTGAAATGATTTCTTGGATCGCTGCTAAGGGTGATCGGTATACCAAGACGTGTCTCCCGAGCTAAGAGTTGGATTTCGTTGTGCCATTGGGACATTGTGCGTGCATCGTTGATGCTTCCCAATAGGTTGAAATGGTTCATCGCCTTGCCACGAATCAACTTTTCGGCGCTGTCACGATTCAGCTTTGGCACATCAGTCGCAATTGTTCCACCTGTGCTCATTGCAAGCATAGTATGAAACATCACGCCCGCCTTCTCTTCTAGAGTCATTCGACTTAGGAGATCATCAACTCTACTTTCCACGGGCAGGGAGGAGTTCCAGTAAGGAAGAGATGACCTGATTTTGAGGTCATCTCGTGCAGGTAACGTAGACATATGGAGATATCTGGCTGATGAAACTTGTACAAAGAGAGCGGAAGAAGAGATAGGAAGTATTAATCCCTGTGTATGCGAAAAAAAAAATTGCGAAAGAAGAAATTCGCGGGCGAGGGGAATGAGGGGGATGAGGGGCAGAGATAGAAACGGGGAATCAAAAGAACATTGGAAATCAAGAAGAATCAAAAGTGGTACTTGGGTGAAATTGGAGTCACAAATTACGCCATTTTCCGTCTTTCTAAAACTGAGACATCTTAAAGACTACCAAAAGCACAAGGCCCACTATTCTTGTCTTGAAGATATTATGTCTGGGTTTCTAGAGTCCCTATCGCATTTATATAGGGCTTGTATACATCCAGTGACTATAACAGGTTGATTCCACCAAAGCCTCCCCTAATCACTGACTTCAATATCTGAGGTATCTATATCTTGGATGATCTATATTAGACTCAAAATGTTAGTGCCCTTCTTTTTATAAGCGGCAACAAGAATATACCTGTGGGCCATTCCTCCCCTAGAGTGGATAGATGAAGAACTTGTTCTCAAGATCACTGAGGTCAAGGACAGAGACGTCAACCTTCGTTTTGACCATATTTCCATCCGCATCGATTTCCTCAACATAGCCTTCTCCATAGTTTCCTAATGCGGCCTGTTCCTCAATCCACGCTCGTCGCTCCTTGTTCCTTCTCAGTAAGATAAACCTAATAGTAAGAAGGAGGAGCGGTGTCAACACAAAGCTAACGATGGTCTGAGCAATCCAAGTGCCGTAGTATCGTGGGCCTTCAGACTTCCATAGTTGCGGAGAAATGATGTTCGATATACCGTAGCCCATCATAAACAGCGCATTGCGTGTCAGCTTCTTTGTATAACCTGCGGAACTCGATGACGCCCAAACAAAAGCGATGATATACGTCATACCCCACGTTGTGACCCCAAGCAGAAGACAAGTAAGCAAAGGAAGGGTCTTGTCCCAGGCTAGTGCAACCATACCAATACTTCCAGCAATAGCAGGAAGCACCCATAGGGTTGCCCACCAGGCACTGTAGCCCGGGAAGAAACGGAGAAGAAGAGAGGCTACGACCGCAACACTAACCGCGAAGCCACCGGACGCAACCGTGATGAGGGTGGATCCGAGGTTTCCAATTCCCAGACTAAGCAACAGTATGCTCATCTGGAAAGCAAGGTTATTGGCAAGGTTGAGGCAAAAGGCGGCTAGAGTGAAGAGCCAGGTGATAGGGTCGGCCAATGCTTCGTAGAAATGATGTTTCTTGAACGTTTTCTGCTCAATGGAACTTCTGGTTGCCTCGTGAACTCGCTGGATGACTTGGACTTTCTCTTTGTTTGTCAAGAATTTAGCTTTTCCCGGATTGTCGGGATAGCAGAACCAGGATAGGACCGAGAGAAGTAAAGTCAAGCCACCTGTAGCGACCATAAAGAATTTCCATGGGCTCACACTGGACTTGCTGAAAAGCAGGGCATAGGCAAGCAGTCCTGCTGGGACACTGGATCCGACACACGATATCCAGAATATAGGCTGAACATGGTGCAGCTCGTGTGGAGTGAAGAACATCCCCATGGTGGTTTCCATTGCAGGCACCAAGGCGGACTCAACAAATCCCAGCAAAAAGCGAAGGGGGATAAGGCCTGCGTAGCTCGTTGCAGCAGCGTGACAAAATACAATCACTGCCCATAGGAATATTGAGATGCTGACGTATTTGCCTAAGGGGAAGCGCTGAATCAAAAATTGTCCCGGTATCTGTCCGACAATATACCCTAGGTGCTGTATTAGCGAAAAGGTGTGCTAAATCTGCATAAAACTATTTCCTCTAAACTTACCTGTGTAGAAGATTGTGTTCAAGTTATTGTATGTAGCATTAGTGAGGTTGGTATCATCCATGATACCAAGGAGCACAGCCTGACCTAAGGTTGCTTTGTCGATCTGTTGAGACACATTAGTCTTTTCAATTCATCACTGGCAGCATAATAACTTGATCGACAACATACAAAAAGCATCAAGTCAATGACGATCAACAGCAGAACAAGACGGAAATATAGTTTCCTTCGCAGTTTCTTTGACTCCTGTGGTGTCGGTGCTCCTATCTCACCACCATACTCTTCGACAATTTTCAATGTCTCATCGGCTTTATTGGCAGTGATTGTTTTCAGGTGTGGATTTTCCTCTTGCAGAGCCACATTGGACGCATCTTGGGTGGTAACGGTTGGTGTCTGCTTTTCTGAGGCCATGATTGATAACGCGGCATCGATCTGAGTCAGTGGTATATTTCAGTTTTCAAATGATTATAAAAAAAAAGAGATAGATGAAAGCCTTTATCACTGCGTATTATGTATCTATCTAAGTAGAGGCCATAGCTAGGTATCAGTGTCGTGATTTCAAGTTACTATATGCCGGCGTTTATCATTTTTCCTAGATATGGCGTCAACTTAAATATCTAGCACAATCGGGGAACTTTATTATTAACTTTGAACATCCCCGAAGAGACGCCGATAGCGAAAATTCCGAGCACTCGTTATTTGTTGCAATCACTATCGATCCCCGTTCCGGGCAAAGCCCGTCGGAGCGAAAATGCTTTCCATTTTTCCAATGTTCCAATGTCCGGGGGAATCCCGTCGACGGATATCTGAATCCCCGTTCGGAGTCAAGCCTGTAGAAGCGATTTTAGCGTCCTCGTTAGTTCTCTGGTAGAAATCACGGAGATGCTCGAAATAATTCCAAGTCCTTTACTTGTATTCGCCCACTTTTCTTTTTGTCTGTCTAGTTTATCAACTTCAGCAACCTATTAACGCCTACGACACACACAACGCACAGAAGCTCAGCATGCACGACACTCCCAACAAATGCAAGACTAGCAGTTTGGATGCTAGCGCTGACGTGTCCCAGAAGCTCCAGGTAGCTGTTGTTGGTGGTGGCATAGCGGGTCTTAGTGTTGCAATCTCCCTGTTGCAGCACCCGGGAGTCAATGTTCAAATCTACGAGCGAACCAAGGTCTTCCGAGAGATTGGGGCTAGCATTAGCCTGGGCCCCAATGGGCTCCGGACATTGGAGAAGCTCGGTGTTGAGAATGCGCTCGATGGCAGCGTGTGCTCACGGCAGATATCCGACTATCCAATGATATATCGGCATTGGCGGACCGGAGAGGTGATGGCTCGTGACATCCACAAGACCGTTAAGACCAAAAAGCATTTCACGGCGCGGTTCCATCGTGCACACCTCCATCAAGCTTTGTTGGAACATGTGCCCTCGCAAATTGTCCACATGGGTAAGAAGACCATCAGCATTCTTGCTGATCGCGAGGAGGGAGTGACATTGACCTTTGAGGACCATACCACTGCCAAGGCGGATATCTGCATTGGTGCTGATGGAATACACTCGGTGAGTCTCCCAACATGGGGAGAGAGGTTTCATGAAGAGCCCGAGGGCGACACTCTATCGCCAACCTTGAAAGATTCCATATTGCTGACCGAAAATATAGAATGTCCGCAAAATATTTGTGCCAGATCACACGCTTCGCCGCACTGGTTGGACAGCAATGCGCTCTGTCTTTGACGCTTCACTGGTGAAAGACATTAACTTTCCCGAAGATGCCTCCCACTGGGTCCGTTGTAAGCCCCACGTTCTATAATTGAGAATCTGCTGCTGACTTGATGCTCGATATATTGCTTCGCCACAGATTGGTCCCGACCGAAGCTTCTTTCATTCAAATATCGGCAAGGGGATGTTCACCGTAGTAGGGGGGCTTCATACCGACCCAAGTGATCCATCGGACAAAACGGAATGGGATGATGAATATAACCTGGATACATTCCGGGAACTCTACAAGGTGTGTTCCAACCCGGTTCCAGCCTTTTCTAAGCTGCCAATTCGTGTGCTCTTATGTTCGGACTGACATGGCAATAAATTCACAGGACTGGCATCCCGCTGTCCGCTCGCTGATCAAGGCGACACCCTACACACGACTGTATCCCAACATGGCTGGACGTCCACTCGACACATGGACTTTTTCTCAGCGTGTAACTCTGGCCGGGGATGCAGCCCACACACATGGGGGTGCCTTTGCCGCCGGAGGGTCACTCGCGATTGATGATGCATATGCACTGTTTCTCGCCCTCAACCACGTCTGGCCTGCAGCCGTTGCAAAATCGAGGAAGCCCACGATCGAACAGCTCGCCGAGGTTTTCCGCCTCTACGAGGCTACTCGGAAGCCACACATCGATAAGATTCTTGGTGCAGTGCATCTGCAGGTCATTGGTCAGAAGCCCAAGACGGAAAACTTGGAGGGTGGAAATACAGAAACGGATGAGATGCTGGAAGAGAGAGTCCGTAATCGGCCTGACCCATCATGGATCAGCGAACATGATGTGGAGAGTGCCTTTCAAATGGCCCTTGGCGCAGCGGACTTGGGCCTGATCAAGATTCCCTCCAAATTAGCCTAAAATTCGAATGTATCATGATGGTTTGTTTTGTTTCGTCCGGATAGATCTCAGCAAATTCTCGTGGGCCTTTTATCTTGCATTTTACCTGGGTCATTGACCAGGCCAAGGTTTTATATAAACATTGAATGTATACAACTCTTCCGGTGCCGATAAGAGTTCGGTCTCGCCCCTCTCTGTCGTTGCTAGTAAGCTTTTTCCCGTCACGCCATAAGCGACCAATATTTCGCCTGCAAAGTACAGGAACCATAATTTCGAAATGACTCTTCTTGACTTCCAGACTTAGTCGTTGGATTGTTGGATTTTTGAATTTGGAATGGCGAAGTAATCTCGTCCATGGCCTCCAACAAAACAAAATCTGCGCCCGGACCCCGCGCAGCACCTCGCACCTTAAGTCCTGTCGACGAAATCGACAAACTTGCCCCCTTAGCTTGCACGGAGTGTCGGCGGAAACACGTCAAGTGTGATACGGCGATCCCGAATTGCATGCGCTGCATCTCATCCGGGGCACAATGCCAATATCTCCCATCTCGAAGGGGCCTGAAGAGGCGGGCAGTCCATCTTGATCAGCCCTTGGGGACGACAGCCTTACCAGAACGTGCGGAGCATCGTGTGCCTACATTTCCGGTGCCTACTGATCTGAGTAATCACTCTCCCAGTGCTCCTACCCCATCAAGCGCGTGGGAAGGTAGGCCCAACGAAGAAGCCACAGCTCGCCCTGCTGTCAATCGCATCTCATCGCCCTTGTCTTCCCAGGATGGCCCTGGGGTATCTGCGACTAGTCATGTCCCGCCCAGCGTGGACAGTATAGCGCGAGGTATTCCAAGCCATCCATCAAGACAGGATCAGGTCCCGCACTTGGCATCAATGTCAGTTGAGTGGCAGAAGGAACCAGATTTTCTGTCCGTGGAAGACGATGAGGCCTTAGTCAATTTATACTACGCAAATTTTCATGCGGCTCACCCGATCCTGGTACCACGCAATCTCTATGCATTGCAGGCCTACCCGGGTTATCTCAGGCTGGTGGTCCATTTTGTGGGTAGTCAATTTTCCAGTACTGTCTCTAGCGACACGCTCCTTGGCCAGGTGACCGAGCAATTTTCCAAAGCTGTAGCCGAAGATACACCCGCTACCAAATTCCATCTTGTGCAAGCGAAACTACTCTTTTCAATCGCAATACACGCTCGCAATGAAATCCAAGAGTGCACCGCAGTCCTCGCGCAAGCCGTGTCCCTGGCTCTGGAGATAGGCATGCACAAGAAAAGCTTCCCAATCGTACATGGCATGCGATCAGCTCTCGAGGAGGAGAGCATGCGCAGGACGTGGTGGGAGCTGTACGTGACAGATGGATTTATGGCTGCGCTGCAGCGAAAGCCCAGCTTTCATTGTCATACCGCGGAGTCGGACGTGCTACTTCCATGTGATGAGTCCTCTTATTTGGAAGGTTCGTTCACAAACGAACCCCTATCGCTTGCCCAATTCGACGCACGGATCTATTCCGAGGAGGAGATCATATTTTCCTCATTTAGCTATCGGATTGGGGCGATACGCCTTCTGGCGCGGGTCCTCGCCATCGCCTGGACGCATGATCTGAACGAGGATCATGTCAAGATAATCGATAGCGCCCTGGCGGCGTGGCCGCACCACCTGGATTCGGCTAAGGCCGACATGTGTAATAGTGAGGATGAAATGCTCTTCCAGGGCCACATGTTTATCCAGTTCTGCATAATGTACCTTCATTTCCCGCGGAGCGATCTTGTGGCAACCATTCCGGGTGCCAGCAAGGTTATTCGCCAGCAACAGCTGCTACCTGTCTACAGCAGGAATATGCACGGCGTCAAGGCCCTGGTGGCCTCAAAGCAGCTTATTGAGCTTGCTACGTTGCAAGTGCCAGTACAAAAGCATACGCCGTTTTTCATCTGCGGCATTGTCTTTGCCGTCCTGGTACAACTGTCAGCATGCTGTTTATCCGGCGCATATGGCACTCCGGACCAGTTTCACGACCGTATCTCACTTATCATAGGCATTCTCAAGACATTGAGCCCGAGTTGGGCGCAGGCGAAGATCACTCTGCGCAAGGTCAAGCGTATGGCAGCTGAGACACTGTTGCGGGACGACAGCCACAGACCCGCTGCTGTGCAGCTTATGTCGCCCAATGACAGCAGGATAGATTTTGTTGCGCATATGTATGACCTACCTATCGATGATCTTCCGTGGATTGATCTGTTTCATTGGGGGGATACCAACGAGAGGACCTTGTAATATCGCCTACTTCTATACCCATATTGCTTTTTTTTGTTTCATTATCAATACTATCCCCCCAGTCTTTCTTTTTACATAGACAAGAATATTCGGCCACTTATGTAGTCTTGTGACGTCCTTTTCGGTGTTCCTTTTCGGTGTCTATAATGATATTCATATCATTTTCGTTCCCTATACCAATTAGCATAGTTGTATAGGCGTATAGAAGGCCTCGAGTCACCACTGTCTTCTACTCACTCGTCTTCCTAATTTCATTGATACTTGTTTCTAATAACTACAAGGACCTGATAACTGATCTATCACCAAATCCCTTAACAATGATAGTATTTCTAATACAATATTCCGCATGATCGCTGAATACATAGGAATTCTATTCCTAATCAGTGCGGCTGTTCGGACTCTGTGTCTGCCGAATGTCCGAAGAAGCGCGATATCCCCGGCGCCCCACCAAGACCCCGGATTGAGATAGGACTGAACTATCGTGATAGTTTATCAAATGATGCGATTCAGGTATATATCTTCATCTCATCTCGAGAGAACAGCTACCATCTTCTCGCACGTCCATCGTTTTCTCAGTATAGACTAGCAATCATGACAGACCATACAGGTATATCTCCCAGCGCTTTCTCCCAATCCCTCTCCTAATAATAGACCAAAACTAACACAACCTCCACTCCGTGACTATAGGATCCAGCTTTACATCCCGTTCTCATCATGACACCTATCCCGCAATTGACCCTACCAAGCAAGATCTCTCGTCAAAGTACATATTCATCACGGGAGCATCAAAAGGCATCGGCCGAGAAACAGCGCTGTCATACGTTCGCGCAGGATGCGCCGGCATCGCCGTCGGCGCAAGAACCAATCTGACCGAACTCGCAACATCCATTAGCGAGGCGGCCTCCACATCAGGAAAGCCCGCGCCCCAAATCGTAGTCGTGCCGCTAGACGTGACAGAAGAGAAATCCGTCGCAGCCGCCGCTGCAACAGTCAACGAAGCATTCCCGCGTCTGGACATCCTGATCAATAATGCGGGCTATTTAGAGCAGCGCGCCAAGATCGCCGACAGCGATCCGGAAGAGTGGTGGCGGACCTGGAATGTGAATGTCCGAGGGCCGTATCTGGTCACGCGGGCGTTTCTACCGCAAATGTTGACCAAGGGAGGAGAGAAGATCGTCGTCAATCTTAGTAGCATCGCGGCGCATCTCATTTCCCCCGGCGGATCGGCGTATCAGACGAGTAAGCTTGCGCTCCAGCGATGGACTGAGTTTCTGCATACTGATCATGGGCCGGATGGTATTCTGACTTTTGCTGTGCATCCTGGTGGGGTGTTGACTGATATGGGCAAGCGTTTACCTGTAGAGACGCAGGCTGTCTTGACGGAGACGCCGAGGCTTTGTGCGGATACGCTTGTGTTTTTGACGGAACGGAGGCGGGAGTGGTTGGCGGCGCGGTATATATCTGTGACTTGGGATATGGAGGAGTTTCTTGGAAGGGAGGAGGAAATTGTACAGGGTGATAAACTGAAAGTTCGGATGGTGGTTTAATCAGGTTAAACTTGAAAGGGAAGCTGGGGTTGCATAGCTAAACATAGACCTTTACAACAGCTCTGTATTATCTCGCGAATCAATACAATTATGGACTTGGAAAGCCTTGAATATTCCCAATGTTTATCCAGTTTTATAAGAGTAATAGTAGTTAGGGAGCTTCCAAGGTTGGCTATATCATTGTTCAGTGCAATTGATAAGAAGATTATAAGATTATAGAAGAAAATGAAATTTGTGGTGACATAGTAAGCTCAGTGACGAATCGAATATTACAAGAGAATATATAGAAAGGAAGCATCAACACATGAAAATAAAAGAAAAGTCGGAAAGGTAAATGGAACTCACGGTTGGGGTAGTCAAACCGCAAGTCAGAGTCAGAGACGATGAAGTCGCAACGTAGTTAACCGAAGCCTCCCTCCAGACATTCCTCACTATTGAGCCTATGTTGATAGCAAAAGCACCTCCACCATAAGTGCACATCATGATGCTAGCGGTGTTCCCTCCCAGGGCCTTGTAGTAAAACGAGAAGTTGTATGTATTGCCGACAACGGTATCGAATGTCTGCGTGATTTTGGAGCTACTGGCTCCGGCACTAACGGTATAGAGGTCGACTGCGTTGGAGGTATCGTAGCCCGCCACGATCGCATACCTGCCGGTACCAGTGGTAGTGAGTGTCCATGGGCTTATAGTGGTACTGGAAAAGCCGGGGTTTTGGATCAGGTTCACGCCGCAAGTTGGAGTTGCTGGGGTGGCGGTTGATGTAAGTGTTGTGGTCGTGGTGGTAAGGACTGTTTGGGTGACGGTGACGTCGACTGTGGAGGTTGTGATGACCGTGCTCAGTGCATCGACAGTGGCTGTGGCGGCAGTGTGGATGGTTGTTGGCAAGGTGACTGTGGCAGAGATTGTGGAGGTAGAGGTGATAGTCGCCACTTCGGTGATGGCGACTGTGGCTGTTGTGGTCTCCGTCTTTGTTGTGGATATAGTTTCAGTGGCAGTGATATCAGCTGTAGCAGTGGTTGTCTGGCTGATGGTGAAATCGAGTGTCTTGGTGGTGCCCTGAGTCGTGATAAGGTCGGTTGTAGCAGTGGAAGTCACATCGACAGTCACATCCTGGGTAATCTCGGCTGTTTCGTAGGCAGTCAAATCGAAAGTTATCAGAGATATAAGATCAGTTGTGAATACGGCTGTAACAACGTCAATCACAGTGGTAGTGTAGTCGTCCGTCACAGTAACCGTCGCGATGTCCGTTGCAGTAGTTGTAGAGGCATCCGTGATAGTTGAGGTCGCAACGATGCTTGCCGTGGAAGTTCGAGTCACAGCTTTGGTCAAAAGAGTGCGCACGATATTGGTGGTGAAGTGAGTGACATAGTTGGTGATAGTTTTCGTGACCTTCACCGTTTGGGGGTCGCGCGCCTTAGAATGGGTGGTCAAAGTTCTAGTCACGGTGGGCTGCGCGTCTGTCTTGGTAGTGAGGACCGTCGAGGTGCACTTGTCAAGATGCAAAGCAGAGCAAGCGGTGATCAAATCCCGCTCAGGGATTGTCCGTAGGGGCGGGGGCGTGTGGAACGCATGTCCCTCTGGAGCAACTTCCCCGCGCTTAGCAGGCGCGGTCACGACGACATCAGTGGTCACTGTTACTCCATCCGTCACAAAAGTGGTCTGAGTAGCGGTTGTGTAGTCAATCATGGTGGTGAGGAGTACATTGGTGGCTGTTTCCATGTCCGTTTGGACAACAGTAGCCAGCTGGACTTCGGTGGCGGTAACATCCACCTCTTGGGTAGCCGTAGAGAAGATAGCATCAGTAGTTGTCTCGGTGGCAGTATCAGTAAAAGAAAGAGTGATGGTCTCCGTGTGATAGTTGGTGACAGTAGCAGTCGATAAATCAGTGAATGTGTTGCTCGCAAACGCAGTCGCGATATCAGTGATATACTCCGTAACGAATGTAGTTAAGTAACCTGTGATTGTGTTGGTCTTGGTCGTTGTCTCGGTCTCGGTCAAAACTTCGATGATAGTGACAGCAACATTATCAGTGATGGTTTGGCCGATGGTGCTCGTGGCAGTGCTCGTAAAGGACCGGATGGTCGTTTCGTAGTCTACCTTGGTTAAGTGGGCAGTCTTGACATCTGTAACAGTCACCGCTGTGTGGCTAGTGATAGTCACAGGTACAGTGATAGTGGAGGTGGCATATTGCGTTGCGGTACTGGTAACCGCACGAATGGTCGTCGAGGTAACTTGCTTCGTCGATGTCGTGGTGACCTTGGGTGGATAGTCCGTTATGGTATGCGTGACCTTGACGGTAGTCGGCCATGGGTGCACTTTCTTTGTGTGGGTGACGGTAGCGCAAGTGCTATGAATCAGCTCCCGGCAAAACGAGGGTCCCTCGTGCTCATGTCGGATCAAACGAACGAGCTCCTCTCCCGAAGGGCACTTCACATTCTTGTCTGGCTGAGGCAAGGCCACCGCAGTAGCTGCCAACGCGAGGAGTAATGAGCCCCAGATCATGACAGCACTCACGACTTGCGGTGTATAAAATGGAATCACAACCAGACAACGCCAACAGGATCCAGTCCATTGCAGCAGCCAGGGGACTTATATCTCCCCCCGACATGTCAACACGGCCACCGGGTCGAAAACATGGAATTTCAAGCGACACATCTATCAATTTTGTTAGTTCCAGGCTTAAAAAGGTAAGCCTATGGGGATTTTGTGGGGCGCTAGTTGAACACTAACAGAGTGGCAGTTGCAAAATAGGAGAAATAAGCCGGCGTAGCGGCGAACCCGTACGCAACACTCACGAACGCACAACCAAGCCTTGGCCAGGCCCGAAGCCATCGGTGTTTTCCGAGGTTTAAATCAGGGGGCAATTCTTTGTTCGGGTGTTTTGACTGGCTTGGGCGCTTATGCATACAGCTTCTCGCTTCAGGCGAATTCTGTATGACCATTGGTAGATCTAGTCCGTGTGTTTATTTCAAATCGGACATGAGATTAAAATATACCTGTTCCTTTGCCAAAATTTGCAGGAAAATATTCAGGCTAGAGGATATAATGGGTTGGTTCAAAATGCTGTGGAGTAATATAACGTCGTCGGCTTAACCGTTCGTCATATGATAGGGAGTGAAATGTAGAAGACTACCAACGAGGCCAACAAAACTGCCCTGCTCTATAAGATTGAACCAAATTACACATCAGATGACATTTCTTCATTGTGTAGAGCTAGACAGTAAATCAAACACCAGCATGCTCAGATTATGAACATGCAAGAAAACATAAATAGAACCCCCAGAGTAGACGCCCGATGAAGCCAGAGCAACCCAGTCAGTGGAAGTCATTTCCTCGACTGGCACTTTGATTGATGGCTATGCAATTACTTATGATCGACGGATGATAGACAGCAAGATCCACTTAAGCCGTCGGGCCCCCGGCTCCATGTCCGGTATCCTGGCTGCCGCGGCGATGGAAAGGATGAGATCCAAAATGGAAGACTTTCTTCACGGCATTGGTAATGCTATTCTTCCTCCGACCTTGTGGCGCCTCCTCAGCAGAGCGATCTGTGTTTTTCTTGGGCACAGAGGCATCATCAGCAAGGACAATCGATGTCACGGCCGGCTTTGGTGGCCACTGCCCGTCTGCCTTCCAGCCTTGAACCATGGCTTTGGTCAAATGGGCAAGGTTGACGGGGACGGTGGGGGTCATGCCTTGCGCGACAACCTTGGTGTAAATTGAAGGATAGATTGCGGTATTAATGGTAGCGCGAACTGGGTTGTCGTTTGAAATGAAAGGCGGGGCAACGGGGCAAAGTGGTTCATCAAGCTCTTCTTCCGTCTTCTCCTCTTCCGTTTGGTCTTCCACTGCTGGGAAGGATGTAAGTTGAGTGGGCGCGTTTGCGGCAGCTTTCTGATCCGGCTCTGTGATGTTGGTATCTGACGAAGCCTTCCGTTTAGCTCCCTCGTCTGGCGCGGTGGATAATCCTTCCTCCAGATCATCTTGCTGTCCTGAGGTCATATCCACCCGTTCCTGAAGCGCCTCGCTTTTCTCCCGATCCGCGATGGAAAGCGACGTCTCGGTCCGGACCGCTAGATCAGAGGCACCAACACCTTCACTGCCCCGGGCAAGCGGCATTGCGAATTGGGATGAACCAGACGAAGTCGCGCCATTTTCTCCCAGCTCCACGCCATCGGACTGATCTGTTGTGTCTGTCTGGGCACCAGCCAAAGCGCGCTTTTGGTCCTCCGCCCGAATCTGCCTCCGAGTCTTCGCGCCACACCACGCATCGCGCCTGGCCATCCACAAGCGTAGCCCTTCGTTCCATGCCATTTCGTCATCCATTTGCCTACGGCGTTTGCGACGCCGCTCGATGCCTGCAGCCCCGGGGGCGAGTTTCAGCACGGCTGACGGATCATATTCTTGCTCGCTATCTGAGCTCTGGGGTTCAAGTTCCGAGGTTGGGGTGTCGAATTCTCGGACTCGCCATTCGCACACTTCGCGGTTGTGGCAAAGGGTACCATCGGCGGAGGACGGGGAGGGAACGCCGGCGTCAAAATCCCAGTCATTGCGAACGACTTCCTTGACGAAGACTTTGGCCTCACGAACTGAGGTATCCCTAGACCCGGTGGCCATCATTTTCACGATTTGTTCTGGATGTGGGGGGTTGCTCGGGTGAGAAAGTGGGGAGCTTTGGAGCAAGGTTTTTTTTTTGCCCGAAGGTTTTCTTGCTTGCCCGTGCACTCCTGTTCTGAACTATTAGAAGACGCAAAATCAGGAAATTCGAAGGCAGCAAAGAAGCCAGTACAGAGGCAAAAAACACAGAAGCAACCTTGAAGGTCTTTTGCAAAGTCATGTGGCGGGATGATCAGACTCATGTCATATGGCACGTGCCCGAATGCGGAGATACAAGCCTCAACTCTCGTTGATTTCGTCTCTTTTCATTTTCCTAAAGATCTTTCATCTTTCTTCTATTTAATTTGATTTTGACATTTCCAAAATACTCGTCGGTTGCTCTAAACTACAATCTCATAGTCTTACAATGGGCAACACAAACTAATTCGAGGCAATTGAAAAAAAAGGACCTCGCCTATTGAGCCCAACACATGGAGTGGCGCAACGCCAAGTGGTGCTATTAATCCTTGTCAATGATTCGCGCTATACCAACATTGGAAGCTGGTTAAGATGAGGGCCTAGATGTGGCATCATGCAATTATAAACTCATTTGCCCTTGCAAAGGCATATCAAGAAATATAGTTGGGCGCGATTCAAAGACCAGTTCAAAAATTCAAAAATTCATATCCAATTCCTCGCCTATTGCTCCTATTGCATTACTTCGTTCTAAAGAAACAATCCCTCTTCATGCGTGGTACTTTAGCAACGCCGATCATTTCCCCATACCTAGCTATCATTTCCCCATACCTAGCTCCTCACTGACCTCCTTCACGACAAATGCCCATTCGAGGTCTTCCATGCAGTCTGCATCAATCGATACCTTGAGATCGAGAGGTATTGCCAATTTCTGCCTATTGTTAAGATAGAGCAGAATTACCTGGAGAGACGCGCAGCAAGGACTCCATTCAATGAAAATGGTCGTGGTCCTACACACAGGGACTGGAATTAGCAAAAGAGATTCCACTGCACTCATTAAATCACTGGAGTAATGTCTTACTGCTTCCCTTCACTCCCAACCTCGTACTCCATGTCATAGACGGCATACCGTGGAACCGGGTTCCCATCTTTGTCGGCTGCATCCCAAAGCTTCCCGCGGAAAAAGTCCCAATCTTTCTCTGTAGATGTCTCCTCGACTACAATGCTCTTGTAGTCGTCAGAGATCTTGTAGATTATGAACTTCGGTCTGGTGCCTTCTGGTCCTGATCGGAGCTGGTTGAATGCAGATATGCATTCTTCTGTGATGGAAATACTGATATGTATCGGTTAGTTGATCTGTTTTTCACGAATGCTTTTGTTGGAGCTGTAGAAATACCCCGATGGATTCTGTAGAACGCAAGGCGTTAGTATTTATACCCACTGCTTGTAACGGATCTGCTTACCGGCATATTGAAGTCTAGCAACTATTACTTGACAGCAGAAGGATTTATGCAGTTCGAATAGACCGAGCAGGATGAATACTTCCTTGTGGTGGATGGGGAGTAGGGAGATGATGGAGCAATTAGCCACTTTTCTCGCCTTATATCCCTAATCCTACAAGAATTCCGTGTGTTTCTTTACATCCTGCCTCTGATGTATTCTATATTGAAAGAATAAACAGAGAAAGAAGCCTTTGTCATGCACAGGTAGGAACCTGGTGAATGTGCAACACAAATTGCCTCTACCTGCAGCTATATTAGCATTGCTTCACTAGACAAACCCCAACCGGAAAGACTAGAATATATTTCAATTGATTAATTGCAAATGTCCTTACACAATAAGCACTCAAATATGTTGTGTTTACAGCGAGAAATCTATAATTGGGCAGATATAGCCAGCTAGGTACTACCTAACTAGTACCCTCAAGGCTAGATTCTGAAATCCTTGACATAAATGTATGTGAAGGCAATCAAAAAGCATACTTTGCGCAAGCGACTTTTCTATGTATAATCTGTGATGTAGAGAAAAACATTTAGTCACTGTAGATCTAATTTAAAGCATGTAAATAGGAAACAATGCAAGAGTTTATTGCCCAAGAAATGGATGGCAGTATATACATTTGAGTAATGGTACAGGTCTATCATATCGCTAAAAGTACACAGGGAAACCCCAATTCCCCCCTAATCCACGTAAAATGACCCAGTATACAAGCCGGCGAGAAACCTCCAATGAAACAAAAAATCATGTCCGAACACGCGCCGAATCAGCCGAAGCATCACCACTAGCACCAGGAATGAATCCCCACCCAGGACTCTTCTGGCGACGACCCTTACGATCACCATACTGCTCGTCGAACTTCCGAATCGCCGACAGCGAAGACATATCCTCACTGATCGAAGCGCTGATTTCTTCCATTCCGCGCTCGAAATGCGCACGAGTCAGAATACGACGCTTCGGGTAGCTATACGGCTCGTCACCCGTGTGTTTGGCTGCTGCGTCGTTCTCCTCACGAACGCAAGCCAGTGCAGCCGCCACCGACAGATTCTTCAAATCGGAACCAGAATACAGCGGCGTGCGTCGGGCGAGTTCAGCAAGGTCGACGGAGGGTTCGAGCTGCTCCTCTTTCAGGTGGATTTTCAAGACTGCTTCGCGGTCTTCCTCGGTTGGTAGATCGACTAGTAGACGGCGGGGGAGACGACGGAGGACAGCATCGTCCAGATCGAAGGGTCGGTTTGTGGCGACCATGATGAATGCTGAAAGGTCGTTCATGCCATCCCACTCGCGCAGGAACTGGTTGATCAATTCGCGGTGGGAGGTGCGGCTACTAGCTCCGGTACGTGAGCAGAAGATGGCATCCGCTTCATCGATGAAGACTACGCAGGGACTGAGCTTCTTGGCAAGTGTGAAGATCGCTTTCACGTTTTTCTCGCCCTCGCCCACGTACATGTCGTACACTTCAGACCCGCTAACTTCGAGGACGGTTGCTCCACTCTCGCGAGCTACGGCTTTGGCGAGGAGCGTCTTACCGGTGCCTGGAGGTCCGTATAAGAGAAGACCGGGGATCTTGTCGGTGGCGAGGACACCGTATGTGAATGCCTCGGGGCGGATGAGTGAGAGAGAGGTCAGGGTCTTGAGGGCGTCGATGGTCTCGGGGGGCACATGCACATCGTTAAATGTGGTTCGGATGCTTTTTGCGTCAACGACACCGTTAAGAAGCTTTTTCTCGTGCGTGTTGCATGTTTTGCGCAAAGAGGCGATCAGCTGGTCTCTGGTCTGCCCCGTTTCCGAATCCTTCTGCTTGGGTGACTTCTCTTTTAGCCATTCATTGGTGACTCGATCACTTTTATCCATGAGCTCAATTCCACGGCGGATGTGCTCAAACCCGAGAGGCTCGTTGGCTTCAGCGCAGCCAAGTGCAAGGGTAGAAATCCAATGCACTTGATTGTACGACCAGTACCGATCCTCGATTCCTGACTCCTTGATAGTCGAAGGTTCCAGTGGCCAAGCTCGGTCGCTCAAGATGTTATCTTTTACAGGCAGAGCCTGTTCATGTAATCGGAAGCGAAGCATGCTCTGCATGTGGCGAATATTGATATCCATAGTGCGCTTCTTTCGGTCTTCTGCGAAGACCTTTTCAGCGTCTTTCGAGCTCATGGCAGGGGTAATGAACAAGGTTTTCGAGAACTGATCATCGAGAACATTTTGCAGCAGACCAGCACCATCTTGTGAGGGTGAGTGGTGAATTTCCTGCGAGGTAGTTCCGATCAACAGAATCTTGGACCCTGCAGCTCTCCGATCTTGGATGACTTTGTGCAGGAGTGTAATGAATTTGGACCCCTCTCGGGTGTTTTGAATGTCACGGTAGTCTTGAATATGCATGATGATGTCTCGAGTTGGCAAAACGTTGCTGGCTTTCGTTTCGACATTTTCTGTTGTTTCAATGGGGACTGACTGGGCCGATTGACTTGGTGAGCCAAGAAGCTCGTTGACTAATTGAATCCACCGAGTTTCAGCGCGCTGACCACTTCGTGAGGCTCCGGCCCCAGGATCCGGATCCGTTTGGCCATTGATAGATCCCCCCAGGAGAGTTTTCAGCCCAAGCCAGTTTGGAAGCGGGATGTCACCGGCTTCTTTGCTGCTCTCGATTGTGATAAACCGAGGTGTGCTGATATCGCCGCGCATACCACGGGGACCACCTGCAATTTCAGTCACGTCATCCTCGCCGTCTCCTTCGGGGTCTTCAAGTTCCGACCATGGAGTTGTGACGGATTGCCGATATACATCATAGCCGAGAGATCGAATGGGCGAGGTTACTCCAACATCTGCGAGATCTTGCTCGCTGAACAATTGTGCAATATCCTGGGCATTAAGGGTCACCAGGTCAGTGCCCAACTCGTGGGCAAGCTTCTTCACCACCGCATCTAGGAATGGTATGCCATCACTACCCGGGTAGTGCAGCGCCAGATGCGACTTCTTTACCGAAGGCTCTTTGGCATATTTTGCAGCTGGTAACCGCAAGCCTGCTTTGGCGGAGGCCCGCAGCTCTTCCCATGATTCCTCGGCCACCGCATACCGATTCCCCGCTGCTGTCGGTGGTTCACTGCATGCAGATGGGTCGGAATTTCCCCCGGAAGCCTGGATCTCACTTTGCACCTCCTCCGCCTCCTGTTGTGACCCTGACTTGGTTATCTGAACCTGGTGTAGTGACTGTGTAGGGTGGTCTTCACTGCTATGAGACAACTTATTGTGCTCGTAGAACCAGGCGGGAACAGTCGCTGTTGATGGTGAAGTCTGTTGCGAGGATTTTCGATTTCGCATCGCTCGGCGTACGGCAGATCCGTAGGTTTTGGTGATCGACTTGGCCGACTCGGCGGAGGGAGATGTCGCCGGCGTGCCATTGTCGGGGATCTTCTCAGTTTTGAGGGAGGGGTCTTCGACAACATTCCCTGGCGCTGAAGACTCGGTATCGTGGGGCTCTTGGGATGGTGATGCGAGCCATGTTCGTGACAGATGGAATCGTCGCGCGGACAGCGGTGCGGAATAACGCCGGCGAGCAACAAATCGACAAGGGCGTGCAACCGAGAGCCGGACTTGTTGCATTGACGAATACATCCGGGACGCTGTCACCGGACCTTGATGTGATATCACCGAGAGTAGTAGATATATGCACCACGTCGCGAGTGGCGCAGGGTCCCTATCGGGCCCTACGAAGGAGAAATGCTAGGTCACGTGATTTTGGATTTTCAGTATTTGCCTCTGAAACCTGAGGTTCTTTATTATTAGACCATCCCTATGTGTGCTATATGCAAAAAAAAAAAGGTAACTTTATCTCGAACTTCCCAAAGCTTACATGCAGTGCAGATCGACATTTCGTGGGCGTACAGTTTACTCTCTACCTACATGTATGTATACATTCTTCAATCGAGGATCCTAGTACCCGCTTTGTCTCCACCACGTCTATTGGAAAAAGGTACCTTTTATAAATGCTTCCCATACAAAAGGTAATTCTCTCCAAGCTTCGCTTTCTTGACCACAACATTTAGAGACCAAATGACATTAACATTTCCAGGAAAGGGAAATCCATCTCGGGAGGCAGTGGGGAGCGACTTGCGCGAAGGGAAATCAGAACTGGAACCCCTTGGTGATTTGTAAGTAGTAGAGATTGATGGTTTGTATATAGTAGTAATCCTCCACTGTGTGGTTATCATAACGTTTACATTAACATCTCACGGAATTTATGCCCTGAATTGTTAGACAAGTATACCCGCACGTGATGCTATACCAAGCACCTGTGCCGTCATCATGGCATTTTTTCAATCCATTTGGCAGAGAATATCGGCTCATCCAGGCCGTAGACAAAATGCTCAACAGCTCAGGACAACGAGGCAACAGCCCAGAGCAATGATGCAGCGGTTAGATTCGACGAAACAGCGGCTCGAGGCAGCAATGAAAAATCAGGCTGAAATAACGGAGCAGCAGCTTCTGATAGAAAAGCTGACACCGTTAGAGCAGCTGCCGGTTAAGCTTTTGTTGTCAATAGCGGACTTGCTATTCCCTGAGGATGTTCTTTGTCTTGCGCTGTGTAGCTCCCACACTTTTGTGGCCTTTGGTCGTCAAACAAGCAAGATCAAATTACCCGGAGGAAGAGGCAAGCTGCCGTTCCTTCAGAGACTGGAGCGTGATCTACCAAGTCATTTCATTTGCCACTGTTGTATTCTTTTCCACAAATACGACGAGTCAAAATGCTACAAGCTAACAAAACCACGGCTCGACTCGGATCACTCACTTTCTTGTGTGTGAGATATGAAGTGGACAATGCAAGATCTTGAAGTGAAGATACACGGGGATTTCCTTCATAATCACTACAATCTCACCTTTCTACATATGCAGCTTGTGATGCGGCATTTCTCCCACGGCCCGAGGTCCGATATAACCCCCGAGGCACTGGCATACACCAAGGTGAAGGAATGCGGCGATGCCAACACGCTGGTTTCAATAGAGTCATGCATATGCCTAATGGATGGGACAGAAACAGGTCCATATTCACCGAAACACTCAGCAACATCCTCTCCTGGGGCACCGAGCCTTTGCTTACACGTTCAAGACATGGTGTTCGTAGAACGTGACAAGGTGCTTTTCATTGACCCTTCAAGCATATTGAACATCGATTTCGACTTTTTATGGATTTGCGAACATATATTATATTCGGATCTAATCAGCTTAATCGTCGACTTGATTAAGGCTCATTCGGAGAGTGAACTAAAACCAACACGCAGCGCTTCCTCGAACAGTTGTGAAGTATGCCGCTGATTATCATGTTGAACTACTCGAATTTGGTTCACATGCTTTGGCTCTAATCATTACCAGATGGATCAACTTGGGCACAGGCTCAAGCCCAGATGATCCCCAGTGGAAGAGGGCTCAGTCAGCTTATGAAAAGCCTCCCTCTTTGGATGGGAAGGGACTTGCTAGCCCTCGGGTGGCAGCTGAAAATGTTGTTCCGAGTCACTGGTCAAAAGAAGCCTTGACTTTCTCGAATATCTCATTGCTCAGAAATTCGGAATATCAAAATTTGATGGAAGAACTCGACTACGACTCCGACATCTGGATTTTGCCCACACCTCGAAAGGCGTCGATTAATCCATACACCGAGAAGATTAAGCGTATTTTGTGACTGTGGGAAGATCCCACTTATGGTGCGCTGGAATGATCTCATCTTGTTTGCATCTGTTGCTAAGGTGAAACATCACGGCCATGCGAAGATGCCATTGTCATTTTCAACCCCTAGTATGATGTAAGTACTTAAGACATAGTCATGTACTCATAGTGGCGGTATGTTTGACCTCCACTTCTTAGTACAATCACAGCCCTCCTAGGAGATGCATTGTCGCTCCTAACTGGGGGAGGGCGGCACTTCAAATCTCCCGTGCAGTGAATCGTAACACCCCCACAGGATCAATGGGACCATAACCACATAGACTTGGCGTATTTTGCCAGACCCCATGATGAAACAATCTTACATTTTCTCTACCATGCCATCCCAAAGCCCCAGCAAAGAGAGGAAGTTAGAAGAAAGGTTTATAGACCAAAGCCATGGTTGTGCTTGTGAAATGGAAACAGTCGAGGCAGCTACAACCTCAGGTGTGCTAAGGGAAGTGTATGGCAAGTTTTCTGTGTCTTCATTGCTTCTACTTCTATGTTGCTTGTGCTTTTCTTTTGGTTATTATCTTTCAGGATCCAAGGTACAACAAGTAAGCGGTTTGGTGTATTCTACATGCATATGTAGTCTGCACCTGATCGGTCCTAAATATATTTCTAATGCCTATGGAAAGACATACATGTTGTACGCACACTGTGAGTACAAAGTGAGATGCCTACTTATAAGAGAGAGCATTTTGCTAGGGCTGACAGCCATTACCAACATTAGAAGTCATTCTCACCAGAGTGTTATGTGGCTTATAGTATAAAACACAGGTTGATGAAGCATATTTCAGGTATGGACTAGAAGCTACAAGAGACATAGATTTAGATGAAGAAAAAAAAAAAAAGTTCATTCAAGTATTCCCACAACTATATATCCAGACAACACACAGGTGTAAGAGCGAATTGATCATCAGAAGGAAGGCAACGGAAATCTCTACACGGTTTTGCGCATTCAGAACAGGTCTGTGAGTTTACATCCGAAAATTTTTCGTCACTTGATCAATTCGCCATTACAACGAGCGATATCCTTTTATGCATCGTGGTTCATGTTTGGAACTAGACTGAGAACAATGTTAGTGAATTGTTTAAAACAAAGCATGATAAAGGTGCATTGCAATATAAGAGTTCTCAGACAAGATATACTGGCAAGTAGCAGACCGACCGGGAAGGAAGGTCCGTATTGTCTCCGCATTGTCGATTTGGAGGGTAAAGAAGTAAAGTGTTTTGTCATCCTTGAACAGATAGGAAATGCAAATGCAGAGGGGGACAGAATCAGACAGGATGTAAACTTACGTTAAGCACCAGGTACTATCACCTGATCTATCTGGTTAGTGGCGAGATTGAAGTCGTAAGATGCATACTATTGGCATTGGGTCATACTATCCTCAGGAGTCAGGTGCAATCAACATCAAGAGAGCTCCGGAAACCTGAGGAATATAAAACCACAAAGCCAAAGGTAATTCACAGTGATTGTAGGCTTCAAAAAGATAACAATCTGCAAGAGGTAGGAAGAGAGATTAACTCCTAAGAGTGCTCTCAGTCGTGTACCATAAGAAAAGAAGAATGAAAGACAAAGAAGAAGATGAAGAAGAAGAAAAGAAAAAAAAAAAGTTGTGAAGAAAAAGCCGCGAAATTCACACGTGACTTCCCAATCAGGGATAGCGTATGATTGGACTGAGGAGAGAGGAGAGAAGGGAAAAAAAGCCTCCAAAAGGGAAAAAGATAATATTCAAAGATGGAGCTTATACTTTAAGATCTATACAATTTCCCGACTTCATTAGTCCTTTTTATTTCCTCTCTATCCCTGTTTCTCTTTGGATTTATCGCGTTGTCGTCTCGGTTAGATCCTCCACCCTACGGACCCGGATCCTCCGTCCCCAGTTCTCTCTCTCCCACCGGGCGATCATCCTTGATTCCTGACTTGGGTGTTCGCAATACCTTTTTAGCCCCCTAATATTCAGATCCTTTAGGAAAAACTACTTGTGAGTTGTGCCTCTTTGAGATATTCCGACTGTTGGGAGAGCCCAGCCCCTCCACGCCTCTTTCCCCTAGCCCCCGTCACTTTTAACCTTCATCCCCGACATCTTCTCTTATCACTCCCCGCTGACCACCCATTTCTCTCAAAAGGCAAAAAAATATTCATTGCGCGGGTGAGTGACTTGGCCAGGAGGCCCCCGATCGATACTTCAGCACCTCGCGTCTGCTGAATACCGGTCCAAGTCGCTCGCTACGTCTTGGCCCATCCCCGAACGCTAAAAGCGGCCTGTTGTCTTCCCACTCCAGTCGCGCTCCACGCCACGTTTCGCCCACATTTTCGCCATCGCGAGCGATCATTTTTGAAGTCCCCCATTTGTGGTGACTTCGTCGCTCAGCAATGATGATGACGCAGCCGTTTCCTGCCCACCAAGGCATGCCGCAACATGGGTTTCCCCCCGGTCACCCAATGGCCGCGCAACATCCAAATGGACACCCCGGCGCTGGAATGGTACAGCAAATGCATCCTGGTGTGTCTGCGCCAGGAGGACCTCAAGCCAGCCCAGCGGGCCCGATGATGGGCGGCATGGCCCCGGGCGCTGGGACAGCTGGTCCTGGTGGCCCAAATGCTCATGCCCTCTCCCATCTGAATCCCGCGCAGGCGCATATGCTTCAGACCTCCCAATTCCAACAAAATTGTTAGTATTCAACCTCCTAGTTGCTTAACGCGATGGTGTGCGAGATGTGATGTTATGGGACACGCGATCGGCGCCCTCTGCGGTGATTTCTTTTCCCCCGCTATACCCGCGTCTCTTCCAGCCGTTCTCGATTGTATACTTACATCCTGATCAATCTATAGTCGCGAACAATCCCCATCTAATACACCAGCACCAACAACAGCAACAGCAACAATTAATGCGGCAACGAATGATGCTCCAACACCAGCAGCAACAACAACACCAGCAGCAGCAGCAGCAACAGCAGCATCAGCAACAACACCAGCAGCAGCAACAACAACAGCAGCAGCAGCAACAGGGTCTCCCAGTGACAATGCCTAATGGTACACAAGGACTTAATGCTGCCCAAATTGCTGCAATGCAAGCGAACCCTGGAATGCGACCCGTCAATATGATGCACATTCAGCAGCAAATGCCGCATGGTCAGCCGCCAACTCTCCAGCAACAGCAGCAATTCTTCGCTATCCAGCAGGCACAGCAGCAGCAGGCACAACAGGCTCAGCAGGCTCAACAACATGCTCAGCAACAGGCAAATAATGGACAATCAGGCCAGCATACCCCGCAGCGTACATCAGCACAACCCCCGAATATGCACGAACAGAGTGCCACCCCACAGTCGCAGCATGGTGGACCAGGAGGGGGCACACCACAACCCTCCCAGACCTCTCAGCCGCCATCCACTCAACCTCCGCAATCGCAGGGTCCCCCTCAAGGCCAACCCACTCCCAATCCCCCATCGCAGCAATTGCCGCAGTCTCAACAGCCAGGTCAACAGGGGCAGCCTGGCGTGCAGCCTCAACCTCCCCAGGGTGCTCAGGGCCAGCAACCGGGTCCTCAGAATCAGCAGATGACAGCCCAGGAAGTTCAGTTGAAAGCACAACAACACCAGAATGCTCTTATGATGCAGCAGCAACAGCAACAGCAACAGCAAAGGAAGAACAACGCAATCTTGACCATTCATGCCTATGCTGAGCATCTGGGAAACTTCCAACCCCGCAATGAGACCCAGGATCTTCTATATTGGCAATCGTTCGTCGACCGTTTCTACTCCCCTGTAGGTGTATTGCGACAGGGTGTTTGGAACAACACGATTGGATCTAAACAATTTGAAATTGGGACTCCCGCACTGGCACGTTATTATTTGACCCAGTTCACCAGCGGAATTAGTCAAATTCAGATGGTAGTGGAAGGTGCTCGTGAGCGGGAATCTCATAACGGAGGACATTACGTGGAAGCCCCGAAATGTTCATTCATTTATTGGTTCAAGAATGAGTGCCAGGTACATCTCCTATCCCATGCTTCTTTTCCGTTCAACTTGCTAATGTCTACCTGTAGCTTTTCACTAACGGCACGTTGCGCGCGCATTTCGATATGCACAACAAGCTTGAGATGCTCGATGTTAATGTCGTCAGCCACAACGAGTTCATTCCGCGGTCTTTGTTGTTGGCCATGGAGGCGGACTCCCAAAAGCAAAGCCCGAAGGTCTCAAAGAACTCAAAACGCGCCCAGCCTAAGCAAGCACCATCATTACTACCGGACTCCAACGTGACTGCCAACGGCGTGCCTACTCCAGTGATGGGATTCATGGAAGTGGCTGAAACCATTTCTGCCATGCAAATGCTGTTCCAATTTTCGCAAGCAAACCCGCAGCTATCACCTCCTGACGCTTTGCGGAATCTCGTCAACACCCTCCAGTCGCAAACTCCCAATCCAGGCTTTGTGTCAACTCCCATGCCCATGAATCCGGGTATGAATCCAGCCATGAATCCGGGTATGAATCCAGCCATGAACCAGGTTATGAATCCAGCCATGAACCAGGGTATGAACCCGGGTATGAGTCCGGGCATGAGCCCAGGTATGAACCCAGGTATAAGCCCGAGCATGAACCCCGCCATGAACCCAGCTATGAATCCTGGCATGAATCCGGGCATGAATCCGGCGATGCACCCAGGCATGAGCCCAGGCATGAATCCAGCCATGAATCCAGCCATGCACCCTGGTATGAATCCGGGTATGAATCCAGGCATGAACCCTGGCATGAATCCAGGCATGCAGCCCATGCAAAATGTTCGTGGACATAGCATGGGCGCTCCGTCGCAGTTTGCCTCGCCTGCTATGGCCCATCTTGGTCTCCCCGGGCAGCAAGGCTCGCCTCATCTGACTGGTTCAGCACACGCAAGCCCAGCCCAAAGCAACCTTGCCGGTCCCCCCGGAATGCAACCACCAATGCAACCGTCCCCAGCTGGCGTGAACAACAGTCCAAATGTAGGTGGCAACAAACGTCGCCGGGCAAGCACCGTCAAAATGGAATCCGAGGACGGTGGTGGAGTCGAAGCTAACGGCGCACCGCAACAGGGCTCAGCGAAAGTAAAGGCTAGCCCTCGGGTGCCGAAGCGACAAAAGGGCGCCGCCGCCTAATCATGTTGGGAGTTTAGTTCTCTTCCCCCTGCTTTCATTTTTCCTCGCCGTCTCGAGTGGCGCGCAACCGGCGTACGACTGGATACCTGGGCGAGGCATGTCGCGCCCGCTCTTGTTTGTTTACTCCTCATCTAGTTCTTTCCTCCCATTGAAAGATCTATCTTGCTTTTTGGCACATGACGACTCAATTCACAATCGACGGGATTTAATCAGTGCTTGAGGCCCCCTCCCCATCTTCCTTGGAAGTGGCGCCAGGCCTCATCGATCCTGCTCAACTCCGACCTAATGTACTCTATCTTCCTTTCAGCGTTTCCTTGGTTGGCTCGGGATCATCACCTGGCCTTGCATGTTTTCTATCTCTTTCCTGTTCGGTTTTCATTTTGGTCCTTTTGCCATCCATGTCTGGGATTTAACGACTTTTGGATTGGTCTTTGTTTAGGCTTTTGCCCATTGCTCGCTGTTTCCTTGACAGTCTGTTCATCTTTTCTTCTGAACAGACATAACTATTGATATCCGTGTTTGGCGAATGATATGGCGTCCGGCTCTTACGTTTCTTTGGGAACTACGTCTGCGTGCATAGGGGTGTTCCATGTTCCATTTGGCTTCACATCTCTCCCCCCCTCGGGGCTTATCCTCTTTCTGCCGCTACTTGACGAATCCATAAATACCTGCTTTCCAATCATCATGATGCATTGTAGTTTGTATACTTGAAGGTATGTTGAAGTATCGGTCTATAGCTATACATGCAGCGTGGTTGGTATTACGATGAAATTCCCCTCGGACGTCTTTCGCCGCGTATTTCTCAGTCATACCAGCAACTGTAAATCCCCAACTGACAATTTATAGAAAAATATCCCTCTACTGAAATAAAAATTGAGCGGCGAACTCGGCGAACTCTGGCATCGGCGAATTGATAATATCGAAGCTCGGCATTAGTTATCATATCAGTTCCCCACACCGGCCTAGGAAGGGATAGCACTGCCCCTCATCTGGACTACTTTTCTCCAAACATCCTCTAATTTGGGATTCACATCTACCAATTTCGGAAGCTTAACAATGTCACACTCTCACTCCCACGACGCCGGCATCGACCACTCCCACGATGACCCCTTCAACGGCCACGGCCATGCCCACGATATCCTCGATGGCCCAGGCTCCTACGTCAACCGCGAGATGCCCTTGATCGAAGGCCGAGACTGGAAGGATCGTGCCTTCACTATTGGTATCGGTGGGTATGTATAAGCTTCCCGTTTCATTGCAATCGACCTCTATTTCACCTGCCTCGTGCCAATGCATATCCCCTCAAATCACCACCTATAGATGCACAACCAGTGACTAACGTGAATCTTGGATCCGAACAGACCCGTAGGATCCGGCAAGACAGCTCTGATGCTAGCGCTATCTCGCGCCCTTCGAGACGAGTATAACATCGCCGCAGTGACGAACGATATCTTCACAAGGTAAGAAAAAAAATACCCCAACCCCACCTACCAACCCCACACCCAAAACAAACAACAGCACTCAATACACATCTATCTACTATACCTCATACATATCTCCAATCTCATCACTAACCACCCTCCCTAAACAGAGAAGACGCTGAATTCCTCACCCGCCACAAAGCCCTGGCCCCATCACGCATCCGCGCCATCGAAACAGGCGGCTGCCCACACGCCGCCGTGCGCGAAGATATCAGCGCGAACCTCCTCGCGCTGCAAAAGCTGCAGAAGCAGTTCACGACCGACCTGCTGCTGATCGAGTCTGGGGGCGACAACCTTGCTGCGAACTACTCGCGCGAGCTCGCTGATTTCATCATCTACGTGATTGACGTTGCGGGTGGTGATAAGGTGCCTCGTAAGGGTGGACCTGGTATTACCGGGTCTGATCTACTTGTTGTGAACAAGATTGATCTTGCTGAGGCTGTTGGGGCGGATCTTGCTGTTATGGAGAGGGATGCGGCGAAGATGAGGGAGGGTGGTCCGACTGTGTTTGCGGTTGTCAAGCATGGGAAGGGGATGGATCACATTATTAATTTGATTATTAGTGCTTGGAAGGGGAGTGGAGCTTATGATGTTAGCTTGCAGAGGTGGAAGGATGGGGCTGTTAGGGGGTCTGGGAGTGTTGATGAGTAGATGCTTATCTAGACTGCCTAGGTGGTAAGTTTAAATTGGATAATTCGAGGTATTTTGGATAGATGACCTTGGAAATCCTGGAAGGGGAATACGAAGTAAAATTGGAAAGGTTAGGATATGAATTCATGAAGTTCAATATATTCAATGTGTTGAAAGTAAATGGTACACACGTTTAACTGCTTTTTCCGTCCGAATACAAAACATATTCCCCGAGAACGCCTGGAATGCAGCTGTCGCCAAATCTCCAATATGTCACAGAAGCCGCGTGTGGGCTGGGTATCTGGGTGGTGTTGGGCAGAGGGGGTTTGATCCTCTACTGCTCCACAAGATGTCACACAAGCAAGAAACAAACTCAGTGAACTCATTTGGCGAACCGGGACAGAGCCGGCCCCAGATCCAGACGTTCCTGCTTGAGCTTGTCCTTTGTGCGAGCAGCATACTCCTTGCGCAACGTCTCGGCCTTGACACGCTTCTCGTCGATAACGTTCTTTCCACCCTTCTTGCGGAGGTACTTGCGCAGGGCACTGTTGCGACCACGACCGCGGTTCTTGATCTTCTCCATGTGATCCTCGGGCTTGTGGTCCGGGTTGCGCTGCTCCTGATACTTCTTGTCGTTGATGGTATCGAGCTTTCCAATGATGTTGGGGTCGAGCGAGATCATATCCGGCTGCAACTTGGTGAGCAGCGAGTGAACCTCGTGTTCCTGGCGCTGTCGGACGTTTTCGTAAGGGTTGGCTTCCAGCGAGTCGAAGTTAGGCTCACCGGCGCCGGGAACGAGGACGCTGGCGAATCCTTGGTCGTGTCCTACACCGAGAATATCTTCGTATGGGCACCAGCGCACGTTCTCGATGCGCTGGCCGTCTCCGCCCCATGCCATGTATGGGCTCTGCACCTTGCCTTGGTCGGCTTGCGCAGCGTCGAAGAGACCACGCCATACGCTCATTTGGGTGCCCCAGCCGACTGCGGTCAGGCCGCGGTCACTGATAGACACAGATGCGCCGGGTTGGTAGCATGAGTATGAGTGCACCTCGCGGTACATGCGGATATCCCACACATTCATTTTTTGGTCCTGGCCTGTGGAGACCATGTAATGGCCTGTGCGGTCCATTGCCAGTGACCGGACAGGTCCCTGGTGCACGAGTGCCTTTACGAGAGGGGTTTGAGAGTTTGGCGACCAAAGGGTCACAGCACCATTTTGGTGTCCCACATGGAGGATGGCATTCCATGGGTTCTGTGCGAGAGCGGTGGGTTTACCCAACCGTGTAGGTAGCTCAGCGACGGTCTGGCCGGTTGAGGTATCTGTGTATTTGAGGTGGCCGCTCATTTGCTATATAAACGATTGATTAGCGGGGGAATTAGGGAGTTGAAGGATTAAATATACTCACAGCGCTTGCGAGGAGGAAATGATATGGCAGGAATTCCAAGAAGAGCGGTTCCAGGTGCTTGCTCAAACAGTGGATCTCAGTTCCCTGGTGATCGTAGATATAAGTGTGCTTCTTCTGCGCCACAGCGAAGAACTGATTGTTATGCAGCCAGCGGGCATCCCGCACAGTCTCGTTCAACTGTAACTCGCAGCCCAATTTGCCCTCGCGCCAATCCATCGTCGCAACATGTCCCTTCCGTCCCGCGAGCAGCAGGTCACGTCCGTTTCGAGAGTAGTCCATGCGGTAGGGGCCCATATCAGGAAGCTTCAATTCGAATCCCTTCTTTGCTGTCTCGATTCCGACGCTGTCCCGAATTTCATCTTGGCGAACTTTGTATGTCCGCTCGAGTTCACCTTCGGGTTCGAGGAATCCTTCCGTGTGCTCGAGCAAAATTTCTGCATCCTTGGCTTGGAGGATAGCCTCCTTGTGCTTAAATTCCTGTCTCTTGAGATTTGCGCGCAGCTTCTTGTCCCGCGCACTCTTCACATTGGCACCTTTGCCTCGTCCGTAGGTTTGCTCGGCTGCTGCGAGTCTCATCTTCGCTTCGGTGTCGCCCTTGGCGACAGCCAAGTGGGAGGCTGGGTCGACCATTTTCTAGCAATTTCTCGAGTTCGTTTGCGAAAGAACTCAGGAAGATAAGAAGGCGGACGAAAAGCGTAGCTTCAAGAAAAAAAGTGTTTTGCCCAAAATTTCGCCAAGATTTGCGCTCACCGCTCGCTTATCCTCCACTGGCGAATTTTGATTTCTTATCGTCACCTTTTTTTTTCGACAGAGGCACTTTCGTTTTTTTCTGTATATTTGCCAGTTATAAATTGTTCTGGCTGGATATTTGTCGAGTTACCTCTGACTCGCTTCAATCTGGACTCCCTCCCTTTCCGATTCAAAGGCTCTAACGCCAATATGGCGCCTGCCGTGCACCACCACCGCTCCACCACCAAGGTTTCCCACAAGCCCTACAAGAGCAAACATGCCTCCAAGAGCGCCTTGAAGGACCAGGCCAAAGGTATGATTTTTAAACCGACCAAGCATGATAAAGAATTAAATTTTAACATTTATACCAATATAGGCAAAATCGAAGGTGATGAGCGGGGCGGTCGTAAAACACCCCACCAACAGCTCAAGACGAAACTCGATCGCCGTAACACCGCTCGCCAAAGGCAGGCATTGAAGCACCAGGAAAGATCCCAAGCTACCAGCATCTTCGCCGGCCAGAATGGTGCTCCCCGTCATGTCGCAATTGTGCCGTTGTCCGCTGATGTTGATGCCGCCGCCGCTATTGCCTCTATCAACGAGAGTGTCGATGTGTTGACTGATGTCTCCCCCGATGGACCTACCCGTGTGCGCATTGAACGATTCCGCCAGAGCGTGCAGTACGTTCCCGCCAAGTATGACTTGATGAGCGCTTTGGATGTGTGCCGTATGGCCGACTTTGTCATCTTGGTCATGTCGTCTGAGGTTGAGGTTGATGAGGAGGGTGAGATGCTGCTGCGCTCGATTCAAGGCCAGGGTATCTCGAATGTCTTGACTGTCGTGCAAGGTCTCGACAAGATTGAGCCCCCTAAGAAGCGCCCCCAGGTGGCTGCTTCGTTGAAGTCTTTCATTAACCACTTCTTCCCCTCTATTGAAAAGGTTATGTCTCTTGACTCGAGACAGGAATCTTCTAACGCTATCCGATCCATCTGCACTGCTACTCCTAAGGGTATCCGCTGGCGTGACGATCGCAGCTGGATGTTTGTCGAGAATGTTCAGTGGCCAGAGTCCAACCTGGAAGTGGTTGACGACGTCGTCATCACCGGAGTTGTTCGTGGAAGGGGCCTAAAGGCAGACCGAATCGTTCATCTCCCCGGATGGGGCGATTTCCAGATTGATTCGATCACAGCTGCGCCGCTAACAACCACAAAGCCCAAACGGGATGATGCAATGGCCGTCGACGCGAATGACACCACGCAAATCTTGGATACTCCTACTGAGGACCAAGATGACATGGCTGCTATTGCTCCCGAAGAAATTGAAATGGTGGATGACGACATGGTTTCCATGGCTGAGACAGAGAAGAAGGGTGTTTTGCTGGATGACTACCATTACTTCTCGGATGACGACTCGCACATTCCCCCGGTACCTAAGAAGTTGCCCAAGGGTACCTCAAATTACCAGTCTGCCTGGTATCTCGAAGACGTATCAGACTCCGGATCTGACATGGAGGATGACGATGAACCCATGGAGATGGATACTGCTGGAGCACCCGAGGATGGCGTGTTCCCAGACCACCAGGATGCCATGACCGAGGGCGGTGGTACTGAATACCCACAATCGGAGATGTTCCTCGATCCCTCCCCAGAGGACGAGGCCCAGGAACTGGCCGACTACCGCGCCAGCCGCAAGACCGAGGCCGAAGAGGACTTGGAATTCCCCGATGAAATTGAATTGCACCCCAACGCGCTTGCCAGAGAACGCCTCGCCCGATTCCGTGGATTGAAGAACCTCAAGCTCAGTCACTGGGAAACTTCCGAGGATCGTCCCTACGAGCCCGAGGATTGGCGCCGACTGCTGCAGTTTGCTGATGTCAAGGGCCTCAAGAACCGCATCATTCGAGAGGCTTTGGCCGGTGGTGTTAACCCTGGTACCCGCGTGGATATCCGCCTTCGCGCAGTTCCTTCCATTCTCCGCAACACCAAGCCCTTTTCGCTCTTCTCTCTGCTCCGCCACGAGCACAAGCAGACTGTGGTCAATGTCAGCATGACCCTGAACTCCAGCGTGGAGAAGCCTCTTAAGGCTAAGGAGCAGCTCATCGTCCAGTGCGGTGCCCGCCGCATGGTCGTCAACCCCATCTTCTCCTCGGCTGATAACACGCCGAACAACGTTCACAAATACGACCGATACTTGCACCCTGGTCGTAGTGCCATCGCGTCCTGGATTGGACCCATGACCTGGGGTTCAGTTCCTATCCTTGTCTTCAAACAGAAGCAAGCTGAGCAGGAGGACGGCGACGACGAGATGGAGACCGCCGATGCCAAGGAGGAGCCCATTGCCCTGGATCAACTGGAACTGATCGGTACCGGTACCGTCGTTGCACCCGATCAGAAGCGTGTGGTTGCCAAGCGTGCCATTCTCACTGGTCACCCCTACAAGATCCACAAGAAGGTCGTTACCATCCGGTACATGTTCTTCAACGCCGAGGATATCCAGTGGTTCAAGGCACTCCAGCTGTGGACCCGCCGTGGTCGCAGTGGATACTTCAAGGAGAGCCTTGGTACACACGGATACTTCAAGGCTACCTTCGATGCCAAGATCAACCCGCAAGACTCCGTGGGTGTCAGTTTGTACAAGCGCGTCTTCCCTCGCAAGGCCAAGGCTTTGGATGCGATTGCTGCGTGAGCTATTGATGTCAATAGCACTGAGGAGGTGGATGATATGATACCATTTGACTGAATTGATTACACTATGAGGGCAGATCTGCTGATTCTGAAGGGAGCATGATACACCCAAAAAGTACATATAGACCTGAGGCATCTTAAAATGATGAATTACGAATCTTCTGCACTTGCATTCCATATTAAACAGTAGAATCTAAATGGCCAGAATCAAAAATTCGGGGAGTTGGTATTCCTAGGCGAAAGGTGCGAATCCCACTAGGAAGATTAGATGAAGTACTAGAACTAACGGATGGTAGTATTGATCTGTTTTCATTTCCAGACCAGAAGAATTTCAAGATAAACAAACGAACAAAGAAGCCAAAAACTCGAGAGTCAATATTCTCTAGACATCACACGCAGGGAATCACTGAAGAAATCAATCGCCATTTACGAGAAGTCCTCCTCAGCTTCCTCAATATTATTCTTGATCCGCAGCAGGAGGGTTGTCTTCCACTTGTCCAACTTGCTGAGCTGGTCAAACTGGAAGAGCTTGTCAGCGAAGCCCTCCTGGTCACCACCCTCAACAGCCTGGGTTAGGTCCACGAGTAGCTGGTGCTCCCTTGTCGAACCAAAGGAAGGATCAAGTTCTCGGTATGATTCCAAAGCACGGTTAGTCTCAACAAGATCCTGGAAAATATGTAATTAATACTCTGTTTCCTATGAGAATAATGTGATGGAAACAACGTACTTTTGTGGCAAGGTGGCAAATGCCTGCCTTCAGGAGATAGTCCTTCACAGACCACTTCATCAGGTGGTTGTTAATAGAGCTCCGGCTGATGCGTTCGTAGTTGGTAATGGCCTTGTAATAGTCACTTTCCAAGGCAGCCAGGTCTGCCACCTTGAGGTAGTGCTTGTTTGCAAGGCTTCATAGGAAGTATAAGTTAGCCAAATTGTTTCTTCGAATTCATGGGTATTAAACAGATCATGGGTTGCATACGCTTCAGCATTATCACCCTCGAACCAATCGGCAGCCTTCTCGTACGCCTCCAGCGCCTTCTTCATATCTCCAAGCTCCACCTCATACAGCTCAGCCAGGTATTGCTGCTGTGTTGCTGCGCGGCGCAGGTTTCCTCGTAGTACGTAGTGTTGGATGGCACTGGAAAGCACGCGAGCAGCATCCTCGGGGTCTGTCTTGCGGTAGACCTTGAACGCTTCCTGAAGGTTATTGGCAGCGTCGTCGGGTTCATTGAGGCTCTGGGTTTGAATTGAGGCAGCTTTCTCGAAAGCCTGACCAGCCTCCTTGTCTATTTGAGAACACATATCAGTCATCGGGCTTAAACACGGCAAGGTAACGGACTGGCTAGGCCGCGGGGTATCTCACTCATTTTCTGTACTCGGAAAGCATTTGCAGCCTGAGTATACAGATCTGCGGCACTCTCATACTTCTCAGCTCTTCCCCCAAACCAACTGAAGCCGCCAGAAGCACCGGACAGCGCTTTGTCGGCCTATTTGATCGCAACAAGCGAGGTCTGGTCAGCTATGCGGATCATCGTCATTGCCTATGCAAATAAGGCGGGGAAGTATGTACCTTTTGGAGCAGGACACGGGGATCTTGAGTCATATTGAGTGTATGTGTCTGGTTTTCCTGCGATAGGCAGTAGTCCACAGATATTCGATGTGGAGTTGGTGTGTTGTGGCCAAACGGGGTGCTATCGATGAGAGCATCGATCGGCGGGCCCGTGGAGGCGGTGTCACCGGGATCCGCCTAAGCTCCCCGTTGACCTGCGACTTTAGTGACTTTGATTATTTTTACACTATACTTTTGAGATTAAACTGCGTTTGTATCTCACTCGACTGCGTTTCCTACGTTTATTTGCCTACAGAAAAGGTTCTCATCCTTGGATACCCTACAATGACCTCTCTTCGCACTGCTACCCGGCTATCCAAGTCGCTGCGCCCATGTTCTTCCCGACTCAACACGACCTTCTCTCGCTTCTACTCTTCCGAAAAACCCGATAGTGCAGACATTGAGTTTATACTTGGCGCGCCGAACTGGTCTGTTCGGTCGCTGCTCCCGAACCCAGCTTCAAAGCCGCCGCCATCAGTCACGCCGAAACAACTCCATCATCTGCTGCGCATCTCAGCTCTTCCCCAGCCTGCCAATCAAGAAGAAGAGCAGTCCATGCTTGATACCCTCGAGTCTCAAATTCATTTTGTGAAGGAGATTCAACTTGTTGATACTACCGGCGTCGCGCCGCTGGCTAGAATTCGCGACGAAAGTCCTGCTGCTATAGAAGAGGAAACAATTGGAATCGAAAGGCTCAGGGAGGCTCTGGCTAATGAAAAGGTGTCTGGACGACGGGGCAAAATCCAGCGTGTCCCAGGTGAAAAGAACGATCGTCCGGATGGAACGGCTTGGGATGGGAATGCGCTCGGGTCTGCGACAAAGACAAAGGGGAAATATTTTGTTGTTGAAATCGGCAATTGAGTTATTCTCTCAACTTTCTACAATATTGGAGTACGCAGGAGACATAAATATTGCGCATGAAGCAAAGCAGAGTGATATCAATATGCTCAGGTGTTTCTGCCTCAGGCTATTGATGGAGTAAGCGGCCCCGATACCCGTGACTACCGGGGGCCATGACAGCATTGCCCCCCTCCAACAACATCGACTTCTGCCTTTTTTTTTCTTCAAAAGTGATCAAGTCTTTCTTCGCCTTTATTCAGCGCCAATGTTCAAAAATTTCAAAGAAAAACATGGAGGATTCTTTGAATCCAAGCAACCCAATGCTTCGGAAAGCGATCGCGGTCAAGATCTATCATCGATCTTGGACCGGTCGCAGCGCGCTGACTTAACTGTTCTTGTCTCCGAGGTAGCTGAGTCAATGCGGGTTCAGATCTTGGAGCTTTATGAGCATACGAATCCAAAGGATGATTCTCCCAATCGCTCCAGTCCGCGTCCATCTCCAGAGGTGGACCATGATGAAGACAGGCCACCCTTGCCCCAAAGACCACAAGGCAAGGAGACCTCAAGAAACAACGGAAGTCCGCAGCAGAGCTCTAATGTCAAGCCGTTGAGCCCTCAAGCAAAACTCACTGCCCTCTCTGCTTTCGAGGATTGGAGGGATTCTGTCCTTTTGCGTGTTGGTGCGGTCGTCAATAAAGATGATGACAATCAGGCGAAAAAGGAAGGTCAAGGAGAGCTGCAGGACGCTGCCAAGTCTGATGATCTTCCACTGGGGGAGGATAAAGATAGATTGGCCAAATTACAAGAAATATACCACCGCGTGGAAACACCCTTGGTTGAACTTCCTAAAGCAACAAGACTGCTTATTCTTCACTCGCTCCTCCTTCTAATGCTCAGCCTAGAGCACTACAGTGCCTACTCAAGAGTCTTGATGTTGAATGTCACGTCCAGTCTGAACATAGATATCAACGTGCTTAATCAGGACGAAGTCAGTGTGGCCCGCGGATTGCTGCAGACAGCTTTAGCACTCTCCGCAGACCAGGATACTAAAGAGCAACCAAAGAAAAAGGACGACATGAGGAAATGGAAAGTTGGCATTGCATCTGTCGCTGGAGCCGCTTTGATTGGCCTCACTGGCGGACTCGCAGCTCCATTAGTAGCGGCGGGCCTGGGAACTGTCATGGGCGGATTGGGCCTTGGGGCAACCGCTGCTGCTGGGCTTCTGGGTACTTTGGCTGGAAGTAGCGTTGTTGTTGGCGGTCTGTTTGGCGCTTATGGCGGGCGTATGACTGGTCGCATGATGGAGAAGTACGCACGGGAAGTGGACGACTTTGCATTCATCCCTATCCGAGGCGAACGCCGCCGGAACGGGAAAGATAAGGAGTCTGCAAATGACGAGTCTGCAGATAAGAAGTCTGCTGAGCAAGATCATCGTTTACGAGTTACCATTGGTGTCACCGGCTGGGTCATGGAAGAGTCGAACTTCGTGATCCCATGGCGGGTGATTGGTGCCGACTCTGAAGTGTTCGGTCTTCGATGGGAGATGGAGCCTTTGATGAACTTGGGCAATGCGATCTCAGCTCTTGTGACTAGCGCAGCATGGTCGGTTGCCGGACGTGAAGTCTTGGCTCGTACTATCTTCCACACGATCATGAGCGCAGTGATGCTCCCCCTAGGTCTCTTGAAAGTTGCTGGCATCGTCGACAACCCGTTCAGCGTGGCCAAAGCTCGCGCCGACAAGGCGGGTGAGGTTCTCGCGGATGCGCTTATCAACAAAGCCCAGGGAGAACGACCCGTGACTTTGATGGGGTATTCTCTGGGATCTCGGCTGATTTTCTCTTGCCTCCAAAGTCTGGAAAGGAGAAACGCTTACGGGTTGGTCGAGTCGGTCATTATGATGGGGTCACCCACCCCTTCAGACACGGAGGACTGGCGAAGGATTCGCAGTGTCGTAAGCGGACGTGTGGTGAACGTGTTCTCTGAGAACGACTCCGTACTCGCTTTCCTCTACCGAACAAGCAGTCTTCAACTTGGTGTCGCCGGATTGCAGCCAGTTGAAGGTGTTCCAGGCGTTGAGAACCTCAACGTTAGTGAAATGATCAGCGGTCACCTGCGGTACCAGTTTCTGCTTGGCAGAATCCTTACCCTTGTTGGGCTTCAGGACCTTGATCCCAGTGAGATTGAACGCGAAGAAGCTGCCCTTGCCGATGAGGACAAGCGACAGGAGAAGGAGCGGTTGGAGAATGAGCGTGAGGCTGGTGTTAAAGACCGGGAATCATCTGCTGCCCGTGATACCTTGAACAGCCAGGAGGGCTTTGGGGAAGATGCACGGTTGCAGAAGAAGGTCGAGGCGCAGACTCAGGAGAACATGGCGACTCATCGGATTGAAATGATTGATATGGATGACAATGATTACTCGGCGCCTTTGAAGGAAGATCCCTCGAAGCATTCTACTCCCTAAATGAGGATTTTGGGTTTATCATACGTGCGTTCGGGCGCATCCCTCAACTATACCTCATCTAATACAATGCACAATCACTTATCACTTGGCAATTATTGCAGTAAGAATAGGTTGAGCCTTTGATTTTCTGTCATTTTCTGTCTCAACTATAGGCATAAATAATTCATAGTGAAAACATGGTGTCTTAGTATCCTTCGCTAGTTTCCTTCAGAAAGTAGACAACCCATATTCCGATATTCCGATATTCCAACCAACCCCGTCGGACTAGTCAATATGATATTGCCCTGGTGCACAATGACTGACCGATCTGAACTGAACCGAAAGATCACAAGCATACTATTACCTTCCATCTTCACCAATAACTTGAACCCTGAAAGCCTTCAATGGCCCCACAAAGTCAAACGGTGTATAAGTGAACATTTGCATTCCTCAAGTCCAATTTCCTCCGCCCTTTGTTGACCTAACCAATCCACATAGACATGAAATTTTCGAAACTGGTACTTTTCAGACCAGAACCTTGCAAGCCAGGTCTGAATATCGCTGAGCTGTGGGATCCCTTGTGGAAATAACTCCAACCACAGTTCCGAGTTCCAGCGCATATATATGATTGACTCGTCATGGATTCCAAGTCCATCGTACAAATTTGATTTCAGCGCATACATGGCATGGTGTAGTAGAATGAGAACGATGTATCTTTGATTCGATCGATAGAGCCAGGGATCCGAGTTGATGATAACCCAGGGATAGGTACTTAATTGGTCTCGGAGTTGCGTCTCATATAGCGATTTCCAGCTTTTGCCATCCTCGAACCAGTCTTTGAATCGCTCACGACGAAGGAAACTGGCTGTTGCGCCTGGCAGCTCGTCCAGGCTAGTTTCCAAGAACAGGTTGGTATCGACGATTGCGGTTTCAATCTGGGAGACGGCAGTATCTTGGGTAATGGAAAGAAGCTTCCCCAATCTGATTTCGATGCCGGCTTGATCGAATAAAGACACCATGCGCCGGTATAGGACGTCAAACTCCTTATCTGACATCGCGGGAATAGTTGTTGCGGGATCTTTGATCCATAGTTCCAGACGAATGAAGGGTAACATGGCAATGTCGTAGTCAGGTCGGTATTTGCTGGACTCGATTGACTCCCGTAGACCACCCATCTCGTAAAATCGCTTTACGTTGCGCCAGTGGGTTGGCGGATGTTGTGACCGCCATGGACCATTTGTGGTCAGATCTATGATGGGCTGAGACAGAGGAATCAGAAGATCGACTAGAACGTTGGATTTCTGCCAAAGCCACACTACTTGGCCCGGGTCTGTCGGATTTGGAGAATTAATGTGTACTTTTATCGTCGTTTTTGAATGAGGGAAGTTGTGGAAATGTCTTTCGACTGCCGCTTTGTTCCTGAGTGTCCACACGATATCCAAGGTTCTGAACCTCAGTTGGATGACCATCCACTCCTCCTCCTTATATTCAGGGTCTAGTAAGATGTGCTGGACGGAGTTGTCGAATAGATGAGAGGATATCTCATTATATAGGTATCGGTTGGTGCAGAGAATGGATAGGGGGTTGTCTTTGCGAAGGCTGTCCTTGAGTGGTTGTATGCGGAGGGATGAGAAGAGGTGCCCCCATATCATCAGGCGGATTTCTGTGGGAAGCATAGAAAATGTACCCAGAAATGGGAATGATGGAAATTGCATATTGAACAATGTGAAGTTGTTGGAATTGTTGATGATTGTATAGTGTTAGCGATGAACAAGAGGGAAAAGGGAACAGACCATTTCATTTCACTCGCATAGTCAGATACATCGTCAGGTTTACGTCGAAGCTTGCTACTATGCCTTTCTCAGATGTGATGATTTCCCGATTAGGTACGGAGAGGTTGTATCGTCAAACCCTAAACAGACGATTTCAACTGACAAAAAATATTTTAACGTTGTACATCTTTGATCTCAACTCATGGCTTAGCCACATGCACAACAATCTTTCCTCTAGCACGGACAGAGCGGAGCTTCTCAAATGCCTTCACAGCATCCTCAAACTCGTAGGCAGTATCCAGCTGAATCTTGACAGCCCCCTTCTGCACCCACTCTCCGACCTTCACAAGATCCTCACGAGTATTCTTGAAGAAGAAGACGACATACTTCCTCTGTCCACCACCCAAGAAACTCGGCCAAATCAACCTATCAACAAAAGTCCCGACACCCGACGCACCAACCTGCACAAACGTCTTCCCAGCCGCCAAGAAGTGATGCGACTCGCGATACATCGGCGCAGGGTATCCAATATGATCAACAATATGATCAAAAACAACACCCCGACTACGCAGCGTAGCAACCAAATCCTCCTCAACCGAGTAATCAATAACCTCATCAGCGCCCAGCCCACGAACAAACTCGACATTCTTCGTCGAACAAGTAGTCGTAACATGACACCCCATCTCCTTAGCAATTTGAATCGCGAAGATTCCACATCCCCCAGAACCACCGTTAATAAACACCTTATCGCCAGCACTGACATATCCAGCCAACGACTGGTACGCCGTCTGTCCGGCAATACCGATGCACGCCGCATGGTCAACCTCCACGCCCTCCGGCACGGGCGCAAGCAGACTCGCAGACGTCACGAGGTACTCGCCCAAAGAGCCGAATTGGCCGGGCTTGCTGAGACAGCCGTACACGAGCTGGCCGGGTAGAAACTCGGTCGCGTCGTCGCCGGCGACGACCACGCGTCCGCAGAAGTCCATTCCCGGTGAGGCGGGCATGCCGATCACGAGTTTGCGGGCTACTAGGCCCATTTCAGGGACTTTGTAGTCGGCGGGATTCAGTGAGGCTGAGAGGACTTGGACTAGGACATTCTCGCCATGGACGGTTGGTGGCGCGCGTGCCGACGCGTCGAAATTGAGGTTCTTTTCCAGGCCGTTGGTTGTGCTGGAGTAGAGCCAGGCTTTCATTTCTGTGGGTTGGGCAGAGGCCATTTTGGATTAGATATGGTGGTTTTGATGTGCTGTTGAGAGAAGTGGTGGTTTTGCCACTTTTTTATGAAGGGTGGTGGATGACCTCACCCTTTCCCTTCGCACTTCGCCGTGTCTCACTTTACATATGAGCTAGCTTCAGGGGGTGGAATTATGTCTTAAAATACTCGGATGAATTTATGCATAATAATAATGTTTATATGTACGGAGTACTCCGTACTGCGTACTCATTTTTTCTTCAAAAAAGTCAAAGCGCCAAGTGCCATAGCATCAACACCCGTACGCAATGTCGGCTGGATAACCGGCGCATAGAACGGCGAGTGGTTACTGGGCAGTTCATCAACAGTCCCCTTAGCAACAGCATCATCCCAAGTCTTAGGATCAGTTCCACCAAACATCCACATAACATAAGGCGCGCCCACAGCAGTCGCCAGTAAAGAAAAGTCCTCACTAGCAGTCGGGGGCTCCATCTCAACTAACTGATCACCAAAGTACGGCTGGAAAGTCTCACGAAGAGCATCAATAGTCTTCCCATCATTAATCGTCGACGGCGTTGAATAAGTAAGCTTAATCTCGGGCTTCTGCTCAACGCCCGCAGCCAGACATTCACCCTCAATGATGCGATGAATAGAAGCACATACACGCTTCCGCACTTCCGCATCATAAGTCCGCACATTCAACTGCAGATCCAGATACGCCGGGATGATATTCGGCGATTGTCCAGCATGAATGCTCCCACAGGTGACAACAGCCAACTTTCCCGGCGTGACCTCGCGCGAAACGATAGTCTGCAATCGCATAACGATCGCCGCACCAACGACAATCGGATCAATAGTCGTATGCGGTGCAGAGCCATGACCTCCACGACCAAAGACGCGCACATTGAAGGCATCGGCGGCAGTCAACAGCGGGCCAGCGCGGAGATTCACCGTCCCCGCCCGTGCCCGCATTACATGCTGCGCAAGCACAAGCTCCGGCTTCGGGATCTTGTCATATAACCCATCGTCCAGCATTGCCTGTGCGCCATCGAGGTTTTCCTCGGCGGGCTGGAAGATACAGATCAAGGTCCCGGACCAGTGGTCGCGTGCGCATTGCAGGAGCGTCGCGGCGGCCATTAGCGTTGCGACGTGGGAGTCGTGTCCGCATGCGTGCATTACGGGCTTATCGGCTCCTGTTTCATCTTTGACGTGTCTGGTGCTTGCGTAGGGTAGGCCGGTTTGTTCTTCTACGGGTAATGCGTCCATGTCCGCCCGTAGGAGGATTGTTGGGCCCGTTCCGTTTCGGAGGACTCCTGCCACGCCATGGCCACCGATTTTGGTGTGGACTTCGAAGCCAATGGTTTGGAGGTGGTCAGATGCTATTTTGGCTGTTTGTTCTTCTTGGCCTGATAATTCGGGGTTGGTGTGTAGGTGGCGATAGACATCTTCAAATGGCTTTAGATCTGGCCGGTAGTTATTGATGACGTCGGCCAGTTCATTGCTCTTGTCCTCTGTATAAGTAAGTAGGCGTACTTTGCAATTGATCTAGTTTAGGTAGCAGTACCTTTTACTTGCATATCGGAAGTGGTTTGATTATCAATGTACTTTCAAAAATGTAAATGTGAAGAAGACATCCTTGCATTCACCCGGAGTTTATATATCCGAGCAAATCGGACAATTTACCCCATTTTTATCATTAATGTCATGAATAGGCGACCAACCCACTTCGTCGGCAAACCCCTCGAATCGGTTCCCCGCAATTGGATCTCTGCATGTCTCTGCTCGCCAATTGCCGATCATTCCGGTTCCTATCTTTGGTACGAAGTACGGAGTAGTAATGGTCTTTATGTATCAACTATGGAGTATTTACGCCCTGCCAGATAAGATAGTCGGCTTAACCTTGAGGCAGATAAACCCCCTAAAATATTTCCCAGTTTTCTGTATCTAATAAATATGAGGTAGAAAAACATATTGACAAAAGGTGTCTTGAATGGTTATATCTTAGGCGACCATCACCATGAATGGTATGATTCCCCATAAATAGCCACTTTTCCTCTTCGTCTTCAACAGCCCAGCCGGGCTAGCTCAATCGGTAGAGCGTAAGACTCTTAATCTTAAGGCTGCGGGTTCGACCCCCGCGTTCGGCTATTCCTAAAAACCAAACCTGAGATTTCTTTTTTGCTCTTCTGTTTTTGTTCTATTTTGCTCAGAATGAGTTTTTAAGTGACGTGTTTTATTCGGAATGAGTGCTGGTATTACAATGCGCGCGGGAGATAATCCCGGCGTGATCTATATAACAATTGGACCTTATCTCGTATTTTCTCTGGAACAAGGATCAATCAATTCATTCCTCTAAACTAGAACAAAGAACAAAGAACTAACTGGCCATGATCAACCTCATTCAAAAAGCCGAGTGTGAGATATCTGAGACCCTCGTAATGAGGACTCGTCAACTTCTCCCATACACAACTCGAATACACTCATACACCCCTTATAGTACATGACGCCTTCTGTGTCATCTCCTGTCCTCACCAATCAATACATCCATCTAATATCCATAGTACGGATTGAGAATAGAGTCTGTGGTCGCTTCGGTGCAACACTGACCGTTGATGTTCGTGCCAGTTGAATCATACAGGCAGTTGTTTGCTCCGAAGTAGACATCACCGTAGGAGCGGGGCCAGGTTGCTTGCAGCTTGCAGCCAGGAGTAACTTTGTAGTCGGTCTTGTCTTCTCCATTGAACTGTGCGTAGATGGTCGCCGTAATGTCGCCAGTACTTTGGTCTGCAATGTCTATTGTCTTGTGAGATACCGATCCGAAGAAGGTATTGAGAATCATGAAAACATACTGGTGTACTTAGTCTGAGACTTGCAAAGGCTCTCCCCATCCACATTAATGCATCCGTTGTTGACGTGCTTCATGAATTCATGTTAACCAAAAGAATCCTCACATGATGCTCTGATGTTGTTACGTACCACATTAGTTCCAGCAGCATTGTATCCTGCTGGTGCATCACAGGGCCAGTATTTCCCCTTTGCGCCACCCGCACTAACAGTGTCGGCTGCTGTAGGGATATCATCGCAGATTGGCAGGGTGAAGAATCCCGGGGTGCGGATTCCATTCTCGAAAACCACATCACCCTCTGTACCGGATCCATCAATAATCTTCGACAGAGCTGGCATTTCGTAGCCATTTGCGTTGCCATTCAGCTGGTATGCCTGGTACGAACTCTGGACTATATCTTCCAGAATGACACCGCCCCAGTTATCGCCATTGAGGGTTTGATGATTTCCTCCAGGGAGGGCTTCGAAAGGTTGCATGCCAGGAGAGGTATTGATGCTCACGACATAGAAAGCATCGTTATTGTAGCAGACATATCCGCCGACTAGAGTGCTCTCAGACATGTACAGGGAAACATCTGCGTCAATCGACGTTGAACAAGCTCCGGCCTTCCGCCTGCCAAGAAAAGGTAACTGGTTAGTAATTTCCCTTTGCTATTTGTAAAATGATATAAGAGTGTTCTTCTTACAGGATCCGGGGGTAGGTGGTTTCAGGGGAGATTGCCCAAGCCGCTGGAATCAACTGTCCGTAAAGGATCTTTTCCGCCTGAGCAGTCAGTCCACTCAAGTTCACTTTGGAAGAAAGGAGAAGCATTGAGCCGTTGGAAGCCAGAGTCTTCAGAGCATCGATTGAAGTATTGTCACTCGCTCCACCAAAGAGAGAAGTCATATATCCGCTCTCCAAACCAGTCCAGGCCGAGAAGTAGACACCGAGAGCAGCGGAAACGCTATTCTGGGTGCTCAATGCATCTTTAGCGCTGTTTATAGGTTATACGTTAGTTCGAGGGAAAAACCGAGAAGAAAGATACAACTGACGATTTCATGGAGTCTTTACCGATCGCGCTGGCAAAGGAAATAAGGGCTGCGTTGGTGACGTCCTTGCCCATAGAGAAATACTTCGATGCGGCCATAGCAAGGCCCTTGAACGCTACAATGATACGCCATTAGCACAAGATAACAGGTTGTGGCTAGAGAATATACGTACCAATGTTCCATGCAAAGGAGCTCCCAATGGTAGCCACCAAAATTACTGCATCGATAATGTACTTGACTATTTCAGAGTCGTCTTTGGCCTGAGGGGCAAAAATGCTCGCAAAGCTACCAATGTCATTCTGCATTGTGTTAAGGGCATCTCCGAGAGCATCATAGGTTTGTTGATGAAGCTGGTAGAAGGTATTCTTAGTTAGTCGACTGCCCGTGAAATTCAGGAAAAAGATAATATACCTGGTGGATCGAGGAGAAAGAATTCATAATTAGGTATCTACATGCCCATGTTAGCCTTCACTTCTGTGTATCGTGTATTCGAAAAGCCAGTGGTCTACTCACCCGGCAGGATAGTCGGCCTGGTTACAGGTCATAACCGTGGAGCAAGGAGTGTTGCCGATATCTCCACAGTTCCAGTTGTCAGGACCAGTGAAGTAGTTGCTAATGAACTCAGGGAATCCCAAGCCACTGGCAGCACCGGAAGTAGACCAGGCACTCAATGCATCGTTCAGGGCATCGTCGGCATTGGCTGCATCCCAACGAGCAGTGGGATCCAGAGTCGCGTCGGTGATGTTAGTAGTGCACTGGGCATCCTTCCAAGGCGATGAGGTCGTGTCTACCGTTACGCCCAGGTTCTTTATAGTAAAGGCAGGAGTGGCAGATGGTTGCGCAGAGGAAGTCTTGACACGGCTAGAGTGAGGAACAGCAGCCACGCTGACCGCGTAAAGGAGCGAGATAGACGTTCCGAGGATGATAGAACGCATTTTGAATTCAACTGTAGGTTGTCAAAAAGAATGATACAATAGAATAATTTGAACGCATTTCATCTTCCTTTTATACAACAGATACCCCTATAGTCATCTCCTTTTTCGACAAAAAATGACCAAACGCCTGTTCTGGTTGATGAGCGATTTCTAACAGCTAGAGGACACTTGCCGCTTTGAAAGGACATCTCATGGAGATCATTGTTACCATCCCCAGGGCCGTGCTCCCTTATTTCTCCAAAGGGAAGTTGGTGAATATATTCACGTTCAATATCATGCTATAGTACAAGCGTGGGGGCTTAATGCTCGCCCAATCAGTTCTTCCCGATTTTCCACGTGGCGTGGACCTTATTCAAGTATTGCATATATTTTTCTTGATCATTGATGTTTCTTGGGCTCTGGTTTTTCTGCTCTAATTTGTGACTTACGTCCCGAGTGACTATTATTGTTGATTTAAAAGGCCATCTGATATCAGTTGTAAGGCTAGGGACCTGGTTTACGGTCCCCACAAAATTCTCCAGCAGAAAGTGAGAATGAAAACGTGCCCCACAATCATCAAATTACGATATTCCTATAGCGATGCCAATTAGGTATCAGAGGTTGCCCGGTGCAGGACTAGTATGTTTCATCTCTGTGGAAATTAGGGACTAACTGCATAGTCGAAGCTTAGTTATGTAAAAAGTACGGAACATCATGTTTCATACGATGTATACTATGTTCCATATACCTATTTTGGCAATGGGCATACATATAGTCTCCAACTGATTGGTGTCGCAGAGGCGGATGGGCCTTGCAAATCACGAGGTACTCGACCTAAAAAAGAAAATTTATCAATTTGCTAATTTTCGAGTGTTCCGCTACAGTTGTGAGATTCAGTCATTCAATCTCACTTTCTCTCCTTGCTTTGTTTGGCATAGGTTTGTTCGAAGAATATATGGCCCGGGTACAACAGCCCGAGCGTCAGGCCACCAGCAACCTATTTCGCTGCTGCGACAAAGATCCCCGTTGCTGCATTGTAGAGCGCAGAGGCAAATGCCAGCAATGTTGCATTGGATGCAACTCAACCTATCAATGGCAATAGCGGAGTCCTCAAAGTGCCTATCTACAGTGGCTAGTTGAAATACAACTAGATAGAGAAAGCATTCCTATGCAAAAAAGCTCAATCGGGTGTATGGAGGCAATCTGTTTCTTTTTTCATGGCATGTATCTCTGCCCAGTCAAACGCCCCTCTGAATCTGGGGGTCGTAGGCGAGGTAAAAAATCATGCACTGCTTGTGAGGCCATATATCTCACACGGGGTGAGCTCCGATGATAAACGGGAGTATTAGACACCTAGTCATGCCCACTGATTCGCGTCTGTGGGTAGCATTGCTTGCTCGTGATATCATCATAGTAGAGGCGTGCTTCCTAGAGTATGGATTTGGTCAACAACACAAGAAATAAGAGTTCTTGCAAGCCTCACTTATGAAACATGGGACGAACAGTTATCTCCTTTTGGACTAATGTGTCACATATCAATCCTTATTAAGTAGACCATATGGTCCGTAGTACTATAGTTCCTATATCCTCATGTTTCATCCACATGAGATCCTCAAAACGGCCCTCAATTCTAATCTATACATTTGCCCCACACAACCACATTTCCACTATGGGACCCGATAGTTGACCTGCTCCCTAGGATACTAATCAACCTTTCCAAGACCGCCAGAGTTATTCCCCCTTGAATATCTCCTAGGAACGAAGCAGTGGAGTTTAATTGCACTAGGATATATAATATCCTCGGTGCCCACAGCGTAGCTAATCAGCTAGTGACTTAACACACGATTTAAGAAAATTATGCCTATGTATTAACTCTCAAATTGGGGGGAAGAATACGGGCCAGATATTCTGGCCAGTCATACATCGGTCTCAGATGCCGAAGCGCCAGACAATATTCCCAGTATGCCGGATACCAGCCAGCATATTCCCAATCAATAATAGCTGTGACTCGGTCGCTTTCAACAAGAATATTGCGCGGTGCGAAATCAGAATGCGTGAAGACAATCTCATGGTTATCCATAAGCGCGAATTTGGCATAATGTTTTAGCATATCTGGTGCTATCTCGACTATATCTCCAAGGATGAATTCGTTGAATTGCTGCTCGGTATCAAACGGTCCTCCTTCGATTGACGAAATGTTTCTCACGATAGCTTTGCCGCGACCCACGGCGCCAATATAGTTGACTTTCAGCTAGCGAAGTTGGTTTATGTAGGAGTGTAGCTGATCAGCAATCGAAAGCTTCTGGCTGGAGTCTAAAGAATCCCATGCTTTATCGAGACGCTTTCCAGGCATGTAGTCCCTCACGAGAGCGACAACTTTGCCGTCTTCCAGCCGAATATCATGGGCCTTAGGCACGGGGATCGTTGTGTTGGCTGCAATAAAAGGAAGTGTTTCTCATTCGTTAGGGCGGAGATGACCCGACTTCACAACAAGGTTGTCGCCGAGTCGGACAACGGTGCGACCAGATAGCGAATGAAGTACCGTCCCTTCTGGTTCTCCGTTACTTCTTGGTCTTTCGTTCCTTCTTTGTCCTTCGTAGCTTCTTGGTCGCTCGTAGTGTTCATATTGAAGCGCAGATCGTTATGTCTTCGGTTTCGTGCTAGCAATATTGCATTGGGAGAGTTAAAAGGTCATAGCTAGGGAAAATAACACCAAGTACTGAGCTATGTTTCATGTTGTAGGAGGGGAAATTGGGCACGAGTCTGAATAGACCCTCGCAAGCCAATTCCAAACGTATGTCCCTGCTTATACATAGAAAGGTCCTTTGTGCAATTCATGCTTTTCAAGCGTTTGTATCCATCTAAAGGTACATCCAAGAAGAACATCTAAAATCACGTTGGCATTTTCTTACATACAAGATACTTGATCATCGGAGCCGTTACCAGAATCGTTACCGCTAGCACTGGCACTCTTACGTGTTGCACCCTTTCCCTGTTGGTAGACTGGACAGACCCGGTAAGAGCTGACTCTTATTCTATCACTGCGAGTGTGGTCAACATGACAGCATCGACGCGAGATCGTATCGTGGCAGGGTTATATTCAGAGGTGAGCCGCTTGTTGCAAAGTTGTAGTCTGATAGAAGGGTTGCTGTTTGAGTTAGCATAAAAAGGCACGAAACAGTATGGATAAATTGACTATACCAAGATGAGTAGGTACTGGAAATATTTCCTCCTCTATTGAGTAAAATTCCTGGGTAGTAGGCTCGTCTTCTGTGAGAAGAAAGAAAGAGCCGCAGTATTTCTGACGGCTCCAGATAAGTGGGTGCCTTTGTGGCAGCTTTGCCAGGTCTATTGTTGCTCTTGTATCATCCACAATTTCCCTGTTCTAGCTAGGGTGGGCTATTTTCGTGTTGATGGAGTGAACCCTTTTTTCTAGGTATTCTCGGAACCCTGCCATGGTTGTAGAGTGCGTAGAATATTGCAAGAGGCAACCAGGGAGGGAAGAATGATGTTTCGAGCCTCGTAACGTCACGGCAAATCGATATGAGACTGTGGGATGTTAGATAAGGAAAAAAGAAAGTGTGTGTAGCTCATTGTATACCCACGAAGATAACGATGTGGAGTGGAAGATGGAGGATGGAAGACAAAGACAAAGACAAAGAAGACAAAGAAGAAAGTGTAGGTCAATTTGTGTTGGAAGGCTAGTAGATTATTAGGTCAGATGGTTAGGTGGGATTGCTCCTGAGGTCACCAGTAACAAGCATCAAGGTAGTTTGTACTTTCCTTTTTTAGTCTATCTTCTACTTACATCTGACTTTCGATAATTTCTTCTTCTATTATCCTATATGATTCTATCTAAAGTCTGAAAGCGTCACATGTGCGGTTTACTTTCCTTTACAGGCGTGGGTGTTGTTCGACGACTATACCATCCAGAAGTTCATATAATACAACTGCACCAAGAACTAGCCTAAAGAAATATCTCAACCTGTTGGAGAGAATGACCTATCTGTCCACTGGGATCTACAATTAGATAATCTGGGAGCAAATAGGTACCTAGGTAGGTAGGGGCCACATGACCTCTTGATACGCCTACCCCCCTTCAAATCAGCTAAGAGTTTATGTATCCTTGAATTTTCTCACCGGTAGTAGGATGATCACTGATCAGCCCCGATGATCAGCCTCGGCAGCCTTTAGTGACATGGCCAAGGGAAGCAGATATGATCTACGTTGTACTCATTGCACATTGACATCCATATTGACGTTCATCGTAGATCATACTCCCTTTCCTAGAAGGGATATGATTGGCAGTAAGCCAACTAATTTCTTTTAATCAAGGCTACCGCAGTAAATGAAATAGGGGGAGTGAATAGAAAGAAAGCCTTGGAAGATCTAACATGCCAATCGCTTCGAATATTGGTTACCACAACGGGGTACAAAGTGATTCTCAAGGCAGACGACCTGATTGAGGGGTAACCAATATCGAAACATGATATCACACTGGTTCGATCAGCCTAGGTGGCAAATATCGTCGGAATGTTTCACTCTCAACCTAGAATTTCAGTCCGTTGTAGGCTGCCATGCTGGATGGGATACTTGGAGTAGGTCTGTGTTCCCCCAATTTCCCGAAATTGAGTAGACAGTGGACATATTCCGTCTAGTTGAAATAGAATGAGGAATTATATGCAAGTATGTTCAGGATCACGATATAAAACCGGTCCGATAGTGCAGCCACTATGTGTAACATTCAGCTGAGCAATATATATTACTCACCTTGAAAGAGCATTTTTCTTGCATGATCTCAACAAAAAGCCTGAGACGACGAATGATACAAAATATGGCATGTTGGTTCACTGAAAAGGTTAATCCTATGTCTACATAGAACATAGAATACGGATTATAGTCTCCAATAATCCATGTCCAGCTGAAGGACAAACCTTGTCACGCCCTTATCTGCAACAAGGCGCTCTCTGCCTTGCGCTCGGGCCTAGTCAAGCCACAAACGGCCAGAATCTTACCCTGCTAGTCATACTTTGAAGAAATTTCATGTTGTATGAATGATTGTAATTTACGAAGCACAATTTGTTTGTTCATGTGTAGGATATTTATCATGCAAAACATAATCTTCCGCTGATTTTCCTGTCGGGCAGTGTTCAAGCATCGGCCCGACCCACTAGTGGATCCCCAATCCATACCAGCCACTCAACTTCAAGTATGAGCCGAGGAGGCTCAAGCAGAATTTTCCGCAGCGAAAAAAAAAGAAATCTCAGGTTTGGTTTGTAGGAATAGCCGAACGCGGGGGTCGAACCCGCAGCCTTAAGATTAAGAGTCTTACGCTCTACCGATTGAGCTAGCCCGGCTGGGCTGTTGAAGGAGGTTGCAAGAATACGACTGATATTGGCAATGGGGTAGGGTTAGCTCAGGCCATGATTTTGTGGGCGGTTAGTATGGGATCAATGAATGAAAGGCTCGAGGGGTATATGTTGATACGAGACATATCATGATTATCCATGGATAAACAGTCGGCGTTTGATAAAACAGAGTGCGATAAAAAAAGAACAATCTGTCTTTAGGAGGTCGTCGCGCGCAATCGGAGGCTCGGACCCCTTGGTATAAACGATGTGGCTTCTTGGTGCCTAGGGAGACAGGAAGAGAATGTATTGAGGAAATGGAAGCCTGGGGTGCACACCAAGCGACGTTAATTGAAGAAGATAGAAAAAGATTGAAAACAAGGTCATGATCGAATAGAGACTCTTGGTTGAGCGTTGGCGGCGCAGCGACAAAGGAGAGATTGCGAGTAAGCAGTTTCCGAGAAAGATGACATTAGTGGCTAGTGTATCGAATCATGGACCAGAGATAATGACATTGGTGGCTGAGGCTGAGCATGTCATCCTACATTGGGAATAGAGTGAAAAAAGCATTGGATGAGAGCTCTTGTATAGCTTGTGGCTTGCGGCTGGGAGGGGTAGTTGAGGCTGGTGAGAATCCCCAAATGTTGGGGTCCAAAAAACCAAAAAAACCAAAAAAAAAACAATCCGAGTTAGCGCACTATTCTTAGATGGTTTGAAACGTTCGAGTATCTCCAAATAAGGAATAAGAGAACAGTGCTCGAAGTCCCAGCGAGGTGGTTTGGGGAGTTCCAGAGTTGTCTCGGTAGACGCTCATCACAATGCGGCGGTTGTGGGAGCCTATGAGCGTGGGGAATGGGTTGGCGGGAACCCTACGATCAAACACCTCCTTCTAAATGTACTGGTTCTGGTTGAATCTTGAGGTTCTATTTCCGAATGTCAAGTCAAAAGGGTTGCAAATGACGCGAACCTGAGGCCTGTTCTCCAGGGGGGGAGGGGACAGGGGCACGAGGCCCTTGTCATGGCGCAGGAACACGAGAAGCATAAGCCACACGACATTGGAAAAGTGAATGACATGCGTGATGAAATTACCGAGTAGAACGGTTGATGTCATGAGGATAATGCTAGAAAATATTAATGCCTTGTAAATGGGGGTCGGGGACCAAAAGGGACGTAGTGGGAATAGGTTGAAGAAGTCATGCATGGTGAAGTTGACCGTGAATTAGGCGGCATGGACCAATGAGAGGAACGATAAGAGTGAATACGGCGGTGTTTGAAGCCAAAACACAGCCTCACTAGCCACAGACTATACTAATTAGAATACAGGAATAGTACACTCCATTTCTCGTATGTTTAGTGTCAGACGCTAAGTACAGGGAAAGTATTGCAGATCCCGGCCCCACTAGACAGACCCTCCAGGCTCCAGGGCACCATCTATAGAGCCCGCATAATACTTGCAGGTATATATAACCTTGGACACCCCCCCGTTTCCAGTAGAATATCTTCCTCAATTTACACACATTTGGCATTCGACATACATTGGACAATTCACATTCCATATCCATCGTCACACTTGGGTTTCACATCCGATCATCTACATACGGTGATCATCTACTATCTTCCCGTGACCCCCCCAGAAATCAGTCACAGTGTCGTCCTACCGCTCGACCTCGTACACTGTTGATCGCTCGACTCTCTCAACGTCAGAGAGATCTCCTCCTCGTCCTAGTCTGACACGACGCATATTTGGACTACGCCGTACCAACACAATGCCCGCCCCCATTGAGATAACAGACCCTCTCGCCGTCGTGCGTGACCTCTACGACGACGAGAAGCTGGTGGTCGAGGACTTTGAGCGTCATGCCAGCCACTGCCGCCACTGCTCCCACGCTGTCCAGACATACAAGGATGGTCTTCCACTCTGCGAGTTGGGCAACACCCGCGCCCGCACTCTGCGCAACTACCTCTACAGCCAAACCGGCAAGCACTTCTCCACTGTGGACTTCGAGAGCGGCAAGTCTACACGAGTGAAGGTGCCCCGGGATGCCTTCGCTACCCGCGAGCTTCTTGCAGCCATCGAGCAGGGCATGCGCATCCGCGAGAAGGCCGTCGTCGTCCAGAAGCCTGTCCAGCCCGTCGAGTCCGCTCCGTCCACCAGCTACGACCGGACCTACCCCGTCCCAGCTCGCAAGGTCAGCTCCAGGCAGACTCGTCCTCGCTCCATGTCCCCCGAGACTTACCAGCTCATCGAGAGGGCGCCGCGCCTTTCTCGTTCCCCGACTTCGATCATGTACTGCTCTCCCGGTGGCTCTCCCAGCCGCCCATCCTCTAGCCGTGGGTCGCTATATGGCGTCGACCGACAGGAGCGCGTGGAGCGCCAGTACGAGACCCCCCGCCGCTACGTCGAGGGCTCCCCCAAGCACCGCTGAACGTATACCTGGCAACGTACTTGACAATGTACCTGGCAATGTATTTCGACTCTGGTTTATCTGATTACGATCATACACACACACACACACACACACACACACACACACCCCACCAACAATCGCTTCGAAGAAGCTTCAATTCACTCGCGACGGGCATTGATTGCCCACACCCATTTTGACCGCGAGACGGTCTATGCCCGTAATGTGGAATTAGCACATTATAGGCATTACCCCCCCCATACCCCAGTCTTTGACGATCTGGATTGAAAGGGCCTGCCTGGATGCGCCCTCGGAAATTCCCTTTTCTGTTTTCCAGTTTTGATCTTTGACTCGAGTGCATGTCGGGATTCGAGATTTGTGGGATTTCCCAGTCTCGGACCCCGACTCAATTGTGACTCGATCAAACTGTTTTTTTGATTGTACGCAATAATCTGCAGGCTTGGCCAGGCCCCGTTACTGGTGTACTCCCAGAAGGGAGCATGCAGGTGTGGAGACATTGGCCAATGACAGATGCGGAAAGTCGACGATGTTTATGCATGTGTTTTCCTCGATTTAACTGCACACTTTATTGGCTGTTATGACTGTGACTCATTTTTGTTTTTATGTGGAGAATCTTAAGATTGTCTAGATGCTTTTGGTCTTTTTTGGCCATTTTTCCTTTGTCTTTGATATGATGTTTGAACTGCGCCCTTTTGGGGATATGGCTGTCAACCTTACACTCTTTAGACAGCTCCTATGGGAATTAGTTAGCATGCGTTACGATTGAAATATTGAATGTCTTATTGGAAAAACCAACCATATTTCGAGAGAATAATTATAGAACAAATAAGTACTTTACACTGAGACATTGTTTCTCTCATCCAGCACAGTTGCTAGACGGTCCAGTCATGAGGCTGCCCCACGTTGACCAAGCTGCGACGATCATGATACCCACTCCACTCTGTGTTCTCCACTATTTACATATATGTGTACATTACTATTCTTGAGGTTATTACAGTTATTACAGATCTATACAGTTATTACAGCTCTATACATGACTCACAGCGGGGTTGTGGCTGAACGATCTGCCTGAGGCGAGGAGACCTCAATCTAAGGTTTATCGTATGCTTATATCACCTGCACAAATTGTCGATGGCACGTGAGTTTCTTTGAACATGATGTTGCAAATGATATCGAGAATGTGATGCTCAGGCGAAGAAGTAATAAGAACAAGGGTCATCAGCTACACCTTTTGGCTGTTTCTCAACTCCTGATACCATCACAACCTCTTTATTATCAGAAAAAGGCACGGTATTAGAATCTGCTGAGCCTAAGCTCTCATAAGCTGATACTACTAATCTATCACTTATAATAATTCGGCACTTTCAGCCCCTTGAACTCAAACGAAGTGTTCTCCCGGCGATCAATGACAGTCTTATGATGAACATCCCGAACCCGAGCCCGAACATACTCCGTCCCCGTGGGAGCAGGCTTGCTTTGATTCTTATCTTCTTCAGTCAGAAGACCAAGGCGATCAAGCAAAGGCGAGGGCACAGTTCTCATCACGGTATCATCACCCGGTCTACAGAAGTAGAGCAACCCAAGACGGGGAATATCGATCTGATCTCTAGGAGGTGTAACGACACGATGGATCGTCGATTTAAGGAAACCTGTCGTCCTTAAGTTAGCGAAAGATCTTCTTCACAACAGATGCGACCACTTACCATTGGTAAGGAACGATAAAGTATCCGCAATATTGCACGTAATGCCACCCTCAACAGGCTTGACATATTTCCATTCCCCATCCGACGTCCGAATCTGCAAACCAGCAACATGCTGCGAGAAGAGCAGCGTCAAGCTTCCAAAGTCCGTGTGACCGCCCTTGGTGTACGCTTGTGCCTTGTCCCATTCCTCTTGGGTGCGCGTGTTGTAAATCATGTATCTCAAGTGGTCATCAGAACGCTTGTCGTAGGCGTGAGCTTGAACTAGATGGTCTTCCGGCAATTCCAGAATAATTGACATTAAGACGAACAGCTTGCGGATGACCTTGTCGAAAAGATCTCGATGGAAGCTGGCAATCTCATCGTAGTACTGACGGACGATCCTGTGTTTAGGAACATCATCCCATTCAGGGATGGCTTTGGGGATATTGAGCTGCATCAGTTAGCTAGATTCAATCCGTGAATTTCTCAATGCAGATAGGTATACTCGTACCATTTCTATATTGTCTTTCACACCCGTTTCCCCAATCCACCTTGAGTTTTCACGGTAACCGAAATACTCGCCTTCGGCGAAATTGCATTCAAAGCTTCGCTTTTCCTCGAGGTTCTCTTTGAAAAATGCATTGCCGATACTGAATTGGCGGAGAACACGCTCGTCATCGAGTCCGTGCCCGACAACTACCCAAAACCCGACTCGTGTTACGGCATCGTATAATTGCTTTGCGAGTTCTTCCTTTCCGCCCGGTTGGTCGAAGCGAGAAAGATCAATCTCGACTAGGGGTGCCCAATCGAGTTCCTCATTAGTTGGTGCAGGTCGGCTCCAGGGCTTGAAGGTGGTCTTTTCGATTGGGACTTGTTCTTCTATAGCGGAAGGTGCCATTTTTATGTTGGGATAGACAGCGACAGTGATAGAAAGATATTCTAGGCGAGAAGGCTGGACTTATATATCTAAATCAAAATAAATATTTGATTGGGATCTGCAATGTACTCTTGTTCTCGTGCATAGTGCTGTATGCCATACACTTTCTAAGATGCGGGGTTTATGGTACAATGCTCGCCTCGGATGGCGTTATATGAGACGGCATTATCGTGCCGTGAGATGGGGGTAAATCATAGTCAATGAAACTCCAATTCAATAAAACAGAATTCAAACCTGTAATTGCGCATCCCATTTGAATGCATGGAAACGTGCCTGAGAGACCAGTGCAAACGCCCATTCGGAGGTTCAATGACAATCACGACAACTGGCCTAAAATTCCATCTCACTTATGCCTAGCTAGTATACAAGAATAGTTTGCCGCTTATGCAGCCTTGTCTGTTTTGGTAGTCTTCCCAGATATCTAAGCAGAAGGATAAGAAGTATTAGCAGTAAAATATAGAATATCGGCCTTTGCTATGTATGTCATTTCGCAGACTGCAGTGCCACCCTATTAGGGCTGCTTGCTGGTAGATAACAGAAGTAGATATTGTGATGTATATTGCGCATAATAGAATAAACAGATATCACTTTAAAGCACTAGCTTGCATGTACAATCGACACCAACTTTTCATTGTGCCAATTTTCCAAGGCAACAACATCATTAACTCTGTGCTCTCCGTTCTAGAAGTTCTGATACACTACTCCTCCCTCACCTATAAATATACCGGGCTTCTTTTTAACATATACGCTCAGCTTTATATGGAAGCGAAGCAATTTTATAGATTTATACTCACTACGTATATATTCTCTGCCAGCAAAAAGCATGTTGTGGTGATGGTCCCTCGTACCTCATACTGAAGATCGAAAAACTGAAGGAGCTATCACGACACGCTTGACGAGGCAGCGTCTCAGGGGAAAAAGAACCGAGAAAACAGAGAGGTTCCCTTAGAAAGAAACGGAGAGGAAATTAATATTGACCTGAAAAGGAACTAAGGAAGTAGTGATACTGATTTGGAAAGGAACACAGCAGCACTGGAAACCACCGACTAAACCACCTGAGAGGTGGATTTAAGCCGAGACCAAATGTATGCTGAATTGAAATGCGACTTACTTGGCTCAACCCCAAGAGCGCCTTCTTATATTTCAACCGAGACATAAACGACACATCGTGTAAGTGCACCCCAGCAGTCTAGATTCCCACCTCTGAGTTATACTTGCTAACATACCCAAGTCACGTCTACTCGTCGTACGCTATACGGAATGGGAGTTTATCTATCTTCACGAATCTCAGTTCACCTCCGACCTCCTAGGTATGCTTGTCAATCCGACGATTGCCACAGTGGGAATGAACTTTCCTACCGAGACATTCTCTCACTCTGAGGTTCATATATGTATGATGGACTCAAGTTTATCTAGTTATAGGGAGGTATCACTACGAATGTCATTCATTGATACCCCATAATTATAGCCTTTTAGATTATGCATGCTGCAATCTAGAGCAATAATGAGCAATGAAGGTTCAATCAAACAAGTTGGTAGATCTTTCCAGGATAGGCACATTTGAGGGGGATATGTCGTGATCTAAACTATCATGGCACCTTGCCCTAACAACCCCCGTCGCCAAGAATGGGGGCCCAAGTAACACTTAAGCATAAAGATCTTCCAAGGAAAATAAATTGAAATTTGCTTAGGATGAGGTAAAATCATTCAAAGCAATTCATCCTACTCGAGAATCGACAACATGGTGTCGGAGAAGCACGACGAATTGGAAGTAATTACTTCCAGTATACCTTCAACTCCACCCAATGAGATCAATCACAATGTTTCGCAAAATGAATATCACGCCAAACTCGAAAAAAGAGTTATGCAAAAGATAGATTTCTGGCTCGTGGGCTTTTACTCCTTTGTATACATCTTCCGAGTCATTGATTCCAGCAATTACTCCAATGCCGCGATTATCAACCTAGAAGCCGGCACTGGAATCAAGAAAGAGCTCAATTTCTCCCCCTCACAATGGGCCTGGACACAATCTATCTTTTCCTACAGCTATCTATTTTTCGAGCCTACCAACACCATTCTTCTCAAACGCGTCACGCCCTCAAGATGGATGTTCGTCCTGATCTTGTCTTGGGGTATCTGCGCCTGTGCTGCTGGTGCTGCACAGAACTTTCCGGGGATGATGTGTGTACGATTTGCAATTGGATTAGCTGAAGCCGGGTTCTACCCTTCTGTGCTTTACCATATGGCATTCTGGTACAAGCCATCTGAGCTGCTATGGAGAATTGCTCTTTTCTACTCTCTTGGTCAAGTGTCTGGCGCATTAAGTGGGCTTCTGGCATACGCCATCAGCTTTATGGATGGAGCTGGTGGACTATCAGGCTGGCGATGGCTGTTTATTATCGAAGGCCTTCCAGCAATCGTGTTGTCTGTGGTGGCATTATTCGGTCTTCCGGACTACCCCGAAACTGCCCGGATGTTGACAGAAGAGGAGAGAACTTTCCTCAAGGGCCGTCTGTCCTCTTCAGCGCCCTCTGGAAAAGACAAAAACTGGAGTTGGGGGGATTTAAAAGCGCTCCTCTCAAGTCCAACGTTCTACACCTTCACGGTCTACTGGATTGGACATGGTATTGGTGGGTTTGGTGTGAATTACGCTTTGCCTACTGTCATCTACGAGCTTGGATTTACTACGACCGCTTTATCGCAGCTGATGAATATTGTGAGTTGAGCTCAATCTAGGGAAACGCACTAATCCACGAGACATTGCTAACCGGAATTTTGACCAATAGCCTCCCTACGTCGCATGCTTTTTCTTCTTGAATATCCTCGGGTATTTACTACACAAAGGATGGATCAGACCCTGGACCACCGCTGTCGCAAGTAAGCATCAATCCTCTGAATTGCGCATGTGGTTCCTAATAATAGCAAAATAGTCGAAAGCACGACAATCATCTGCTACATAATCTTGATAACAGTCTCAAACTCAATTGTCAAATACTTCGCTTTAATTGTATCCACTGCCTGTGCTGGATCTGCATACCCTGTCATCTGGCCAGAACGTATTCGTGCGCTCGAGGGCACAGTGGCCGTGGGGATGGGTATTGGGCTGACGAATGCCATGGCTCAGTTTAGCGGTATTGCTGGACCTCATATATACGATACGGTGTTTGGACCGACGTATCGAGTGTCGTATGTTATCTGTCTTTGCTTCTTGTGTGCGGCTATCTCCGGGATTCTGGCTTCATGGTGGCTTGTGTGGCGGAAGGATAAAAAGAATGAATTAGAGACTGGGATTGAAGAACATGCATGATGCTTCGGGATTTACTTGAGGTTGTGTGGTTTTTGAGATTTCTATACCGTCGATCTATAGGATGTAGTCAACCAACGCATACGAGTTTTCCTCTTTCTTCTCCCTCTGTCTCCTACTTAGAATATTGTACAAAGCTTGGAGTATGGGCGACTAAGTATGCCACCGGTTCATGACTCTCCTATTGGATACCACCTCACCACCTCTTTTATCACCGCCTTTTGGAAGCATATACTACTTCTTTGTAATTAATTTCAACTTCACAAGAATAGTCGGCCGGGTTTATGGCATTATGATGTCTTTTTAGATATATATAAAGTATGCTCTTATAAGAGAGTTATGAACCGGTGGCATACTTAGTCGCCCGTATTGGAGTAAACCAAACTAAACTGAGCCCACCATACTATATTTTAAGTGTCCATTTTTATGCCCTGCTTGATACATGGAGCTTTCCCTTAAATGACAGCCGTGCCAGCTGGAACCTTCAATGTCCTTGTTCTTGTATCTTAGTACTCTCGAACTATTACCCTGGGGCAGCAAAAATCGAATTAATTTAGCAAAATATTGTGATAGGGGACAATGTGGACGCATACAAGCCTTTGAATATCATATCACCAGGGACACAGCTAAAGCAAACAACTTCAGCTCCTTTGACCCGTGACCAGTTCGTCTCAACTACGTGACCTGATGTCGAGCATTCAAGTTGTCCCCATCCACCTCTTCCTCATAACACATCTCTTCTCCTCAAACCTCTCAACAACCTTTCCACCTGACATATTTCACGCAACAGTGGCTCATCCCACAGCAAGTTGCATCTTAAAGACCTGATAATCTCATTTTATTGACTCCACCTGCTCTGACAACCATGCCGCACACGGGTCCCATGGACTTCCAGGCCCTGATCCTGTGTGGTCCTGGAGGTTCACTTAACACATTCACCTCCAGGCCCGAGGAATATCCCAAGTGTCTCATTCAAGTCGCAAACAGACCCATGGTATTCTATGCCATTGACTTTTGCAGACGATCAGGTATCACTGGTAAGTCCAAATCCTCTCGCTGTCTCTCGACCTACCTAGCCCAATGAATAAAATTGGCTAATTATATCCCAGATATCACACTGATTACTCCACCACAGTCCTTCCCTCCCCTTAGAGCGGCTCTGGACCAAAACCCACACCTTACATCATTCTACTCGCCCGCGGTGTCGCTCGTCGCACCGAAAGACCTCGAGATGACCATGGGAACCGCCCAGCTGCTCCGCCTCCCCGAAGTCCAGAGGTGTATCACCACTAATTTCCTCCTCCTTCCCTGTGACATTATCTGTGAAATCCCCGGCCAATCAATTGTCGAGGCGTGGATTGGCAACCAGTGGGTCTTGGAGGATAACAATGCTTCTAATGGTGTTCACCACGCATCCCCTCCAACCACTTCCTACTTCGATCGTCAGCTGGAGGCTCGCTCTGGTGGTCTAGCTGTGTACTACCAGACCGACAACCGAGAGGAAAGTATCCAGGACGAAGCGACTGATTTCATAGCTATCGCACCACTCGAGCAGAACGAAGCACCCGTCGTCCCCGGCCCCGAGGGACCGCTGATCCCACGCTTCAGCCTCTCCAAACTCCTCATGTCAATGCCGATGGACACAATCAAGGAGAAAATGAAACAAGACAAAGGCCTTCTCATTCGTCATTCTCTCGTCAAGAATTGTCCGCGCATCAGAATGCTCACCACCTTCCGCGACGCCCATGTTTACGTCTTCCCCTACTGGGTCAAAGACCTAGTCCACCACCAAAAGAAACTTGAATCCATTAGCGAGGATTTGGTCGGTACCTGGGCCAAGTCAGCATGGCAGAAAGGCCTCGGCGACAAGCTAGGATTGACCAAGGACTTCAACGAAGACACCACTCCCGCCCATGAAAGAGAATTCACCCCCGAAAGCAGTCACACTGGCGCATTTGTCGATAAAGTAATCGACATCAGGGATATGAGCACTACCAGAGCTCGCTCGAATTCCGAACTCCTCCTAGACCAATTTTATCAATCTACCGAACTGCCACAAATGCTAGCTTACGTCCACCGAGGATCAACCCCGTTCATCCGCCGAGTCGATAACACAGGCATACTTCTTTCGACTTCCCTTCTCCTCGCAAAATTGCCCTCTATTGAGGAAGTTGGTCGAAAGGCAGCGTCACCTTTTGCGCACGCTCATAAAGTTGCTTACCCCGAAGGCGTGGCTTCGCCGAGCAATGTTACGAAGAAGGATTGTCTTCTCGGTGAGAATGTGATTGTTGCAACTGGTGCTGTTATCAAGGAGAGCGTGATTGGTGCGAATTGCCAGATTGATGGCGCTGCCCGTATCATTCGTTGTGTTCTGATGGAGGGTGTTGTTGTTGAGACCAGGGCTCAACTGACTGGGTGTGTGATTGGTCGACGAGCTCAGATTGGTCGTGAATCTGTGCTGAAGGGGTGCGAGGTCCAAGATGCCAATGTGATTCCAAAGGAGACGAATGCTAGGGATGAAAAGTTTATGGTTTCTGAGGAGTTGTGTGTGTGAGAGGGGGGCATGCTATTCCAGGCCAACATCAACTGGCGTGTTCATTAACGAGATGAAATTGTAATCGAGAAAACAGGAGAAAATAGAAAAAAAAACACTTCATGATCAGAACATGCCCAGGTGTCCCTCTAACTTCGGTAAGATGAGGTGAGTATTGACCTTGGAAGGCGAGATGTACATCATATTGCTCTACAGGTTCCAAGCCCTTCTACGAATCAGATTAGAAAAACCACAAACACAACAGCTCTGCCTAGATTGCAATGTATCTCTTGTATATTTTGTAATCTGTCTCCCCGAGCTGTATGCGATAGCCACAGTCTTTCCTCAACTCTCTCCAGCCAACAAACGTGCAAACTGATTTATTGCTGTAGGAATCAATCCTATAATGGTTTGATCCTCTAGCAATATTCAACCCAGGCATCGAGGTTCATGTTCTTGATGACAGTCGAGAACTTTTCGGCGTTGGCTGCATTGCAGGCAGATGTCTTTAACGTAGAGGAGAGAACGGCTCTGGCTCGGAGCTTGTGGTGACCATGTCCGTATCGGTGTTTTTGCTCCTTGGTTGAATCGGTGCTGGATTCATCTTCCTCTTCATCGTCCTCATCCTCGTCCTCATCCTCGTCCTCGTCCTCGTCGTCTTCGTCATCCTCATCAGCATCGGTGGTACTGTCGGTACTGTCGGTGCTGTCAGTCTTGGTGGTAGCAGTAGCAGTAGCGGCAGTGGCAGTAGCAGTGGCAGCGGTAGAGGTAGCAGAAGTAGAAGTAGCGATAGCAGTGACAGTGGCGGTGGCAGTGGAGGTAGCCTTGCTCTCAGTGGTAGTGGAGGTAGCCGAGTCAGAAGCATCAGAGCTATCTGACTCAATAGTGTCCCCAGAATACTCAATATGGAAAACCGGCTTATTGACTGCCGTGAAGGCAGCATAGACATCACACTCGTTATACTCGGCACACTGCTCGTTGACCGACCACTGCATTTTATCAATAACCGAGCCGATAATGTCACCCCCATTTTTCAACCCGAGCGACATGCCACGAGAATGCGACTCGGACGCCAGGAAAGTCACAAAATCAATCGAATCAGCCTCAGTCAACCCAAGACCGTTCTCATTCCCATACGCATCAATGTTGTCCGGATCAACGCCATCACAGCCCTTCTGCTGCGCTAGATCCAAACGCGAACTCATGATGGCACGAACGCTGCTCGACTTGATATTCAGCCAGCGCTCGCCTGGCCATTCATCGAGGTTGCTGCCAAAGTCTGCGCTGTCGAACTTGCTGATGTCTGACCTCCAGTCCTCGTAAGTGCCGGCAGAGAAGTAGCAGATGACTTTATGGCCTTTTTTCTGAAGAGTGGTGATTGTCTCGGCAGTGTTGTCGAAGAGGTCGATGTCCCAGATGTCGGCGTCGACGGTGGTGTCTTCGACGGCGTTGATGAGTTGGATTTGCCATTTAACCCCGGCCGCTGGTTGCCAGATTGTGGCGGCGGTGCTGGTACTGGTGGTGTCGCGCTTGGAAATCTTATTCTGGTTGTGTCCAGCTCCGAGCTCTGCTCGGACGTCCATCCCGATGGCAAGGAAGAAGAGGCATAGAACACAGGATACCAAGATCTTTCCTTTGGTCGCTAGGACCTGCCAGCCCGAAGTTTGGGGATAGTTCATCATTTTGGTAAAATTGGTTGATGTTGAAAGGAGTGTAAGAAATGAAAGAAATGAATGTGTGTGTAGAAAGGAATGGATAGACAGCTTGAAACCAGCAAGTGTCAAAAAAAGAAGAGACCGAAGAAGAATGATGAAGATAGAATGGGGGGCATAATGAGTCGATACTCAGTACTTATAGACGGCGTAGAGATGCTGGTCAGAAGTTATTTGGTGTATACCCTGCATGAAGGTGTTTCATATCTCCACATATGGCATCGAAGGTATAAGGCTGGAGATTACCTAAAATGACCGAACCACTAGCGGGGGATATTTAACGAAGCCAAGCAAAATGAAAACCCCGTTATTTCGGAGATCGGGCCAGTAAAAGTGCTAGTTTAGGGCAAATAGGAGATTAAACTGAGGAGGATCAGTCCGGAAGAGTATGGAAAAGATGAAACAACTGCCAAGAAACGCCTCGCGGTAGTTGTAGTCCGTTCATTTGCGGATATTCTCCCTTTGAGCGAAGTGCAATCTCACTTGGATCCTTTGGCCCAAGAGGTAATTGTTTAGCGTCAAATATGTTCCAATCGGAGTGTCCGGTAGGTTTCTCACCCGTTGTCCTTAATTAATTAGACACAGATTGAGATCTATACAGCGCCATACCAACTTCTCACATACGAAGTACAAGATTATGAATTTGAAATGCAAAGATGCATCACGGAGAATTGCCAAATCTTTGAATGATCTGTGCGAGTCCACTTAAGAAATGAAATTGTACAAAATACCCGATCTCAACGGCATTAGCGTCATGCCTTGATGGAGTTGGGCCAATTATATAGAACTATTTCTTGGCCACATGGTGTCTGGCCCCTTTGGCCCCCTGCGAAGTAGTCAAAAGGGCCAAAAGAGTCAAGAAATATCTCCGGGTTGCCTTGGCACATTACCAAGGGCGCTTACGTTTGGCACAGGTTCTCAGAGGTCATTTCAGACAGGTCCCAACTGATATCTTTTTGGCTTCAATAATGGTTTCTTTCTTTCATGTTGATCTCTGATATTCTGGGAATATATAAGAGTACGAAACGGTGGAAATAGGTGTATAACTTGACAAATTCAGCATAGTAACCTTAGTTCTTGACAATGTCTATCCGTGTGCACATATTTCTTTCAAGCGAAACCAATCTAACATGCATACACCCCTGTAACTAAACTATTGGCCATCATACACCTCATATCCATACTTCCTCCCAACATGATCCTCCCGCAAACGCCGCTGCCCAGACCCATACACCCTCTCCCGCATCGTACCACTCTCACCCTCAGGCGCGTATACCCCTCTCCTCCGCAATTCCGGTACCAACAACTCAACAACATCCTCAAACGTTCCAGGTGTCTGCACATACCCAATATTAAACCCATCCAAATCCGCCACCCGGACCCATTCCTCCAAAAAGTCCGCAACGGTACTCGCAGAGCCAACAGGAACAGGCCCAGCCCCACCAATCGAGATATGCTTCCCGATATTCCTTGGCGTCCATTCAGGCACATCGGGACTCTGGTAAGAGAGTGTATTGATTGTTGAATGAACCCGGGCGTCAACATGTACATCTGATGCCGTAATAGGCGTGTCTAGATCAATCCGGCTAAGGTCGATACCGGTTCCACCGGAGAAGAATGCAAGACCTGCCTCTTCGCTGGCGTATTGCAGTGCTTCGCGGTATTTTGCTTGTGCTTCTTCATCGGTTCGACCGACGATCGGAGTGAGGATCGCGAAAACCTTCACTGATTTGGGATCTCGGCCATGCTTGGCAGCTTCCTCACGGATGGCTTTGATGCGTGGTGCCAGAATGTGCGGTGAAGGGGCTGAGACAAAGATTCCTTCTGCGTGTTTGGCGCCGAAAGCGACACCGGCTGGAGATGTACCTGCTTGAAAGAGGAAGGGGGTGCGCTGCGGGGATGGATCTAGGATGTGGGGACCATCGAATTGGAAATGCTCGCCGTGGTGGTGGATGTATTTGATTCGGCTCGGGTCGGCATACACCCCTGTTTCAGCATTCTCTTGGAGAGCGTCATCTGCCCAGCTGCCCTCCCACAGTCTACTACAAGTAAGTACTTTGTATGACTGTTGATGATGCACTGTTGCTTACTTGTACAATGAGGTCAGGTACTCATCGGCAATTTCATACCGCTTGTCGTGATCCACTAGAGGCAATCCCACCTATGGTTGTTAATTTTGGGTAAGATTTATCTGTCAATGGGTATACTCACAGCCTTTGCAGCAGACTCCTTCCACGAGGTCACAATATTCCACCCGAATCGACCACCGGTCAAATGATCCAAAGTCGAAAACCTCTTTGCTACAACGTATGGAGCTTCATATGAAGTAGAGGTGGTGATTGCAAACCCTAGGTTCTTGGTGACCGAGGCCATTGCGGAGATTGGCTGATACATATAATCAGCAACCTGGTCTGATCAATGAAAGAGATAGCTAACTCACGATCGAAGGGTCTCCCATGGGATACTGAGCTCCATTACGAATCGCGGGCTCTGCGGTCCCCTTGTATGTATCATATAGACCATATGTGTCGGCAAGGAACAACGCATTGAAATCTCCTTTCTCAAGTAATTGGGCCAAGTTTGTCCAGTAGGATAGGTCTCGTCGCTTGGTGGCTGACTGATCGGAAGGGTGCTTCCACTGACCAAAGGAAAGATGGCCTACCGTGAGCATGTCGAAGCCATTGAGGTATATCCGCCGCTTGGGTGGTGAGGTTTCAACTGACATTGCGACAGGATATCTTTCAAGCTGTAGGCTTGATTTCACTCTTAGTATATATGCGATCAGAAGAAATGTCTCTCTTTTATGATTTTCCCAGTTCAGATGTTGCTCTATGTTGATATTATTTATCTGCCCGTTCAGAACAACCCCGCACGACGCTCAACTGCTGTCATCTCTCCAACAAAGCACGAATACTAAGCCCCATCGTATCAGGGATCCAGAAGTTCTCGCTAAGTAAGATAGGCATTGCACATTGGCCCCTCCGGAACGGAAGAAGTCCGAATAGCGTTGTCTACGACGGGATCGCGTGATTTGCTCCTACGAAAACATCCGACAGGTTGAATCTATCTCTACATATATTGGAATATGATTCCTAAGACAGTTTCCAACCACCAATGCGCCATAACTCATATTGCCTGCGGTACATTTCGTAATATTGGTATCTTATACTTCAAATCTTACACTTCAATTCACTATACTTACTAAAATCTTCATAATGCTAAGACTTTCCATACTTTTCTATCGGTATACCCAAGTCGTTGTAATCATTGCCTTTTTGCACCAAGTCCATAGGTATCTGGGCCATTCTATTGGTCTTTTTTTTCTTCATTTTCGCTTGTCCGTACGCTGGACGGTCTTTCCAGAACGACGTTTCCAATTCTTAATAGAGGACACCATCTTCAATTTAGGCATTTTGAGTGCGCTAAATAGTTGTCGGCGCATCGAACGGCTCCGGCGACAGCGCTGGCTCCAAATTCTGGACACTAATGACTGGATAAATCTTCCACCTCGGTGGAAACTGTAGCCGGTATGGTAGATGACCAACACGTTCGATTACCGTGAAGGGGCCTACGTACTGTTGGTATAGTTTATGCGAGATAGTGTTATTGATAGAGATGTTATAGTCACGGCCGATACGGAGCAGGAATTTGTCGCCGACGGCAAAGTACTTGGGTTGGTGCCTCCGGTCGTAGTAGCCTTTCATTTGCATAGCAGCGTATTTGAGGTACTCGATGGCATCCTGGCAGGATGATAGGTCTTGTGTGGCGAACGAATTGTGGAATAGGTCCCAGGGCATACGTAGATCGAATCCGAACATAAGCTTGGGCAGTGTTTCCGATACAGAGGCGCCAACATAGCTGTCCATTGCTGCTATCGCGGTCAAGTAGACTGATCGGCCAGTCTTCGGTGGGATGAAGGGATACTGCTCGGCTCAGAAGTGGAATTATTTCGCCAGCCACGAAGATCGAAACGGAAATGCAAAATGTACGGTTGTTGTAAAATTTCACTTGCTGGTGGAAGCTTGCATCTAAGCTCTTGTGCCTTGGGTGAACTATCACCATCATTGCTGCTGTCTTCAGCTGTATGTGCTCTTTTCTTGGTGTCTGCCACCTAGGCGATAGGGAAAGAATTTAAGTAAGAAGAAAGTTGAGGATACCACCCGGGAAGAGTTGTTGTTTGATAAGGGACATGGGGGACGTTTGGGAATTTCAGAGGAAATACAGAAGTTGGAAGGTAAAAGGCAAACCCAGGGATACTCTCTAGCTAGCGGGAAGGAAAAGATCGTGGTTGCAGATCAAGTAGAATTACTTTTGTAGAGAAATGATAAAACTGTGTTGCTTGGATAATGTAACCTTTGTATATAAGCCTGGTTAATACAATATCCAGCGATATATGTAAAGCCAAGGAAAGAGTGACAAAATCAACCACTAGAGGTATGAATATGAAGTTATAGAAGTTCCAAGATTGGCACATGCTACAAGACGGACCGTAACCAAAACTAGGCTAGTCCACATTTGGTTACTCTGTAAACCTTGAAACTTGGGAACCCCTGCTTAGCCGCATCGCGTCTTTTAACGTCTTGGATTGGAGAAGACATGCAAGTCTAAAAAAAAATGGCCCCTACGAAATCTGCCGACAAGATATTTCCAATCACAGCCTTCATTTCAGACCTACCAACCAACCTTATTTCCCAGTTCCTCCCCTCATCATCCGAAAATGGCCCTGGCGGTGGACGCTTGGTCATTGTAGGCGATGTACACGGGATGAGAAAGTCCCTTGAGTCACTCCTACACAAAATTGGCTTTGACAAATTCAAAGGAGATCATCTTATACTAGTTGGCGACCTAGTTAATAAAGGGCCCGATAGTCCTGGTGTTGTTGATCTGGCTATGAAGCTAGGCGCTAGCGCTGTGAGAGGCAACCACGAAAATGCAGTTCTTAACGCAGCCGCGGAGATAAACGCCACAAGGGATGGTCTAGTACATTCTAGAGCTTTGACTGGCAGTCCGGCCGTACCTAAGAACCTCGAAGCCGACCTACCCGAGGATGATGTTCGAGGTTCCGAGATTCCTGACAAATCCGGATCTGCTACAATTACCGGCACTCCTACATCGCATAGTACGGCATTGGTACTTTCAACGCGCCAGATCGACTGGCTTGCCGCTTTGCCTTTGATCTTGCGCGTTCAGCTACCTCATGTCCTAAAATCCTCCTTTGGCGACAATCTAATTGTCGCACATGCGGGCCTTGTTCCTGGTATCTCACTTGAAGACCAGGATCCACATACTATAATGCATATGAGGAGCCTCGTCCGTAAATCGGGCGATGAGGATGGATTCACACCGGCTGAAATCCCCGGAGAAGAAAGCTGGATTGTGGAATGGGACCGGTGGCAAGACAGGCAAGCATCCAAGACTACGGTGGTATTCGGCCACGATGCAAAGCGCCGTTTGCAGCTAGGCAGGTATGCGATTGGATTGGATTCGGCGTGTTTATACGGCCATCAATTAAGCGCGGTTGTTATTGCGGCTTCCAACGGGGAGATTATGCACCATGTCGTTCAAGTCGAATGTGCTGATACGCCTATAGCTCCAACGGTATCTGTGAAAGACGGTGACAAGGCAGTAGTTGTATAATCAGTATACAATAAAAATAGATGATTTCATTGACTCCGACTTCTCGCTAAAGTGATATGCATACAAAGCACATAACTCTATACGTAACATACGCATCGCTAACTATGTATATCAGTTAATACTTGAAATGCAAACGGCGTCAAAGTCGCGATAAATAGTTATTGAAATACATCAACTTTTACTTGTCTGTCACATGCGTGAATTTTTGCTGATAGATAAATACCCAAAGGGTCTTTCTTTATTCAGGTCTCAAAGCCAATGACTATTATTAGTGATATATATGAACTTTTTACTCGAAGATCTTAGCGTCACCTTAAGACAGGCAACGATCGAGTATAAACACTTGATGAATTAAAAATGCTCGCTATTCCCAAAAACACCCAAAATGCATCACTTTCAAGGCCAGAGAAGCAATTCCCTTCCTTGAGCCTTGAATCTCGAGACCATGAAGCCCGGGCTGCAATTTGATTCCCAGTCCTCCTCGAACTCCGAAGCTGGGTTGTGTGGGTTGAATGTTTGCTTCTTGGGAAGCATGGAGAGACCGCGAGGCGCCTCATCGCCTGATGATTCGGCATCGCTGTCACCACATGGACATGTTGAGGTTGTTCTAGCTCCTGGCGTGGTGCAAGGGCAAGCACCCAGGGAGCGATTGCAGGGAACGCATTTGTAGTATGCCCGGCTGCCGGCATCATTGGAGCCTGAGCTTGTGGATAGACGCACTCCGGGGAGTCCGCATTGATCGCATTTCCAGCCGTGTGATGAGCGCTCGAGTTGGATAGTCATGGTGAAAGAGGATTGACCCTGGGTCATTGACTAAAGGGGTTGTATCAGTAGCTGTTGGACATAGGAAGATACCTAAATTACTCACATGAAATGAAATTGTATTGTAGATGAACGGAAACTGAGCGGGAGTAGAGCGGGATGAGGTACCCGAGGAATTGACTCAGAAGTAGATAGCTTGGAATTGAATTGTATTGCTGGCTCTAAAGTCCGGGGAAGATGTCGCCTTATAAAGATTTTGCGGGGGATGACCACGGGTAGATCATCATAACGCCATTTGAACCAACCTCAACCGCACTGCCAAAATGGTGTCGAAATTCGACGCAATCCCTTGGCGATTCTTGTGAAATCACGTAAAATCATGTAAGATCATGGCATTCTAGACTCATATTTGATCATAAAACGTAAGGAATGGCCGAATCAAGTTAGTATATCCCCGACCCAAACCGAGCTTTTAGGTAATATCACGTAAAAGGATCAAGTGACACCTGGAAACATTTACGTTTCTGTTCCTTAATAGGTTGAGCTATTTAGAGAAATTGCAGAAATTGCAGACAATGAAGTCATTGCCACAGTAGGCTTGAGGCATTATTATCCAATTGGCTGCTCGGGCCGGGTCTCCCCCGCATTTTCGCCATTTTCGATCTCAGGTGATTTCTCAGGTGACCGGAAACAAACCCAACAAACAGGCACGCCTTTGACGAACGTCACATGATTGGATGGCAACTGTATCCTCAACATTTTCCCCCTTACACCGTACTCCGTACCTCGTCTATACATAGAACGGTCAAAGCAACATGGGCGAGCTTGGCGACCTCATTGGGCTTGTGACACGGTGTATCCAATCCATGGTTGCCACCTGACTCATATTCAGCACGCAATTGATACTAGAGAGCTCGATTCACTGAGACTTATATGCATATGTACCTGAACTTGACCTTGGCCAAGTCCTAATCAAAAGCATTGACAACCCCAGTCACTGCCTTACCCCTGGATTTACATAGGTCGAACTCTGCGATCGATCTCATTCCTGCCCCATTAACAAACAGTCTCCCCCTTTCATCTCAGGCCCTTGATACATTCCCATACGATGAACATACTTAGCCCAAGACAATTTGCATCGCATCATGTCGAGATCGCTATTCCATCGCATCAGTCCTCAACAACAGGATCGGGGACTCGGGATGAATACACAACGAAGATACCGATGCAAAAGGTGGTTTCCTTCTGCGTTTCTGTCCAGTGACAGAAACCTGGAGAGGTTGAAGCAATGGTGAACTTGATCTGGGGCAAATACTAGAAATTCCTATTGCAGAGGGACCGCAATAGCAAGATGGCCATCATGCTGACAATATCGCTAGAATATTGGACAAGAGCAAGTATCTTGGTCGGGGCAAAGGCTGAAGTTCAAGATGCGAGAACGTGGGTCATATCAAGCATGATCTGGAGGTGGATTAAGAAGCTCTAGAAGTTGGTTTTTTGAGTTGAGGTTATAGAGCCCGCCTGTATATCACACTATCCATGTCTTCTTTCTTCGACATCGGTACAAGACATCCGATGAAGCCAGGTACTGAAAGTAGCACAGGCAAACTAACCAAGCATATCACTAGCTCGTGCAGGCTAGATCTAATAAGCTAACGACCTGGCCACTCTGCTGATCGCTATCCTTTCTGTCGATCATGCACCTTAGATTATGAATGGGTGCATATACCAGGCGACTAAAGTAGTTCAAGTAAGACCATCACACCCGATGAATATGTAATATTAGCTATCATATTCGAGAAAGTGGGTGTGATGTCTCTTCACCCCCCGAATCAAAAAGAAGCGAGCCCACGATGATGACGGTGACCCTATGGATATTGAATCAAGATTGCGATGAGCCATCAAAGCGGACCAAGGATCGACGGACAGATTTTCTACAAGTATGGAATCTCATATATACCATAGGTGATATCCAATTCAGTAAATAAATTTGAGAGTAAAGGATTCGAATCTTGGGACTCTATGCAAGCCTGTCATGATTTATTTGTAAAAAAATGGATTCATCAGACTAGTTGGTAAATCTCAAGCAAGTATGTACACATAGCGCAAGGGAAGGTAGAGTCACCTTGGTGAAATACACTTCTACCAGTGAAAGCAGTGACCTCATGCCATGGCGCTTAAATCATGTAGTCTACGTGTAGTCTCCAGTATACTATTCAACAGCTTCATCTGCCCGGCGCTTATGGAAAACTCGAGTGTAGATTGTTGAAAACCCAAGTTAATTCTTCATAATTTACATGCAATTGGGTCCAGTTCAACGCTAAACCCTAATTGATTCCGCGCATGCAAATCATTCTTACAAGCGCCAAATATTGCAGAACTCCTGCGGAATCGGGATTAGCGCCGTCGATACAGTTTGACGCCTCCATCACACATTCCGCCATACAAACTCGAGTATCCTGAAACCACAGGATAGCATTACTATTCAGCCTACATTCAGTCAATGGAATCTTGGAGAATCCAGTACTCAGCACTGACACCGCTCTTTGTGCTTCTTTCTCTTTGATTCCATCATTACAAATGCAATGGTTAGTGAGGGATATACAGGGGTGGAAATGAAGCCATAGGTATGGCTTCATCCCCAGGCATTGAGAAGATTAGACAGTTTTATAATTTATTTTCATACTTTTGTGAAAGATACAAATCTTAGTCACTACATCCTGCTTAGTGTACTTCATAGTATTTGATTCAACATAGATTTGTATGCAATGTCGCAGATGTGATATATATATTGAGAACTTGCACACTCGCATGCGCATTACGTGCTTTTATTAAAGATAGTATCCATGTAGGCCCAACGGTTGGATTGTCCAACTTCTTACCATTTGTTAATTACTATTGTGGTTTGCCGGGCCTGAAGTAAATGAGATGGTTTCTAATTGACATAATAAAAGATGACGTCTTTTCTGCTACGATATTCAACAAATTGTGTAATTTCTCATACTCTCTTATTCCAAGCTAGATATATCTCTAACATTCCTAGAAGTTGGTTGATTTTGTCCTGGATCTGGTGAAAGGTCTCCGAACGCTTTGTTTCACATACATCGATTTGATCACCAAAGAAGTTGATTTTCATCTCTGCCTGCGTGTTGGGATGGTTCTCACTCTTATGCTTGCCGTAGGTTTGTTAATAGGGGAGGTAAAGGTAACACGTTCTCTTTGTAAAGTATTGTTTATAAAATCCTCACTGATGGATCGAATAAGCCTNGGGGGGGGGGGGGGGGGGGGGGGGGGGAGCTCCAGCTATTAATTGCTAATAGAGGACTAGTTCTTCGTTATGAGTTCATCTCGAGGAAGGTTTAGTGGATCCAGCTGCGTAGTCCTAATCGAAATAGCATCTCGACCAGGAAAATCGCGGCCCCTTTCTGAAATTCGGTACATATAGCTACATAACTCTGCGATCTATACTATGCTTCCCCTTAGATCAAATCCCACATAGCCACCAGATTTCGTTTACTTAAACTGGGGCACACTTTCCACTCTTGCAGACCAGCTGACCAGAGCAATCATTTCCGTTGCTGCAAGAAGCACCTAGAAAATTATTTAGTAATCATTAAGAAAGAGCATAGAATGAGCAGGACGATTCTTACCCTCACAGTGTCCCTCCCACTCGCAAGTGCCAGTAGGGTCGGAGCTAGCGGCAGTGGTGGTGGTTGAGCCAGAGCCAGAACCACTGCCACTTCCACCAGACAGCTTGAGGTTCTTGGCAAGAGCAGTCACGAGCTTATCACCCAGAGCGCGCAGAGTGGTGAAGTTGGTGACGTAGTTCTTGTTGAGAGCACTGCTGGGCAGCACGGCGTTGGCGCCAGCGAAGACGATGTCTTTTTGGAATTAGTAGCTGTCAAAATATAATGGATATTTTATAGACTTACAGGTCACGTCGGGAGTACCGTGGCCGCTGTTGCCGTTCAGGTCTGCGTCGGGGAAGCAGGTGCGGGCCATCAACCACGAGGCCTCGCCGATAACCTCGGGGCTGTCAGCATCGGTGTCTCCGAAGATACCGTAGAACATCTTTCCGTCACTAGCTTTTAGTTAGCACACGATGAAGCTGAAATATTGATCAAAAATGGGGGGTTCATACCAGATAATTGCACCGACGTTGTTTCCAGGAAGCTGTTTACCGAAGTTCCTTGCGAATTTATCGGGAACAACATAGAACGGCACTTCATAGGCCGACAAAGCACCGAAGTTGGTCTCGTCCTGGCCATCGGGGTTTCCCTGTCACCATTGTGTCAGTAATCACATCCCAGTCAGATACTAAGAGTCATTCATACCTTGCACTTGTAGTCAAGACCGTCGCAGTCGACGTCCATATCCGCGACGAAAACATATGCGGCACCCTATCATCGACTGAATCAGTACGCGGAGCTTGAGAATAAGCAACCAACAAGAGAATTTACCTCGTCGAAATCGGCCCAATCGCTGTGGATGGTAATCCTCTTAGCTCCCTTATCGCCATTGATGGGGTAGGTTCCAGATGGGACAGCAACGCTAGCCTTAGCAGCAGCGCTCTGCAAAGCAGCAACGGGAATAGTCGAGCTAGCAGCGAAGTAGCTTCCTGGGGGACCACCGTCGGGCTTGTTGTACTTGGAGCCATCCACGGTCTGGGCGAGGGTGGTGGTGCCAAACAAGGCAAGGAGAGCGAAGGGAATTGAGCGGCTGTAGGTCATCATGATTGCGAGTAGAAGCTTTCAGAGATGGGGAAAAGGATGATTCTTGCTTTTCGAGGCCGGACAAGTGGCCCTTTATCAATTCTGCTGACCTCTGAAGGATCAAACAATTAGCAAGCTAGTAAATACTACCTCCGGAAACACCGGCGCTAGTTGTCACCAAATGCTTTTTTTGACATTCTAGTTCATATTACGGAGTACCTTGTCAGCCCCGGCTAGGCAGTTGATCCTCCAGGCGATCCGTAGTTTTGCAAAATGTGAGACAGACTAGCCTAGAAGAGGCGAAATGCTACGTTATTCAGCCACAATAGCTACAGTATCAGACCACCAGGAAGGCCGGTTTGGTATCCGAGGGAGGAAATTGTACCTGAATGATCAGGATAACTGCGGGGAATAGTTTTAGTCGTAGGGGTCCTTGCATAGCGTCACATTGGCGATGCGCTGATGTAAACGATAATCATGCAAAACGAAGAAACGCTAACCAAAAGCTTCTTAGTTGCAGACACTAGCCTCTAATATTACTTATCAGGATACCTTCACCCTACTCCGAATGTAGAAAATGGTATAGAGTAGAACGAAAGAAGAAAATGGTTAGAAGACGAAGATGCTTGCACGTATAGATCGGCACAAAACCCACATGTGTACGGAGTACTCCGTATTCGGGTCGCATATTGAGGGGAATCCACAACTTTAGAAGGTAACCAATAATCAATATACTTTTTATCTCACCTAGGCAATGTTCATAGCTTGTACTGAGTTGGTGAGTTCCACGAGGATGATTGACATGGATAGTTGGTGAACAGAGTACGGAGTACGCCGTAGAGGCCACGATACTCAGTAAAAACCAATTAACTATCTGGGTTGGACTGGGGCGTGGTAAGGCCAGGCCTGTCCATAGGTCCATGAGATATCTAGATAACAGTGGAAGATGGGAGACTTGATTAGTCTTGATTGACACTCGAGTACGATAGTAATTCATGGGCCCATTTATGTATAGCAACTTCCAAATAATCCCAAACTTGTGAATCCATCGAAATGTCGAAATGTCGAAATGTCCACGGGTTGAGGTGGTAAACCCCTGGGGTCCACGGGTCCTCCCCGGGACCCAAGAAGCCACTGACTAAGCAGACACTTCCACGTGATCTCCGGCAAACAATCAACTCCGACCTCGAAATTGTTTCGGAGTGACAACTCGACCAAGCACCCCGAGACGCCGCCCAAGATGGCCAAGAAAGGTACGTGGAACGAGAAACCCGAGAGTTCAATTGCATGATCCAACCACCCTTTTATGCCGAAATGGTGGATATGAAATGGGCGATGGCAGCGAGAACCGAGAACCCCCGGACTCTTTTGCGGCCCTTGGCTAACATCGTCTTTTCCCCGACACAGCGAAGTCCCGTACCATTGCCGTCCGGCTGATCTCTATGGCCATGACGGGCTACTACCGTACAATGATCCGGCCCCGTGTACACCGTCCTCTCAGCATGATGAAATACGACCCTGTCGTTAAGAAGCAGGTGCTTTTCCTTGAAGCGACCAAGGGTGGAAAGAACAAATAAGCTATTCGATTTTGGATTGGAGTTCTACTCGCTCTTTCTTTTTCAATTCGATTGTTGTGCGCCTTGAGAGCTATCCGACTTTCAATCGCGACGACGACTTTGATTTCGATCTCTTCTTTTCCTCCAATCGAACTTCGCCTTTTGCGTTACTTTGCAATCGCTACCCCGATACGCCGAACGATCGATATCCCAGACTTTGTGCAAATCTAGGGGAATGCGATAAGGGTGTTAGGGGGCGACCCCTGTGTGTACATTATTTTACTGGAGCCAATCGGGAATTTGTGATTCCCCCGGTTTCCCGGATCTTCTGCGGTAAATCTCCTTTTGTTGGAGCATTGTGTTTGGCGTTAAGAGCAATACAGCTTTTGGGTACCTCAATAAAACTAAAATAAACATCCCACAACATTCCACTTCATCGCCTTCCGAAGCATGCCCTGCTTGAGGACTCTTTTCATTCATCCGTTCGGGACAACAACAGGGTTTTCTGAATCAATATTTGAATATCCATGGACTTGTCGCACACACCTTGTTTTTGATAACATGAATATGGAGAATTTGCTCAACATGACCAGCATAATAATAGAGGAATGTCATTTGTTTCAGGGTCACCTCACGTTGAACTGCTTAGCCAACGTCTTGACTGAAGCGCTGATTGTAGCGGTCTCCTTCTAACCGTTAGCTAGGGCTACCTTGAAAATAATCGGGCATCTTACCTCGAGTGCGGCGCATACCTCGGCCTCGCACAGTGCTAGCTTGGGCAGATGTAGCTCCCCTGCTGCTACCTGAAGCCAACCCCTTCGGACTCAGTCGTCGCTCCGGGCCATCGGCTGCGTTTCGTGGTCTCTTCGGTGGCCTTGGGTTCGCGCTCGAAGAGTTATCTGTCTTGTCTATTGAGCCCGGTTGAGACTTTCCCACGGCAGGCTGCATATCCGTGGTCGTTTCAATTGAAGTTTCCGACTGTGCCACAGATTGGCGAAGACGGCTGTAAGTCCGTTGCTGCGTTCTCTTTAATTCCTTACTATCGGAATCTCTTCCAGAGCTGTTGTCGGTTGCGTCTGACATTCGTCTAGCTTTGCCGATTTCTGTTTGGGTGATAACACGCGTCCCCTCGAAGCTGACTACTTTACGCTTGGTGTTGGACTGTTCGTTCTTGGCAGATTTATCAACGAGCGAACTGTCAACCCTTTCAAGAGCTGACTGGGATCTTCCGCTTTTGCTGCCATCGGCGCTAGGAGGTTGTATCCCGAGAACAGGGTTAGGTTTATTGGGGTCTCGGCCTATTTCCATGGGCTCAGCTGGAAGTCTTTGGTGTTCTTGCGCTTTCTTGGTGGCATCGTCGGGCAACGCTCCCTGGAGATCTGGAGTTGACATGAAGAGCATTTCGAGCTCAGCTGGATCATTGAAAAGTGACAGGCTATTTTCTCGTGAAAGTCTGTCATGAAGGCTCGAAAACGGAACGATATGGCTGTGACTAGCAGGGAATTTTGGTAGAGAGTCAACACAATCGCCATATTTCAAAGCCTTCGGAGGGCTAGATGTCCTTGGTGGTAGAGGTCCATCTGTCTGCATGTTTCCAGCAGTCTTGAGAGCCTCCTTGTTTGATCCATTGGTCTCCAAGAGCTTGTCACGGTTCCCCTCTGTTGGCTCCAGTGCAATATTGCTGCCTTCAGTCACCTCTATGTCACCTGTGCCGTAAGGCTTGGTGCAAGATGCATTGCCCGTGATGGACGGCTGAGCAAGCGAGGACTGAATGATGTCTTCCAGTTTCTGCCATGTCTGCTCAAAAGGCTCATCAGGATGTACCTCGATCACCTTCGCAAACCCTTCTCTTATGGTTGCTTGCCAAGTTTCAGCCTCCTGGGCACGGCGGAGGAGTGAAATTATTTCAGCATCGGCTTCCTCCCCAACTTTCTCCAAAGCCGACGACCGTGATTTGAGCATGGCGATGCTTTCTTTGGTCGCTGCAAGCTCTTCATTCTTCTGGGCCATCTCCAGCTCAAGCACCTCCGCCCTCTTTTCAGCTTCCTGCATTGCTCTGTCTTTCAGCATTACAGACTCGGTCTCCTGCCCCAGGCTCGCTGCAAGCTCAGTGGTCTTTCCTCTAGCTCGCTCAAGCTGTTCGAGAAGCTTCTCTTTTTCCGCTAACAGACTCGCTTCGGAACTCTTCAATAAGTTCGTTTCAACTTCATTGGCTTTGACCTCTGTGATGTACTTTGAGCAAGAAATCTTCAGCTCCTCGATTCGATTCTGCGATTCGTGGTGCTGCGCCCATCAGTAGAGCACATCAACACCATGCGCTGCGTTGCTTACCAAGGAGGCCTTTTCCAGTCGCTCATCCTCGGCTGTCTTTTCAGTTTCGGCCTCCATACTGTTAGTGAACCACTGTCTCATTAGGCACGGTCGGGCTTACCAAAGAGCTTTGGACAGTTGCAAGCTGCACCTGGAGGTTGTTGAACTCTCTTTCTAGCCTCGCCTTTTCTGTCTCAAGATCTTGGATTTGTTCTTCAAATTTACCTTTCATCTGACCCTGCAATTTGGTGTTTGCAGCGCCCAACTCTTCTCGGATTCTTTGCTCGAGCAATTCAAGCTCACCCCGCAAGGCCGTCTTCTCAATCTCCAGCCGGGCATTTTGACTCCTGGATGCTTGTTCATTAGTAACAGTCTCGGTCAAAGCATGCTGAAGATGTTGATTCTCAGATGATTTATTGGCAAGTTGCTTTCGAAGAGACTCAGCCTCGATCGAGATCTCCTGCAGTTTAAGTTGCAATTGCGTATTTTCGGCGAACTTGTTGGAAATCTCCATCTCCAAAACAGGGTTTCCTGCTGGAATTCGAGCTTCGGAAAGCTTCTGGCCGAAGGTTTCTAACCCACGCACAAGGTCTGTTTCTGTTATTCCCACCGCCTTGATAGAAGAATCGAGACTACCGAGCATTGGCTCAACACTCTGAAGCTGTTGTTGCAAATTTCCGTAGCAACTCTCGCTATTAGCAAGCTGTTTGAAAATTGATGAATACGGACCGAGGTTGCCTTCAATCGCATGAAGAGCTTCTTGAAGGGCTTGGAACACATTTTTGCTCATTTCCGTGCTTCGGTCGACATCATTTGCGACCTGTGCAGCTAAGGAATTGAAACTAGAGTCATAGTGAGTCTACAATATTTGCTGTCCTTTGTTGCACTTTCACAGAACTTACCGAGATGTTGCCTCATGAACGCTATTGGTGAAGTCTTGGACATTCATAGTCTCGGCAGAGCACTGTTCTTTCAACCCCTGAATCGAAGCGAGACAATTTTCAAGCCCCGGACTCAGTTTTGACAGGATATTATCCTGTGATTTGAAGCAAGATGTTGTGAACAGCTCGTAGGCAGAGTCAAGCTTTTCGAGCATCTTGCGCTGATCGTTTCTGACAAGTGCCAAGTATCGCGACTGGCTCTGAGACTCATTTTGGATGTAGGTTTCTAGAGTCGCAATTCGCTTTTGCTCGTTGGATAGCTGGGCCTTGATCAAATCGCCTCTTTTCTCTGAATGATCCAAGGCCTCTCTCAAACTGGCCACCGTTCCCTCGGAAATTGAGAGTCTCTCGCGTTGGTCTTGCATGGTTTCTGCACTATCCGAAACTTTCAATCTGATCTCGTCCAAAATGTGTTGAATTTCGCTTTTCTCTCTATCAAGAGACATAGTGGCTTCTTTTAATTCTTTGGCTTGCCCCCGGACCGCGCCATATTCACGGCCAAGTTCATTGAGGACGCCTTTGAATGTGCCAAGTTTCGCCTTCCATTTGTCTATTTGTGCGCGCTGAGATCTTGACTCGGACGAGGTTTTGGCGAGCTGTCCTTGGCATTTCTTGAGCCGGTCCTGCAGATTAAAGTTTTCTTCCTTCAAGGCCTTGTTCTCATCCGTTACTTGCCGTTGGATAACTGCAGCCGCTTGCTCGCTTTCCTCTCGCTGTCTCATTCTCGTGATGATAAGCTCGAACAGATCATCCTCACTGAGCTGAACGCCATTCTTGCCACCAAATAGTGGTGCCTGTTGCTTCGAAGATGCTTCCTTTTCAAGGGTATGGCGCCGCTTCGACGTCTGAAGCTGATTGTGTATAGCCTTGAGAGGCACACGAGAGCACGGGTTCTCCGGAATCTCTTGCCTCTCTTTGTGAGGATGTTGCACTGGGGGCGCCTCTGGTAAGGCAGAGTTCCCTTCACCCGTTTTCTCGATGTCAACAACACGCTCTTGACTCGGGTCAACGACCCTTTCTACAGGGCTAATAGTCTCCCTGGGGGTATTAGTCACCGCCTGTTCTTGTCCAAAACTCTGTTTTCCTAGATCTCCAGGTGTAGACCGACTACCGTTGTCTTTGTTGGATTCAGCTACTGTCGATAGCCGGCTTGGTGGCTGAGAAAACACAGGTTGTCTCGCGGGTATTGCTGCCCTGAAGATTCCTTCTTTTCCAACGCTGCGAGCATTGAGAGGACTGAAACCAAGAGAAGATGTTAGTCCATTTTGAACAGGGGTGTTCACCGGTGAGATCAGCCTGAGTCTACATACGTGTCTGGTCTGGTCAGTTGATGCTTGCGACCTGCCTCCTCTACCATCGATTCCCTTGAAGATCGGGCATTATCAATTGCAGGATGTGGCATGGTAGTTTGCTTGGTCAGGTTTCGCGAATACGAGGGCTTGTGTGAGGCGGGCTTGCCGAAGGAGAAATCTATAACATCAATACCAGAACTCTCTGGGCGCTGCAGCAGCGGACGGGGGATTTCAGAGCTCTCCATGATGAATTGCTGATTGGAAGTGGTGGGGAGAGAGGAGCAAGGATGAAGAAATTCCCAGGTCTAAGGAAAAATGGCAGCGACGTCAAGCCAGAGGGAAGGAGCTACCCCGTGACCGAGCCACCATCTCTATACCTACATCCTTAAGAGGTCTCGATATTCATCCATACCTAGGTAGTATTTAGACTGAAAATAAATGGTCAAATTAAGATAAGTAACAGAAGAAGGATTAAGCACAGTTGATCTAGACATAAAATGGTCGTTACCGTAATGACCATTTTAACCAATCGCTCGGTATAGTTGAATTGAAGACTGAAGGGCAAGATTGACTCGAGTTTAACAAATTAAATATTTATCTAGCAATTTATCCTTATTCATACTAAAAATTCATGCATTACTTCTTTAGCTGTATAAATAATGCATCGAGTGGACTCTTCCAAGGTTATACCAATTATGATTAGAAGGTATATATTATCCAAAATCTCTCATATTTCTTGTCTCTGCTGCAAGGAAATGCAAAACAGATTTGAATATGAGATGAGTCAATATATCAACACAAAAATGCTACGTACATATGTCCGTAATTGTCATGAAATGATTTGATACATAATCTCTATTCATCACAAAGTGGTGGGTGCATGTACCTCCCTAATAATACAGATAGTACGGAGTATAAACAGCCTCATCCCAGGTTTGAATGTTTCATGAAAGTCAAAATAGCAGGCCGAAACCGGCTCTTCATCTTTTATGTTTTAATATGTTTTACCCAATGCCCAGTTGACAAGGATCCCCCATTCTATTTTATATAAGCTTACCGTGGGCGCCCTCTAGGGGTTCTAGTTACTAGACTCCCATTTGATAGGGGGTTTTAGAACCTTGCACCAGCTGACTGCGCTCACATATCAAACTAGAACCAATAATACTCAAACTGGTAGATTCAAGGTGTTAGACAAACATACTCTGTACGGAGTACGGAGTACGTATGCAGCATATCTGCGCCATAGTGGGGTGAATACCAAAAAAAAGACCCGCCTAGAATTGATGCAACTGCAGCCGACGAAAGTCCTTGCATGTGAGTGATCAAAATCGAACATCGAATATTCTTCAAGCATTCCAGGGTCCTTCTATACGACAGTTCCCGAGACAACTATGCATTTCGGCCCAGGGCGATAACGTGGCGGCCACGAGAATTCGGGAGAAATAGGGCAGCTCACACGTGTGGCAAACTATGATCAGTCGAATGCAGCATGCTTCCAAGCTATCTCTTGGTTCAAACTATGTTGAATGTGATTTACTTGAGGATATTCCAAATTGTAACTCCAAGGGAATGGGAATGAGACAGGAGGTAAGATGCAATTTCAAGTGGCACAGAGTCTCACAAAGAGAGGGTAGGGCGTAGGGCACGCTAAATGCCTAAATAGTGATCTACATTGTGTACTGTACGAAGTACAAAATAGTCCGATATAGCATTCAATCGGGTAGAATTACCAATTCTCCCCCCCGGAATCCCCTAAAGAACCATGTTTCAAATTGAATTTTGATCGCCGGGATGTTCGTCTAGGATTATAATGGACAAGTCACTGAAAAAAAAGTCTGTGCATCCTGTTAACGGATATCATAGCCTCCGCTCATGAATCCAAGCGGGTCGAACTGGACTAAGGCCTCTATGCTCTCCACCGCACCTCATTCCTTAGCTTTGGCGAGCCCGATGTTCGGAGAGCATGTGGGGGTTATAGGGAAGTCGTAATGTCCAACATCATATCCACACGTTATCAGCCCAAATCAAAGAGAACCTAGATAACCGGGGAATATCAATATCTGCCATAAAACAACTAGGCTTGAAGAGTAGTAACACAGTGTAGATCGCACGGCATCCAAGACCAGAATAAGCATAGGTTACGGACCTAAAAGCCCATTTTCTTTCATTTATCCCCCCTTTGCCCCCATTTTCTTCGTCACGCCTGATTGGCCCAGTTACTGCCACTTCTGCCAGACCGCTCACCCGCTTCATCCCCTTTCTTTCATCTTTGCTTCACTTATCAAAGTGGACTGGGAAATACTTGGTATTGCTGTGTCATTTGACATATTAATTTCTTCGATTTTCTGTCGTCTCCCACTTTTTTTTTCGTGGGTTCTTTTATTAAACCACGAAATCGGTGTGCTTCGCGACTAAGCTCCCGGGCCCTCACATTTTCTTGATATACATATCCTGCAGGCTTGGAACCTCAAGATCTGCTTCGTTTTCTCTAGAAGTGTTCTGGTGGCCTTCTCATTTTATCTAGCCTTGTCTAGATCTCAACAAATTTGCATTTAGACCTGCATCGATCGTCTTCGCCGACTCTGAAACATTTGACCCCCGCTCAGCCATTTTACCTTCGGAATTCAGTCACCTCTCATGGAAATTGCATTTTGAGCTCGATATTCGCCGAAAATCTGTCCGACTACCGCTGTTGACGCGATCAACATTCAACCGGAGGACTTTTGGGACAAGTGTGATGTTGCCAACAAGATACTAGTCAACCTTTAACTATTTCGACCATCGGTCTATCCTCACAACATGGGAAACACTCAGGGGAAACCGGTGTCTTGCAACGATGCAGGTAGGTTTACTGGAGTCGAATCGAGGACGTCTTCGGGACTACCTGAGTCACCGAGGATTATTTCAAATAATATGCTAATCGCTTTTCCTTTACTAGTCAACCTCAATCATTTCCGGCTCCTACGTGTTGTTGGAAAGGGCGCATTTGGAAAAGTACGAATTGTTGAAAGAAAGGACACAGGTCTCACATTCGCCCTAAAATATATCCGCAAAGAGGAAGGTTTGTTGGAGCTCCAAAACCGCTGAGCTGAGTGTGCCATAGCTGACATTCGTTTCAGTGGTCCGTTCGGAAAGCGTACGGAATATAATTCGTGAACGGAGAATGCTCGAACATTTGAACCATCCGTTCCTTTGCAATTTGCGATACAGTTTCCAGGACATGGAGTACATGTGAGTATTCCCGAATTGAGTCTCGTCACTCGTCGCTGACTGAGTTGCAGCTATATTGTGGTTGATTTAATGAATGGCGGCGATCTTCGATTCCATATTTCTCGAAAATGTTTCACAGAGGATGCGGTGCGGTTTTGGATGGCGGAGCTGGGCTGTGCCCTGAGGTATATCCATTCGCAGGGTATCATTCATCGCGATTTAAAACCAGACAATGTCCTCCTGGATTCTGATGGACATGTTCACTTGGCTGATTTTGTAAGTTCTATCCGCGTGGGATCGCATTCACATGAGCTTCACCCTAACTTGATATTTCCAGAACGTGGCATCGGATTACCGACCTGGCAAGCCTCTCACAAGCAAATCAGGAACGCTGGCTTATCTAGCCCCGGAAGTCTATGAAGGAAGTGGTTATACCTTTGAGGTTGATTGGTGGTCATTAGGTGTCACCTTTTACGAGTGCATCTACAATAAGGTATGAGAGATTCGTTGCCCGTCTACTTTCCCGTCTAACCTTGAGTGCAGCGACCATTTGAAGGCCGCAGCCAAGAAACCTTGAGCGAAAACATCAAAAAGGCGCAGCCGAAATACTACGTCACCAATCCCGCAGTATCAGTAGCTTGTTTGCGGGCGTTGGGATCATTGATACAAAAAGACCGGAGTCAACGAATCGGCGCTATCGGGTTTGAGACCTACACCTCGCACATGTTCTTCGCCGACATCGACTTTGATGCCCTGGAGCGCAAACAGATCCCGCCAGTATTCCGCCCATCAAGCGACAAAACCAACTTTGATGCGACTTATGATCTAGAGGAGTTGCTTCTCGAAGAAGCGCCCTTGGAGGCCAGAGCGCGTAGACAAAAGCCCCGCGCTGAACTAAGGGACGATGCCACTGCGAAAGAAATTCGGGATGATGAGCTCCATCGTCTCATTGAAACAATGTTCGAACCGTTTGACTACACCCTGACTAGCTACCAAGGCAATGCCGCGGAAGCTATTGCTGCCGTAATGTGAGTTTATCTCCGCATCAAGACTGCCTCTGTGTGCTAACAGTGTCTTCCAGAAACCCCGAGGAGTGCCTTCCAATTGGGACCACAACCCCAGCGAACCCTACCGTACATGCCCGTCAATTCTCACAGCCCGATCCTAAAAATACATCTCCCATCCAAGCCGACGGCTCGCATTACCGTGCTCCAGCGAATGAAAACATGACTACAGTCAGCGAGACACTTGACCCCAATGACCCCGCCACTAGTCAGCCTCCTCCTTCTCCTTCCAGCCGCGTATCACCTTCACCGCCACCTGCTCCGTCCTTTCACCGACCCCTACCTCCTAATAATCGACACCGCGGTGCTACCCGGCAAATGAGCAAAAGTGGAGGCGTGCAGATGGTTCTCAACGAAGCTGGCAGCTGGAGTGAGCTGGCCCATAACTCCACCCCCGCCGATGGAATGGAGGGTGGTGATGACAAGGGCAAGCAAGCCAATGGCATGCTATCATTCTTCAGTCGGAAGAAGGGCCGCGATCGCAGTCCCAAGCCAACTGAGCCAGGCGTTCTGGGCAAAGAGGGAGCTCGCCAGATTATCAGCTGAAAGGCTCGCCTTTGGTGAAAACCAATTGGCGCTTATGCGGCGCTGTCGCTGCTGACAATATACTCGCACAATATGGGCTATTGTGCTAACTTACGTGGTCTCTACTCACACTTGAGTTTGAAATCTCGGCCCGGAGACCAATGCTTCTCAGTTTAGCATCCAAGAACGTCGACGATCAAATGCCCCTTTAATTCCTTGGCCGGGTTTCCCCCACTTTGACACGTTCCGGTTCCCCCTCTTTTGGGAGCGGCCGGAGGGAGACGGCCTTGTTGACTCTGTCTGATTCCATTCTGCACATTGACTATGCATTTCTCTGCGTTGATCTTCGCAGCACGAGATGCAGTGCTGGAGGCACCATCTCCCTTTCATTCTATTAGATTCCCCAGACACAGCGAGAATTCATCTATTCATCTTTTATTATCTCTATATATCATCCTCTCTTCCCACCTCTCGGCCTCCCCCCCTCACAGCTGTACAGATATTCATGACAGACACAAACCCCCAGACTTGCACTTTGTTTTTTATTTCCTTTTATATCACTCCTCTTTCGGTTGGCTTTCTTAATTTTTGTCTCTTTCTTTTCGCAATGATGTTTTCTTTGACCTTGTATTGTGTTTTGGAGTTTCCATACCCTGACTCGTTGATATGAACATTTGTATTTTGGTTAGAATGGACTGGAGCTTGCATGTCTATTTGGACTGGGATAGGTGTATTTAATGTTATTTTTTGCATTTCAATATATGAAATTAGTTGTATCTCACATCCTGGAATATAAATAGTACTCTGCGAATATATGGCCTTGAATATCCACCCGTTGCTCCGCAACCATTCCCATCTACCTATAATAGACAAAGTAGGTATCGTCATGAACGCGTGGACTTTACAGACTATTATACGTTGAGATGATCCCATCTCCTGTTTGCTTGCAGACCGAGCGCTTGTTTACCAGATTCAGGGCATAAATGCCCTGCTTTCCCATATGTTGTAGATTGGATATCAAGATTTCCTTCTGCTTTCTCGTTAGTCTCATTAGTACATATGTAATACATATGTATAAAGGGCTATATAGAGAGCCAACCCTATAAACACAAAGCCATTTTAACTTGAAACCAATCTCTTGGCAGGATCCATGTGGGGAAAAAGCAAAACAAAGCCATACAGAATACACCAGCTTATACCGACCGCATATAGATGGTCATTGCAATTCCAAGACCGACTGAACTTTTTCAATTGCAACTAGACACATCCCACGTGTCCAACGCTCGACTCATTTTCCATTCTACGCCCTTCTTTCCCTTCCCCTTACCACCTAACCCCAAACAACCATCCCCACAAACAACAATCAATTCCACATTCCTATCCCACCGATCAGCGCATACCACACCAACCCCCCCCACTACCCGCCATCTGGCATGCCCAGCCAATCTCAACGAGACCGACCCGAAAGACGCGACCGGGATCGGGATCGGGATCGCGAACGCACACGCGAGCAAGAGCGCTCGCGTCGCCGAGACCGGGACCGCGAGTACACCCGCGGCCGCTACGAGGACGTCGACGAAGGCGCAACATCTAGCCCTGGCAACGCCCGCACGGCGAAATACCGTTTCCGTGGGGAATCGGGGTACGAGTCGAATACGCATAATGAGCGTGACGATTATGACGAGGAGCGGGAGCGGCGTAGAGAACGGAGGCGCAGACAGAGGGAGGAGGAGGAAGATGAGGCTGCTGGTCTTGTCTATGGGGAGTCTGGGGAGGGGAGGAGACGAGAACGGGAGAGGGGGAGTTCGAGGGTGAAGGACTCGCCTGCTGCATCGCCTACTAAACGCCGGGATCGGGAGAGGAGGTATCGCAGGGAGGAGAGTGCGAGTGCGAGTCCTGCTAGAGACAGACGGACGAGGGATGTTGATGTTGATATTGAGGCCGAGGCACGGAGGCGCAGACGGCGTGAGCGTGAGCGCGAAAGAGAAAGAGAAAGAGAAAGAGAGCGCGAGCGGGAACTCGATGCTGCTGCTGCTGCGGCACCGGCGAGGAAACATCGCAGTACCGAGTCTTCGAGTAGTGCTGCGCATCTCTTGAGTGTGGATGCTATGGCGCGTCTTGCTGCCGAGCACGAAGATGCGGATCGCGTGGAACGGTCTCGCGAAGAAGATGATTCGCGTCGGGAACGTCGACGACAGCGGAAGCGAGCTGCTTTGGATGCTGCTGCTGGTGCGGCGCTTGGTGCTGGGGTTGCGGAGGGTCGCTCACGCCATAAAGCGGGCGCGCGAGTTGTGTCTGGTGCTTATTTGGAGGAAGGACATAGCTCTGATGCTCGGGTTCGTCGTCGTGGCGGTGGTGGACCTGCTGTGGAAGATCATTGGAAAGATGAAGATAGCTGGGAAGGCAGCTTGGAGAGCCGTGGAGGACCACCGGCTTGGAAATTCTGGTCTAATTGGTCAAGAAAGAAGCGTATTTTGATCGGATTTCTGCTGGTACTCCTCCTCCTGCTTGCTATCATCATCCCGGTTGCAATTGTTGTGTCAAAAAAGAAAGGCTCAGATCCGAAACCAAGTTCCTCGGACTCTAGTGGTGGTAGTTCTACTACCTCTAATTTGGGCAGTATCAGCCGCGATAGCATACCGGTAAGACTTGAGTGTACTACATTGATAGAATTTGCTGACAACAGTGCTTCAGAGTTACGCCAAAGGCACCTTCTTGGATCCATTTACGTGGTACGAAACTGAAGGGTTCAACCTCACTTTCACAAATGCCACTGTGGGTGGTCTTTCCGTCATGGGCATCAACTCAACTTGGGATGACTCTGCCCAGGTGAACGACAATGTGCCTCCTCTTAACAAGGCCTTCCCTTACGGCACACAACCAATTCGTGGAGTCAATATAGGCGGATGGCTGTCTATTGAACCCTTCATTGTCCCATCCCTGTTCAGCAAGTGGCCATCCAGCGCCAGTATCATCGACGAGTACACCTTGACTAAAAAGCTTGGAACCTCTGCGGCGGCTACGATTGAGCAACACTACGCCGAATTCATCACAGAGTCAGATATAAAAGAGATCAAGGAAGCCGGACTGGATCATGTCCGCATCCCATACTCCTACTGGGCTGTGACTACTTACGATGACGACCCATACGTCCCCAAGATTGCATGGCGCTATCTCCTACGTGCAATCGAGTGGTGTCGCAAGTATGGAATACGGGTCAAACTCGACCTCCACGGACTCCCTGGTAGTCAAAACGGCTGGAACCACAGTGGCCGACAGGGAAGCATCGACTGGTTGACCGGCACAGACGGTGCTCTCAACCGTAAGCGGTCACTTGAGATTCACGATCAACTCTCACAATTCTTTGCGCAAGATCGGTATAAGAACGTGGTGACAATTTACGGTCTGGCAAACGAACCGTTGATGCTGTCCCTGCCCGTCGAGAAGGTCTTAAATTGGACCCAGGAGGCAGCAGAACTCGTCCGCAAAAATGGTATCACTGCCACTCTTGTCCTGCATGATGGTTTCTTGAATCTCGCCAAGTGGGACGACATGTTCAAAACTCACCCCGACAACATGTACCTCGACACCCACCAATACACAACTTTCAACACTGGCGAGATCGTGTTGAACCACACTGCTAAAGTCAACATTATCTGCAATAACTGGCAACCCATGATCAAGGAGATCAACACGACAAGTTCTGGGTAAGTTGAGTTCCCTTTTTTCTTTCGTAATTTCATACGCTAATACACAACCAGGTGGGGTCCCACCATTTGCGGCGAATGGTCACAGGCAGACACGGACTGCGCACAGTATGTGAACAATGTCGGCCGAGGCACCCGATGGGAAGGAACATACGATACCAGTTCCACGACGGCATATTGCCCAACAGCGGCCGAAGGAACATGCAGCTGCGCAGATGCGAACGAGGACCCATCCCAGTATTCGACTACCTACAAGAAGTTCCTACAGACATATGCCGAGGCACAGATGTCTGCCTTCGAAACGGCGATGGGATGGTTCTACTGGACCTGGCGGACAGAATCCGCTGCGCAGTGGAGTTACCGCACAGCATGGAAGAATGGATATATGCCAAGCAAGGCATATAGTCCTTCATTTAAGTGCGGAGATACAGTGCCAGACTTTACCGACACAGCGGAAAATTTCTGAAAGATTTATCTGTATTTGTTTTACATTTTGTTGCATTTTGCGTTTCATTTCATTGTTTTGCATAGATACCATGGATAAAGATTAGATTTCTTGCATATGATTTCAATGCCATCTGGATATTGGATATCTTCCCCCATCTCAGCTGTTTCTTTTGAGTCAAAATAAGCTCCATCTCAACCCCGGTGCATGATGTATGATGCAGCATGCCCCTGGATATGTACTTATGCCTCAAACCAACCCCCAGCCTCCCACACACCAGGCCGATAAACAACCTCCTCTCGCACCCATTGAAGTCTAACTCCACCAAGCAACCGATCCACCCTGTGGAAATCAATTGGCTTCATAACCCACCCATCAAAGCCCGAATCCATATACATTTTCCGATTCTCCTCGAGCAAGGAAGCCGAGACAGCGAAGATGGGAATGCGAGGCGCAGGGGTGGTATCATTGGCTAGCTCTTGCTGCTCGTATTCGCGTATCATCTGTGTTGCACCGAGGCCATCGACGATAGGCATCTGTAGGTGGAGATTTGAGTGTTAGTATATAAATTGAGTTGGGGATTGTGTAATTCAGTGTTGTTGGTTGGGCGTACTTGTAGATCCATCAGCACTGCGTTGAAATGAGTAGGATTTGCTTTGTACGCATATGCGCATTCTTTGCCGTTGCTTGTCATGTGTACTGTGTGGCCGAATTTCTCGAGGCGCTTTTGGACGATCGTGCTGTTGACTGGGTCGTCTTCTGCGACGAGGACGTGGAGGTTCCAGTCCATTGTGGGAGGGACGCTTGGTTGTGTTGTTTGGGGCTGGTCGGTTAGGGATTTTGTTGTTGGTGAGACCGACAATGTTTCTTTGATGGTCGGTTTGGATACTTTTGGCAATTGCTCGGGATCTTTCTTTGGAAGAGAAGTTGTTGGTTTGCCTGGCTGGTTGCTCTGTTTGAGCTGTTGACCAGAGATGGAGAGGTTTCTTGATTCGCCGGGGTTCAAGCTTACATCGACGTTCACGATGTATTCACCTGATTCAAATTCTGGACTTTGACCACATTCACATGGAATACCGTCTTCTTTCTGGCCTGTTACACAATGTGAGGATGTGGTGTCTTGTTTTGTGTCTTGTTTTCTTTCATCTTCCTGCGGAGGTTCGTTTGACGTAGCACATGGGTTCTGCTTTTGACTACTATCTTCATCCGGAAGAGGGAATGCAAGCCTGATCTTGAAACAACTTCCTTTGCCTTCTTCAGACTTCAAGCTTAGCTGCCCGTTCATATTGCGCACGATTCGGGCGACCAGCGCGAGGCCCAGACCAAGCACACTTTCAGTCTCGAACACTTGACTACTTGAAATTTGTTCGTATGTCTTGGGATTCTGCATATATCCCTTATTGGAGACTTGCTCCAGCTCGCAGAACAATGTTTCAACAGTCTCTTGGGACATCCCAGATCCAGTGTCGTGTATTGCCACTTCAACACAGATATGATCTGGCTCCATCGGCTCTGGTACGACACAAGACTCGATTGTTACTGCCCCAGTGGATGTGTGTTGTATAGCATTGCTAATCAAGTTGGTGATCACCTGGCGTACCCGCCGTTGATCTCCGAGAACAGGAGGCAGGGCTGCGTGTTGGACTACCTGCAGATCGACATCCTTCTGTCTTGCTTCTTCCCAAAATATGTCTGTTGCTTCCGTGAGGGTTTCTGAGAGATCGAATGCCTCGTCCTTGATTAACCGTTGTCCGTTTTCGGCGTTTGTTAAGTCTAGGAGGTCATTGATGATGTATACCAATGATTTAGACGCAGAGTGAGATCTGGAAATGTGATCTCGTGTCTCTTGATCCAGAGATCCATCAAGAACAATTTCTAGATAATTGATGATGGCATTGAGAGGTGTTCTGAATTCGTGTGCAGAATTAGCGAGTAAAAGCCTCATCAGCTGGTTGTTTTGCAGCGTAGTCTCCTTCTCTCGCCATATATCGGTGAAAGTGCGATATAGCAAAGACAGAACAGATGCCTTTCCAAACTCTGCTGACGACCACTCAAGTTGTCGACTCGATCTCTCTGAATCGGACGCAAGGTTATGGCTTTCTAAATCAGCCCGAAAGAAGATAATAAAATCATGACCGTCTACTGAGAGAGGAACGTAAAGCAAACCAGAAAGATAATGGAAGCCGGGCGAGTAGTTGAGATCCTGAAAATCGGTAGCGATATCTCCGGACCAGAACACAGTGTCGTTCTCTTTGGCTTTCATGTATTCAAACAATGCCAAAACTTCCTGCGAGTCGATTGGTTTCCCCAAGATCTTGGACTCGCCCATAATCGACGCTGCGGCGTAATCTGCCCCAAACAAACTGAGAAGATCACCGGGTGGAGTCTTGATAGCTTGAGGTGTGCTCACTTTATCCAGGGAAATGTCCGACTCTCGAAATTGGAAGGGCAAGGTGTAGGACAGACGCTCAATGTTACTTGAAACCGCCTCGGCTACAAACCAACACGCTTTCTGGATGAGAGGATGGAGTCTTTGGCTACTGTCGTAGGACTGACATGATATCAGGCCCCAAAGTTTGCCAAAAACATTGATTTGAATGGACAAACAAGCCTTGACGGGATTTTCCGTGCGCGACGTTGAGAGCGCCGGTGCTGCAGACAGATAGGTGTTTGACATGTCAAGGGGCCGTTTGTTGGTGGAAGCCCGATACACAAGCTTCGAAGTGCCTTGACTTCCAGAACAAGAGGAGCATACTGTATTGCGTGTATATAGCTTCTTCAATGCTTCGGGGAATGTTGATTCCGGGAAATGGATCCCTTCGTACGAAGTTAACCCAGACGAAGTATCAACCGCATCATCGACCACGATTCCGTTGCGATCACTATCAAAATGATAGGTGGTAGTTCTGTCAAATTCAATAAGACTTTGCAAAGTGGTAATGGTATGCTGAATGAGTGCTTCCAATGTTTGAGCATTTGCAAGTCGCTGGAGAACTCGAGGAATGGTATTGAGAAGCTCTGATGAGTCCGGAAATTTGCTGGTCCTGCCATCAAGACCTTCCCTCGGGGGACTTTCATCTCCGAAAAATGCCCCAGAAGTCATATCCAAGTTCCGGCTATCCGATGTTGTCGTTTGGCTCTTGAAACTCTCCGAATCGGGGTGATCCTTTGTCCCTCGACCCTCGGGTTGAAGCTCGCAGATCACATAGTTCTTATATACTGTGCTCGTATGCATGGTACACCAGGTGCCCTTGGTATATCCATCAGATGATAACACAGAAAGGAGGAAAACCTCAGGGCCAGAGTCCCGAACCGAGTAGTCATCACTCAAGACAAATTGAGCATGAGCAAGAAAGTTGCTGTGTTGTGAGAATGGCAATATTTCACCAAATGTTTTAAGCTCGAAGAGAGTATCAGGCGAATGCCCGATTATCTCTTTCGAGTTCTCGCTCGCTATCTGCACTTCAAAGTTACCGTCAGACTCTGTCATCACAACGAGTGCACCGAATGACTGAATGAAGATGTCCTCTTCATCTTCATGCGAGTAGTATATCCCCTTTGTTGTTTTGTGGAAGTCAAGGATTTCGCTACCGTTTTGCACAATGTTTTTCAATTGTGCCGAACTGTCGATATTATGGCTGGTGTGAGATTGTCCTTTGAATACTGATGGAATCTCGCTCCCACTACCGCTCTTTTGCTGGGTGCCCGCTTGTTCATTGGTGAAGCCTGCACTCCATGTATCTGAAAATGGAGATATCGGCGTTTCGGGCTTATCAAGGGAAGGTGTCTGTAGGGCAGATGAAGGCGTGGAATCAAATGAGACGACCGAGCGAACGGGAAAGACCCTTTCCGCTGAGTCGGTGCCCAGTTGAGGTAATTTCAACTTCGGGAAGAGTAGCTCGGCTACTGTTGATATCTCAGTCTTGTTGTCAGACATGATACACATGGTCTTTGGTATGGGCAACGTTCGCGCAAGAGACTGCCTCCTTCGGCAAGGCTTTTCTTCTGTCTTGCCATTTTGGTCATCGTCATTATGGTCGTCGTAAATGACCGTCCAGTCGCCGTTGTCTTTGAGGTCGGATGGTGAAGACATATCTTAGTATTCAATCCTCGGTGGAGAAAACAGTTGAGAATGGTTCGAACTACAAAAACCACCAGTGTTAACTCTACCTCAGGCAGCGAGGTTGACAGGAAGCAGCTCACAGAAAGACAACGATGTATACACGCGGTTAAGTAAGGACTGGCAACATCAGAGTCATTGTGTATCAAGAGTAAGCTGGGTAGTGAACAGAGTGTACGAAGAGAATCAAATGAAATTGAAGGGTGTATGGTGCGAGATTGAAAGATCCCCACGAATTCCATGCTTCAACCAGGGTTACTGAGGGGTTTATTCCCCATCTCATGCTTTCTCCTGTGAGATTTCAACCTATCACAGCATGAGCCACCAGAGACAAGCTTCCTCCCTGGGAGCATGTCCTCGGTTCCCTTGTCCGGTTTGCCGGAAACTACCATCAGAAACTCGCTCGCAATCCTCTGGGCCAGAACCTTAGATCCGTGGTATTAGCCTCGGCAAATGATCTGGTCGATTGGATGGCCCTGGATTGAAGTTACACATCAACCACTCGAGGGAATGCGAACTATTGCGCTGACCCTCGCTTGCTCTTGGGCTCGTAGACATTTGGTGTACTGATTAATTCCGTGTGCTGCCAGTGTAATCCGATCAAAGATCCCTAGCATTACCGGCAATCGATTCGGAGCGTGCGAAGGCGAGACTCGGCGATTCCGGACCAGAACCATAGAATTTAACATGGAGGTACCTGTTCCGGCCCATCAAGAATCAGCTCAGCTCGAATGGGGATACCCCACACATTCCACAAAGAATGTAACAGAGGGGTTGGATGGCGACATTGAAAACGGCTTGAGTTTGACAATTGGTTCCTCAATTAGCTTACGTCTTGCTGTATCAAGATTCGAGATGAAGCCCAAAGATATCATAGAAGTTGAGTTAGTCTACCCACCACTGTCAGACAGAGGGCAGTACCCTTGCAATTGAGCTTGAGAGGCACATATCCATAGCGATTCAAGTTAGTATCCAGGACCGCAGGCATCCCAATCGGACCACAATGCCGAGCCCCGTGGTGAAATTGCCATATCTAAAGTTGGGCGTGAATCTGACTCGCGGGCATTGGTTCCGGATATATGGGAGGCGCAACGCCAGTCATGAAGCGACCAAGGTTCCACCACTCATTGACCTAGAGCAACCTCAGGCCGACGATGAGGAATGAAGAGCACGGAGACGCATGTGTTGACATAGGAGCGAGAAGTTCAAGAGATGTACGAGGTGGACCAATAAAATATAATATGAAACAAGAAATGAGATAAATCTAGCAAAAGACTTCAAACACGTTCCTCACGCCAACCGGGACTCCCCAAAATGTTCTCTCCAAATATCATTTCATAATTTCGTATAATGCTGATTACCAGCATCCAATTACCAGCGTCGACCATAAATCGAGTCTTCATTTCGCGGCCGGTTAGGCTGCACCCCACTTCCCCGGCTGCGTGGGAGAGACTGCGTTGACTCCTGTGAGGAATGAACAGGCTCAGTCTCATCCCCTGTATTCAGCAGTCGAGTAGGCTGGTTGAAGTCCAGAGTGCTCTGGTTATTCGTGAATCGGGATTCCGCATCACGGCCAAAGAGCGCCATCATGTCGCGGATGGTGAGCTTGCCAGCGCCGGTCTTGCCCTCGATAGTGGCATTAGCTAGTTCACGTTTGCGGTCCTGCAGGGCAATAATGCGTTCCTCCACGGTATCCTTGATGACCATCTTGTAAATTTTCACATCAACGGTTTGATTCAGGCGATGGACACGATCGATGGCTTGCTCCTCCACAAACTAGGTTCAAGATTAGTACAATGCGCAATAGATTATAGAGAAGTGCAACTTACTGGATTCCAGAAGGGCTCCAAGATGACGACGCGGCTAGCGGCTGTTAGATTAAGGCCTAGTGCACCGGCACGCAGACTGCAAAGCAACACACGAGTGCCACTGTGGTTTCGGAGCTTTTCGAGACTGGCCTCGCGGTGGTTATTTGTCATTCCACCATCGTAGCGGGCGAAGCCAATATTGGCACTCCTCAAGAAGGGCTCGATCTTATCAAGCATAGATGTAAAGACGGAGAAGACAATAAACTTAAAGTCAGGTGCCTCGCGATTGAGAATTCGCATAAGATGGCGGATCTTGGTGGATGGAAGCTCTCCGTTTTCTCCTTCGTCGTTGTAGATGTCATCCGCTTCGGAGTCGCTTTCGTCCTCGGAGTCGCTCAGGACAATAGGCTTGCTCTTCCTTCTGGAGGGGGATTCGATCTCGTCATCGGTTTCATCGTCCGAAACGAGCCATTCACCACCTCCTTCAGCGTTTTCGTCGTCCGAGCCACCTGCTTTACCGAGGTTGAGCATCTTGCGCTGGTCGTCGGGCACAACCCAATCGCCTTCATCTTCATCTTCGTCGTCACTGTCAATAATGACTCGTCGATTTTTCCGAGAACGGGCGATTTGTGCTTCGGATTTGCGGGCTGACGGGGAGTCCGGAACATCAAGCTGCTTGGCGCTCTTCTTCGACTTCTTTTTCTTCTTTTTATCTGTGCCCATAACATTTATATTTAGGTCGGCTTCACATTCGCCACATCGACTACCACCGTCCTTGATTTCGGTTGGACTCAGGTCAGTTTGGCAAACATCACATTTCTTTGCGACGACGCTCATAGCTCCGAAAAGATCGGCAATGCTGTCAAGGTCATCGGGCTTTGACTGTGTTGACTGGCTGTTTGTACTGCCATTCTGCAAAAGAATATCCTTATCCTTGGCCAAATCACCCTTGACCAAGTCTGGGTGGTTGCAAGCCTGGCGAAGACGCAACAGCAGAACCAAGGCTCCAGCGTAATCGACCTTAGCACCGCCCATCATTTTCTCAAGACTGTTCTCCGTCCGCTGTTCGAGACGCTTGTAGAAGTTTAACTCTCCAGGCATGAATTCGGGAGTCACCTTAATGACCTCACGCTTGGTGATGTGGAATCCATTAGAGGACTTCTTTGGCTTGCCATCTGGTCCTTCTTCTCCAGGCTTCGCATTGTCGTTCAATCTGAGGACATCCTTCGTGCGCCGTTTCATGAAAGCTTTCAGATAGACTTGTAGTCGCTGGATAGCGAGACCTCCACAGCCATTGTTCAAAGGCCGGCTGATTTGATCTCTCCATGCAGCCAAGTCGTCATAGGGCTTTACCCGAAGGAATTTGATCAGACTCTGCAACTCATCCAGGTTGTTTTGCAATGGCGTTCCTGTCAAACACCAGCGGTATTGGGCGTCCAATGCATATGCTGACTGTGTGGCTTTGGCGTTGCGGTTCTTGATTGTGTGCGCTTCGTCAAGAATGATACGGTACCAATGAACTGCGAAAACGCCAGACTTCTTGGCTTTGTCTGATGCTGACGAGTTAAATTCGGAGGTAAGAGTCCCATACGTTGTGATAACAACATCGTATTTGTCTAGCGTTGTGGAAGTCTTTGCGCGGGTTGTACCGTGATAGAGGCAAACACTCAGCTTATGAGACGGTTCAACTTTGTCCTTGATTTCAGCCTCCCATTGTTTGATAAGTGCAAGAGGTGCAATCACCAAAGTAGAGGGAATGCAGTTCGGGGGTAGCTTGGTCGTCTTGCCCTCGGCTTCAGTGTTATCGCTGTTTTCGTGGTCGGATTTGCGGTTTTTGAGCAGCAAAGCAATCGCTTGCACTGTTTTACCCAACCCCATATCATCGGCGAGGATTCCTCCTTTAGGGAAAATTCCTTTGCTCGTCTTTCGTCCAGTCTCTTTGTCACACATCCATCTCACACCTTCAATTTGATGGGGAAGGAGAGTCACTTTCAAGCCTTCGACGACTCCATCATCTTCATCGTCGGAATCCTCCTCCTCCTCCTCTTCTTCTTCTTCTTCCTCCTCTACTGCCTCATCGTCTTGCTCAGCCTTGACAGATGAAACGTCCTCAGGCTTGGCATCATTATCCTTCGGGTCGTTGACCGTAACACCTTGGAGTTGAGCAGCAAGATCATCAAGGTCGTCAATCGCTTGTTCCTTCTTCTTGTCCACGACAACTTCATCCTTCTGCTTCTTCTGTGATGTCTTCTTTGACTTCTTTCCACCCTTCTTCTTCTTGCCTTTAGGTTTTGCCTTCGCCTTGTCCTCTTCGTCCTCGAATGCACCTTCAAGCAAAGCTTTGATGTTCTCATTTGCCATAGCCGTATCCACATAGCCATTCATATCCATGGCCCCGAAGCTCGACGTCGCATGGGCTGATGCCCTCGGAACAGGATCAGTGTCGTCGCGTGTGAGATCTATAAATTTCTGTATGTTCTTCGACGCGCCTCCCATCTTCGATGGCACAGGCTTGGATTGGTAGATAGGCCTAGGGGCCCGAGGTGTTGTCCAAGTGACATTTTCAGGTCGCTTGATACTCACTGCACCGTGGTGGAATCCTCCGCGAGGGTTGTTGTAGGCTGATGGTGCCACCGGCTTGAATGGATCCCATGGCTCGCTACGCTTCACCGACGGCGTAGCGACTGGGGCACCCGAAGTGCCCGGTGGACGATAGGCATGAGGTGTAGCACTTGGTTGACCTTGTTGGCGCGATTGTGGCTGATGTTGTGGCTGCGGTCGAGGGGCGGGTCGATGATGTTCGGCACGAGATTGATTCGGCTTCGGAATGTTGAAAAGGTGGTTTGATCTGTGTTGCGGGGGGCCGATCGGCGAAGGCTTTCCGAATTCAGGTTCTTGGACATGTGCGGGGTGAGCCTGAGTATTCGGTTTTCCCCCTGGAGTGAGGGGCTCCAATGGCACGTTGCTTTCTCGAGCCATCGTGTTTTAACGAGCGGTGTGGTTCGGAGGGTATCTTGTCAGATGGGTAATAGGTTGGTTTGCCTAATTCACTGGATAGCGAAGGGTGAATTAATCTGATCTTTGGGCATCAAGATGCGAATAGGAATCTCAGAGCACTGGAATTGGACGTTAGTCTTTTGTGTTCTTTGTGTGCGGGCTCGACCAGTTCGTGGAGTTTGGAGTCCTCTGGAAATTGAAATTCCAAGTCCAAGAAAAGACAAACAATAATAACAGGAAAGGATAAACTGACCGTTAGATCATGCCTCGAATCCGATGTGTTTTGTCGATGGTGGGGGTTTGCAGACATCAAAGAGAAAAGAGTCGTTATCGATTCCAAAAGGTTATCGCTTTGTTTGGGGTCGGCCTAGCAACGGGTGATGCCTCAGGCAGAATACAAGACCATCTATATATAGAACGTCATATCTAGTTAACTAGTCCATGAAGACGACATCCCTTATATACTCCTCAGGTATCTGAATACCTGATAAAGAGCTATCAGTCTGCAGTACTAGCAGCCATGTTCCATTGGATGTGCGTTGAAGCAAAGCTTATGAAAAGCTCCTGTTGTAGGATATGCCCTCTTCGCAGTTTGCGGTTAGTTGTTTTTGTCCAGTTAGCTATGACACTTATGTTGCAAAGGGGAAAGAAATATATAAAAGAATTATTTCTTCCACCATCATCTCGACCGAGTCTTCTAGATTATCCGATTATGAATATCATAGCCACCAGAGGCAAATCTCTTTATCTATCTATAAATGGACTTCCAGCTCACTCTCGCTTCATCTCTTTTTTTCTTTTAACAACACCCAACATCCTCCACATCATCGTCTTCTTCTTTTAGGAACGTGAAAAAACCATCATGCCGAGTGATCCAAGCGAGATTTTCAACCGGGCAATCTCTGGTTTACTGCAACGATCTAGTGGTGCGCCTCTGCGAGGAAAAAGACCGCCTTCTCAATTACCTGAACTACTCAGCCTGCGGCAAGACATTTTTCATTAAATAAAATCAAGTCTCAATTGAAGAAGCCCATGCTCAGGTATTCTTCCGTCTACAGGTCCAAGAAAGAACAAATGCCACCATTCGGATACCTGAGGTCCACCACGCTTTCCAAGCAGGCGGCAAGGGCCGGGGCTTTACATACATCGTGATGGAATATATCAAAATCAATTATGAGCGGACTGCTTCGACTCAAGACAAAAGAAAGGCCATTCGCGAGTTGATTAGTGTTCGACCACCACCTGGCGTTTTTGGGAGCCCAATCCGTCGAGAAAACAGACATCATTCCTTTCGGTATAGTCTGCATCCCGCGATGATTTATTACACTGCAGCATTCGAGGATTATCTAGCTACAGGGGT